ATTGACCTTGGACTTTGACACTTTAACTGACATGGTGGTCACAGATCACAGATGATTGTTCTCGACACTCGAAAAGCACCAATCAGACTCGATGAGGAGCCCGCTCGTCCTGTCAAGAGGGCCAGAAAAGAAGGGCCCCTCGATCTCAATCAGTCAGACTACACCACTGAGGAGCTGAGTTTCCACAAACTCCAGGAGGTTGTGGAGTATTATGAGCACATCGCGCAAATAATGCGCTTCCACATCGAGGAGCATCGCATCGGACTGACACGGCTTGACACGTACCTCCAGATGCTCCAGAGACAAGAGCTTGCTCCCTACATCAGGAAAGACTCCAGTGATACATCCAAATCGGACGAATAAACAATGAGCAAGTGTATTTGCCAATTACTATTATCTGTACAAGCTACCTGACTGACTGCATGATGCTGTGTTTTGCAGTGAACTTCCAAATTAATTATGAAAAATTCCAAATAATCGAAATGAATTGAATTACCCAACGACTTGAACTAACTGGACAATAAACAATAATTAATTTTAATSAAAATTCCACAGTTGTTTGAATCACTTTGACAATGACTGAATAGACAAGTCATTAACAACTATGATACATATAACATTAGTACAAATACATACAGACAGTGGATCATATGATTAAATAATAACATTGAAGCTTATACAACAACATCATCCACTTTATGACATCCAGGTTTACAACAACAACAACAACAGATGAAGGTTGATCTATCAACTCCTGACAACGTCATTCAACACCTCAACATAATATATCTTGTTACTCCTCTCATCAACGCGAATCGATCAAGATATCAATCATCGTCATTGAACAACATCACACCAATCATGAATGCATTTCGAATGAGTCTCGACACAACGATGATACACCAACAATGTTCAACGCATACGTTTGATACACCAACAGATTCAGTACATCTACAGGAATCGATCTATATATAATATGTTATTGTTGAACCTATTCTTACAAAGTACAGTCATTTCCCATTACACGCGCCAAGAGTCGCACTCCAACTGCCACCAACATCTCGATAACACCTACAATTGACATACCAACAGACTCAACACATCAAGGTGAATCGATAGTTATATTGTACATCACTACTGAAGCTATTCTTTAGCAACACATTCAACAACAGCCCAGGATACGCTCATATTGTTGCATCAACTACGATCGTCGCACTCCACTGATCACCAACATCGTCCAACAAACACCTATGACACATCATCAGACTCGACCCATCAAGAAGAAGCGATACATACWATATTCATTGTCGTTGGAGTAATCTTCATCAACTTTGGTCATCAACATCCAACTACACAKGTAACAACCAAAACCKTGGATKCAGATCGTCGCACTTCTACTTCTAACAATAACTAATAYCAATCAAGATTATAGTATAKTAATACTCAACACATCAAGATCAAGCGATCATTATATTATACATCACTGTTGAAGTGATTCATAGGAATTACAGTCTTGGACATCCATGAAAAGACGACCATTTACAGCTCACTTGGATCGTCGCACCCCTCCAATGCGAAGGCAACTCGAATTGTAATGGTGCACCAAGGTCCAACATCATCCAACAACACTCCTAAAGGACAAAAGCAGGTCATAGACATTAAAACTTTATCAAGTTTTATCCATTCATTATCTCTACAAATATATTTCAATGCATTCGTTATTCAATCACTATCAGGTGCTCAGAAACATCGTGTCAGAGTTGGACAGCAACATTGATCGGCTCTGCTTCAGTCTCACGTGCAGGCAGCTCTTTGCAAGCAGGGAGCTCTATCTGCGATTCAAACCAAGCCCGCCATTCAAGGTGGACGCCGACGAGTTGCTCAACTTTATACACACACTCAAGCTGTACAAATCGATGCTGTCGCAATCGACGGCCAATGTCGACTGCTGGATACGAGTTGAGGACGTCCCTTCATACTGCACCACTCTGGACTTTGCCTACGACAAACGTACACGCGACATGTCCAAGATACCAAGCCACATCCATACCTTGTTCCTCAAGGGCACCGACAACTTCATGCATGGCATACTGCCAACATCCATCACCCGTCTTAAACTGGACATGCACAGCTTGCCCCTGTTGGCACCATCAGTGGCGGCAGGGGCAGCTTTGACCGTCCTCAACATTCGTTATCATGGCCATCTGCCTCCACATTACATCCCATCGTCGGTGACTACCCTGAAGCTCAGGTGTCCAGAGGTTCGGATGGGCGACATCTCTCACTCGGTCACGCTCTCGTCCGACCATATTTCGGTCGCCAGTGGAGTGACCCCGACATCGGTCACACACCTGAGCTTCACAAGACACTTGGTCGGTCCGCTCTCGGAAGGTGTCATTCCGGCCTCAGTCACATGGCTCTACTTACGAGAGTTTACCGTGACCAAGGACATCCATCTTCCGACATCAATAACAACCCTGACAATTGGCAAGGTAAATTGTATCCGCCCTGTGCCCATCCCCTCGTCGGTCACCGATCTCACTTTTGCCAATGAGTTCAATTCCGTGATCCGCCTGATTCCAGCATCGGTGAGGACGCTCAGGTTCGGAGCGTTATTCGACCAATCACTGGAGGGAATGCTCCCGTCGTCGCTCACTCACTTGGGTATCAACAACCCCAGCTATCCTTGCCACCTGACGAGCCAAACAATTCCAAGCTCAGTGACCTCGTTGGACCTGGGCTTCAGACGGACACCACTGGTCCATGGCTTCATTCCTGGCTCCGTGACATCACTTACACTCAACACTCAACACTTGGTTCTGACTCATGGGCTCATCCCGCCATCAGTGACCCGGCTCACATTTTTTGGGTCTTCAATATCGACGCCTCTTGTTACGGGCTGGATTCCACCGTCAGTGACATCACTGGCGTTTGATTGCTCAGTGAGATACAATCGCGACGCCATACCAGCCTCAACCACCATGCTCCGCTTTGGACACAATTACTTTGTGAGCCAGCCTCTATCCGAATCAGTCATTCCGCCTACAATCACGTCGTTGGACATTGCCTTCGATAGCTCAGATGTACCCATGGAGCTTAGCCCGAGGGTGATTCCAGAGTCAGTGGCCGAGCTCACTATATCATACCCGACCTTTGACGCACTGGGGGATGCAGACCTCCACGTGCTATCCCAACTGCAATGTCTCAAAGTGGTCAATTCCTTTTGTTTGGAAGCATTCGAGACGATCGTCTGGATCTTCAAGTCCACCCCTCTCACATCCATAACATTCACCATCGACAAAGAATGCCTCATATTCCGCCAGCTCGTTGTCCGAAAGCTTGACAAGAACCACACCATCTTCCTGTCCGACTTCCAGTTCTCTGGCCTCCTGTCTCTTCACTAACGTTGGCGCCAGGCAATTCTCTGACACTGGACCCTACTCTGGTGCCAAACTCTACCTCGGCGCCAAACTCTATTCTGTCGCCCTTGCTCATCCTCGCGCCAGCCCATCACATGTGTACACATCACCAAAATGCGGGCTAGAATACTTGTAGTGTTTGGAATCAACCCAGTAGTCAGATCCTGGTCAAGGCAGGAAAGTATTAAGGTGATGTTAGACTGTGCGTATGCTTTGTCAAATTGATCGTGCAGATTGTCGGTCATTGGTATGTAGTTGGATGTGTAGTAATAATAATAATAATAATAGTATATATCTTTAATTGTATCTCTAATTGTCAACTTTGTTAATCTCTTTGGAAGGTTTGCTTGTCCATGTCATAGTCGTCGTTCGTGTTACGGGATCACGGAGTCTCGTGTGTGAGCGTGTGAGTGTGTGAGTGTGTGACCACATTGGGACGTTCTGGAACAGATCCGCCCAATTGGTAACTGCAGTTGGCAAACGGCTGTGTTAACTTGTGGTTTGACTGTCGTCTCCCACACTTATCAATATACATTGATAACACTGCCACACTTAAGGGTTTGGTTGCTCTCCGCAAAGTGATTGATTAAAAGTTACTGCTGATTGTTGATCGACGGATGATGACGTTCCAGTGTTTGCCTCTTGAAGTGTCTCGCGTTAAAAACCTCTTCTTCCTCAGAGGAAAAGCGTAGACGGGCACAGACTGGTAGGACGATGGCACGGCGCTTGAGTTCCAAGTTGAGGTCCTTAGTCAGTGTCGGGAAGTCTCCAACCCAAGCCACTGTCTGGCTGACCTTGAACAAGTACTCCACTCGCTGTGACTTGGTTCCAGCGATCTTGAACTTGCGCTTGGCGAGTAGTAGATGAACTGGCTTGGCCAAACGGATCTCCAGGATCTCCTCTTGATGATTGAGCTGGCCTCCACTGATGGTGTGTACGACTTTGACAGATCCGAATGTCTTCCTCGAATTGAATCAATGCCTCGGCTGCCTTTACCTAATCTTGGTTGAGTTGTGCTTGTGGTACTGGTTTGATCATTGTCGAATAGACATGTCTCGATGATTGTCTTCCAATTCGACCCAGCCTCCTCCACGTCTGCAACGATGAGTGTGTTACTTACAGCGTATCGTAAGTCCTCCATTCCATGAATGCCCATCCACTCCAACGTGGACACAGGAAGCAGCAACGACAAGTCGACAGGCTGCGGGTCCACACTGGCCGGTGATTCGTCCACAGTCCCTCCTTGCGTACTCTCCAGGTCGCTCCCAGCGAGGGTCGCGTCGTCGATGGCGCCATCTACGACGGTCTCCTGGTCGTGGTGCGTCAACTCGTCGTCAACGCCCGGGATGCGGGTAGACCCCAGGTCACCCTTCTCCACCCTCATCTGATCCAGGTCGCCGATGTCTTGATCGTCGGCGTCCTCCTCTACCAAAGCCTTACGCGGATGAAATGGTACGACGTACTTGACGTGCACCACCACCTCCTGCGTAGTAGTCTTGATATCTGTGGAGATCGTTCTTTTGACGGTGATGTTCAATCCTTCCACCTTGGTCACAGGCCAGGGTCCCTCGAACCTCGCCTGCATCTTCTTGACCACTGTATGACCTCTCTTGAGTTGAACGTACACCAGATCACCAACCTTGATATGATTCTCCATCTTGTCCTTGTTGTAGTTGGCTCGCATCGTCCAACCTCTCTTGCGTACATTGCGTTGAACGAACTTCATTATAGACCTGCGTTCCTCCATGAGCTTGAGTATCTCATCATCCTTGACATCCATTTGCTCAGCGCGGTAGCGCAGGATGTTCAATGGTGACATCGGGTTGTATCCCAGCAGTATCTTGAATGGTGAGTAACCAGTCGCTGACGACACAGTTGAGTTCATCGCGAACTCGATGGTGTCGATGACCTCCAACCACTCCTTGATGTTGTTGTTGTCGATGAGCAACTTGGTGATCATGCCTTTGACGACTCGTATCATCACTTCAGCCATACCATTCGCTTGTTGATGTGCGCTCGTTGTCGTCCTCAATAGTACTCCATACACTTTGGCAAAGTGTTTGAACAACTTGGACTTGAGCTTTGAATCGTTGTCACTTGATGATCACTGATGGCAACCCATGATGCTTGTAAATCTCTCTGTTGAACATAGAGATTACATCTGCTGTCTTTGCTGAGGTCTGTGTAGGTACTATTCTGACTATCTCCAAATGACAGCGAGGTGACGGACGATGGGGTATCGACCTCTTGCAGCTGACAGTTGAATCTATATCCAAAGGACAACGATGCCAATGATGTTGGTAGCTGGCCACGAGCCAAAGATCTATTGAAGCCTCTGCCAAATGAGAGGGATGTGACTGCGGAGGGAATTGCGCCAGGGACCAACGCCTGGTTGAACTTGTCTCCAAACTCCAACGAGGTTACCGAAGCAGGAAGTGACCCGGACTCCAGGATTTGGTTAAAGTCAGTGCCTAATACTATCGTGGTGACACCAAATGGTATGACGCCCAGTGCCAAGGTCGGGTTGAATCGCTCACCAAATGAGAGGGACGTCACTGATGTAGGGATGGCACCCATGTGGTTGAAGCGCTCACCGAACGACAGTGTTAAGACTGATGTTGGAATCGATCCGCAAGGTATCCTTTGGTTAAACATTCGACCACTGAGGATGGGATCGAGTGTTCATCCAGCGGTTGATCGAAAGCCTGTCCAAGGATGAGCTCGGTTGTCGAGTGAGGGATAACATGTGAGTGAAGCTGTAAATTGAAGAAGTTGTCCAGTATTAACCTCCTGACCGATACTGGTATCGATGTTGTGTCCTTTTGCGCAGCATCTTTAGAGAGCACGAGTGACTCTGACGCCAAGAACTTGGTGTCTGGCAACAGATTGTGACGCAGTTGAAAGAAATGCTGCGAGAGGCTGAGAAAAAGACTGAGTCTGGAGGCAGCTAGTTTAATGAAGAAGGTAATATATATCAGAAAGAGAATAGAAACAGGTGTTGATCAAAGACATCACTCTATATATCTGTTAATCTTTTGTGTTTCTTTCTCTGTTTGAAATGAATGGTGAGAATAATCAGCCTACTACTAGAACTTTATTACATTTCTGTTGTCAATAGAATATCAAGAGGAGTTTCTCCTCTTGCTTAGTAGATAGGGTTTTGTCTCTGCTAGCCTGTCTTGGTTGAGCTCTGACAAACTCTGAAAGTTGACATATAAGAAATCATCCACCAGCTTATTCAGTTCTATCTCTCCATTCAGTGGTATGTTTATCTGTGGGCTGTTGCTGTTTGAATCATCAGATATTCGAAGGTCATAGAAAGGTTTCCTGGCTAAAAGAATAATAATGTTAGTTCGTTGTGTGTTGTTACAAGGACTATTTCAGAATACATACCATCAAAGTAACTGGTATCTTGTAAATCCTGGAGGACTGGCTTAAAGTAGGTATTCTGCGTTCTTATCGTTGCCCAATCAATGTCCTGGAAGAAAGGATGGCTCTTCACCTCATCTGCACCATTGTAGCCCAATCTCGATTGAGGATTCAATGCCAGTAGCTTGTCAATGATATCCCTAGCTTCATCAGACATATCGTCGGGATACTTTATGTTCCTCTGCAAGATGTTCTGGAAGGTGGCCTCAACAGTGTCAGCGCTGAATGGCGGCAAGCCTGTCAGGAACTCGTAGAGCATGACTCCAACCGAGAACCAATCCACTTCTTTTCCATGTCCAATGCCAAGAAGGATTTCCGGTGCGAGATAGTCTGGTGTACCAACACAGCTCAGCATACGAGACCTCTTATTGTTTGGTGAATGAGGAGGTTCCACCTTCTCAGAGGTGATATGTTGTTGCTGTTGATGAGGTTTGTCATATGAACTGTTGGTGTTGTTCTCAAAGGGAAAGAACGCGGTGGCGGCGTTGGGTATTGATGGCGATGAGAAAGCCAATGGCATCTTCTTGGTGGACATAAGTGGCAACAGTCTCTTGTTTTTTGGCTTCACTTGTGATGAAAGCTTGGGACTGAGATAGCTTGGTGGTACGACTCCCTGAATATCGAGAAGACCGACCTTGGACAGACCAAAGTCTGTTAGCTTGACGTGACCATTTTTGTCAATGAGCAGATTATCCGGTTTAAGGTCTCTGTGGGTAATTCCAAGTCCGTGAAGATACTCGAGAGCAAGCACTGTCTCAGCAATGATCATCTTGGCCATGTCCTCATCAAGTCCTCCAAGGTTCTGGAGCAAAGAAAAGCAATCTCCACCATGGACATACTCCATAACTAGATAGAAATAATCCTTTTGGTTTGGTTGGGAGTTAGAGATTGAGGACAATGGGTGCATGCGGACATTGTATAAGGTTACTTACTTTTGTTTGAAATGAATAGTACATCTTGACTACAAAGGGGTTGCTTGTATATGCCAAGATATTCCTCTCGACCTTGACGTGATCGACCTGATTCTTCTTGATCATATCGGATTTCTTCAGACGTTTGATTGCATATATATCTCCGGTCTTCTTCTTCTTGGCCAAATATACCTTACTGTAAATGAGTCATTATTAGTCTATGTGATTACGTAAGAGAGATTTCAAAAGACAACTACCTACCCAAATCCACCTTTGGTGATGGGTTTGATGATCTGGAAATCATCAATAGTTGGAATTCCAACCGATGTCTTCAGATCCAAAGTTGAGGGGCGGCATGGATCAGAGTCTGACCTACTCCTGCCACCAACGTTGGTATTACAATTCTCAATGTACTCTCTGGTTCGTGGAGAAATCATTCCTCTTGATGGAGATCTGAACAATATTGGTGAAGAGTTGATGGCCTGCTCTGAATTCACCAATGCCACTGACTTGTCCAAAATCTATTGTTTGTCAAAAGGACAGGATTAGAACTCAATATGAACAGTGCGTGAGAGTTTCAAGAGTAATCATACCAATGTCTCAATCTTCTTGAGAAGACCTTTGAGATCTTCTGCTGTCTCGAGTATTAGTTTGGTCTTGAGATCGTGTAATAGTGCCTTCTCTTCTCGTGCCCCCATCTCGATTGCATTGTCCACTAACGACTTGATTTCAAATTGACCTCTCTACAGAAAAGTGTTGATAAATATATATATTAGTATGGGATGCCAATCACAATGCCGTTAAGCACCTACATCTGCCAAAATGGTGCCAATCTAATTGATTTGTACTATTGTTAGTAAATAGAACAAAGAAGGAACTTTAATGTTGAACTTACAGCTCTTAGTTGATCATCGATATTCATGGCCTTCATGTCCTCTTGCTTGGTGGTTGCACACAACTTGGAATGCTTCTCAAATAGTGATGTCTCGATCCTCTCCTCACATATCCTACATATGACCATCTGTTCCTCTTCTTGCTTAACCAATGTCCTCAAAGTTGGGATATCTGTGTATGACCTGGCAAGCTGGAGAAAGAGTGTTAGGTTGCTATTATTAACAATATGTCTGGTCCAAGTGGAGTAATTACCTTCTTGAAGCCACCGCTTAGCTCTTTCTTTATTTCAATAGCCTTTTGGGGACTGTAGCTTGCTGATCTGATCAGTGGGATCTGTGGAAATGAATGAGTTAGGAATTATAAAGTACCAAAATGTTGTTATTATTATTATTATTATTATGTAATTTACTTACTCCTCCTATCTTCTTGAAGGCCGTGTCAGTTTTCTAAAGTGTGCATAGAGGGATATAAGGTCAGCAAGCAATTTGTTTAACTATCATCATACACAGGTTATACATACTAACGAGTTGACTCTCGGATCTTGCAATGTGACGACTTTTGGTTGTGTGATGCTGGTGGCCAGAGGAAGGTCAGACTCATCGTCGTCATCATCAGATGATTCAGAATCGGAGGATGAAGAGATAAAGTCCTCTTCGTCTTCACCAAAGAAGCTGGAGCTCTCTATAACTCTTGGCTGTATGGAACCTTCATTCTCTTTATCCTTAACCTATATAATTGACAAGCAATAAATCAATAAGAATACAATGGGAATTATTACACTGTAATAAAGTACTTACCAACATTCGAGAGATATGAGGGGGCACAAAAGGTTCAGACTGGCTCTCTGGTAACCTCAAGGGTTTGATGACTGGCTTTGTACTTGAGTGGATCAATGGACTTGATTCTATGACCCTCCATGTATCAGTTTGTTTGTCTTGCGGTGCAGACAAATCGTTTGGATTAAGACTTGTTGATAGTGTTCTACTATTATAATTATTGTTATGATTGGTTGCAAGTCCCCTGTGTTGGCTTAGTGTTATAGGTTTACGAGGCTTCAATGATACTGCTGATGCTGCGATTGTCTCTTGACCCTAGAATATAACAAACGCACTTGGTATTAATAACATACTCTGTTTGAAAGTGGGAATTGACTACATACTGTTGTCACATGTGACAAAGAAGTGTTTTCCTTGTCTTGGATCTTCTCGTTCTCGACAGAGACAAACTCCTTTATCCTGCCAAAGTTTGAAATGATAAAGAGTAGGTTGACAACCTTCTCACGATTTACACCCTCCACCTTGTCCATCTCCTTGGCATTCAACTTCTTGAGAAGTTCCTCAGCATACTTGCCACACTCGATCTGGTTGTGATCAGTGGAGAGGAAACTTGAGGCCACCACCAAGAGATCCAGTAGCAAAGCCTTTGCCTTCTCAGTAGTGCTTACATTGTTGAGTGACCGTTTGATGTCTGATATGAAAAGGATGAGACGACTGTCTGACTCCTCTTTCACACGTATGAGATCTGAGCGTAAGATGTCTAAACCAGGTATGAGCATAGTGCCCCAGAAGTGTCGAGCATTACGTCGCTGTAATGCAATCTCTCTCTTGGATAGTCCCATTTCATGACTCTGTTGTTGTATGTCTCTTGAAGAATACAAAGAAGGAAGTGGTAGACTTCCCTTCCTCAAGCGCGTGATTGGTGATAGGCATCCTGTTGTTGTCTTTGACTGGAATGATTGTTCAAAGTCTTTGATGAGTGGAGTTCTATTGTTTATACTGATGTTATTATTATTATTGAATTTGTTATGGTTGTTATTGCTATTGATATTGTTGATTAGACTAATGTCATCAGCTACACTTTTGTCGTCAACGGTGTAGAAGTTCTTGCGGGTGAACAATGGTGAATTCTGTTCCTTGCTTTCAGATATTGAGCTCATCTCACCCCTGCTACTGTTTTGATTGTATCTTGATTTTTGTTTTATCATATCTTTATTGTTGTTGTTTATGTTGTTTGACTTCATTCTAAGAGTTGTAATACACATATAAATAAAAGATGATTGAATGAATAATAATAATAATAATTAAGAGTGAATGTGAGTTGATGTATACTCATATATGACTACCAGTCGTAGAATCGTCTTTGTGTTTGTGTGTGTGTGTGTGAGGATTCAATGTGTGAGTGTCTATTGGTGGGTGAATGTAGATTATTCTGACTTTGTCCAAATTAGGAAATATTTGGATGTTGTGGTTGTTGTCCAACAACAACAACGAGAGACATCATCATCATTGTGTTGTTCATCCATGACCTGTGAATAGTGAATGGAACACAATTTAGATTTAGATCACTTCCCAATGTTATTATTGAATAATAATTATTTTATTTACATTGATCTATTTCCAATTTAGGATAACAACTATTACAGTAATATTATCTGTTGATCCCTTATCGTACGAGTCTTGGACAAGGGCCTCACTAATCTCGGTGGCAGTCTTGCCTTGCTTGTGAAGTTTGGAACACATATCCACTGCCTCATCGTATGACACCTTGTCCCACAAACCATCACAGGCCATGATGATAAAGTGATCGTTTGGTGTAAGATCCACGACCTGGGTGAATGGATCGCTCGTGACATACTTCTTCTCACCGTCCTTGTACTCTCGGTCACCAAACGATCTGGACACTGCCAATGATCCAAAGAGACGTCCAAATATAATCATACCACCCATCTCGGTTATCCTTGCTTTCTCCTTCTCGTCGTTGGCCAAATGTTTGTATGTGAGGAGCACAGATTCGTAGACGGGTGCCTTTGGTGATGACGTAGGAGTCATGCGAGCCAACACACATTCAGAATCACCAATGTTGGCAGTGTACAATTGGGAGCCAGTGATCAAACATGCCACTCCAGTTGATCCACTCTTCTCACATATTGGTATCACTTGTCTATTTTGAGTTGTAGTAGTACGTTAATGTTAATATATAAGTCAATCAATAACTTTAAATGTAAAATACATACTTATCGGCCAAGTCGAAACCCTCCTTTAGAGCTAGCTCATAGTTGGCATCCTTAAATGCGTTTGATTCAACAACACACTTGTGTACTATTGGCTCCAATGCCTGTGCCGTATGAACTCCTCCATGTCCATCATAGACTCCATAGTATGAGAATACTCCTTCTCCAGTTGGAACATGTTTGAATAGATCCTGAGAATAATGAAACGATATCAGTAACAACTTACAAGTACTTGCATTCATATACATATATAACAACTTACATGTAGATTATCTATCAACATATGAGCATCCTCCATGTTCTTCCTTCTACCTTGTATGGAATTGAATCCTGACTGAACAAGCTGTAGACCTTTGGTCTTCTCCTTCTTTTGAACTGATTGTTTCTTCTGTTGGACCTGTTTCTCCTTTTCCAATGCCTTTTGCTCTCGCTCTTTTGTCCTTGCAAGTTCTCTCTCTCTCTGTAGCTCCAGTTGTTTATCTCGAAGGAGCTCTCTTTCTCTCTCCTTCTCCAGTCTCATGCGCTCCTTTTCTTTCTGCTTGGTCTGTAGCTTCTCCAACTTTATGGCCTCTCTTTCTGCCTTGGCGGCCTCCTTCTCTAACTGTATCTCTCTCTTGTTGGCCTTGACCTTGTCAGAGGTGGTGGTCTTGTCAACAGAGTTTGACTTCTTTGGAGCACTTCCATTGGGCTGAGTTAACTCCACCGTATTCGGGGAAGTGGATGCACCATTGTTGTTGCTGCTGCTACTACTACTACTGGCAACGCTCTCAACATTATTGATGTTGTTGATGATTGTTGTTTCTGTCTCGTGAGCAGACAATCTGGTGCTGGTGATAGTTGGTTCAATAATGATTGGAGAAGATGTTGCCAAAGTGGTAGTAGTTGACGTTGTCGTTGTGGTCGATGTTGAGGCAATGTTGTTATTGCTGATCTCAATGTTGGTGTCGTGCAGCGGCTTAACAATAGTGCTGTTTGCCTGTTGTAATAAGGATGTGGAGGCCAGGGTGTTGGTATTTGGTGCAACATCATAGAGACCTCGTCTCTCTGCGTCAGGAATGATCTGATCCAACATTGAATCAAACTGAGCTCTCGTATCACTTTGATCAAGTAGATTCACTGTGAATGTTCTGTAATGTCTGCCCTTCTCCACCAGCTTCACATACAGACAGGTTACATGTTAATACCCTGATACGATATTAACAACGCTGAGTACTTACGACGTTGGCAAACTTCTGGACTATGAAGTTCAAAGCCTTTGAAGGATCATCTCCATCGGTATAGTCTTTGAAGCAGGTGTTGAGGTCGAACACCTTGAGCTTYCTCCAAGAATGTCTCGCTAAGATTGAACACCAGGAAGACACATATCGAAGGATCAAACTCACTAGAGTTTGCCATTGACTCTAGTGTTGTCAATGAGTCCAACAGGAGATTCTTGTGTGAGTGGCTACAACACTGGTTGTGACTGGACGAAGCGTTGTCAGGTGTTCTAAGTACATCATCTGATGAATGATATCTATTATTATGATGAGTGTTAATATGTATGTAGTTGTTCCTTTGCAAAGTGATTGGAATTCTTACTCCTTCAGAGGGACGACATAGAATATATAGTGTGGACTATGCAAGGAGAGTCCGACCCAATCCCTCTTCTGGATCTGCTTGGTGGCTCCACAAGTTAGATCCATTTTGAGTCTACGGTGGGTGAGAGTCGACTGTTGATGTGTATCCACTTGCTCATATGCACTGATGATATCCAATCGGTTAGGTGTAAACTCTGGTGAGAATACTCTAAACATATTGTCCATATAGCTACAGTTGGTTGTTGTTGTTGTTGTTACTGTGTTAGCAATAATGATCATCACGCTCTTGAACAATGACTTACTATTTAGTTCTTCCTGGAGTTCTAAACTCTGGACAAGCTGCGGCATAGTTGTACATTGTTTGGACGTCTGGATCCTCCCAAAGGCATTTACAGTCGTAGCTCAGACGAAGAGGGAATCTTGGGAGTCTACTCCTCGCCAACTCGATTGGGGTAGTGAGAACACGTTTCACACGCTCTGTATTGTCCTCGGTGAAAGTGATGTTGACCTTTTCAGCATTCTCAATCAGACGGATCAGCGTGGCAATTGTGTTACCATAGATCAGTCGTTGGAAGTATTTTGGATCGAGCACCTGGGTGCCATACATCAGATCCAATTGGCGTTGGAGTGTTGTCTTTCCGGCCTCTTGAAGACCAACGATCAATACATTGACAGTGCAATCATAATCACGTGGTTCCTGTGTCTGTGCAATCGATACGAATGCTGGAGATGAGGAAATGACATTCTTCTTCTGTTGTTGTTGTTGTTGTTGATTGTTGTTGGCTGGATGTAGAGTGAGCAACCTCTTTGATTTCTTGAAGTGACTTAGAAATGAGAACATTCTTTCAAGGTTATTTTGTTTTTTTTTTTGGACTACTTTGTTGTTCTACCTCCAATTATTATTATTACTACTGTTTTTATTATTATTGTTACACTTTGATAAATATATTACAAGCTCTATAACTCTTCCAATGTTGTATAAGATAACAATCAATATATTCCATTGTTGTTGTTGATGATGGAATCGGTGACTGTCACACACTTTCTGTGATTGAATGATTGATTGATAACAGATAAGATGGGGGCAGGGGTATTATAAGTGGTGACAACTTTGTTGGTTAAATCATACAATATCAAACACACACACACACACACACACACACACATACACACATACATCCAAGTTTAGTTACCTCTGGTTGGCAAAGGGGTATTAACAACTGTCAGTCGCTAAATTTGGAACAATAATAATAATAGTCATCTAAGAAGTTCAATCATCATCATGATAGTTTAGTGTTGATAGGAAATCGTCAATGTTGTCCGGTATGGCATTGTTGTTGTTGTTGTTGTTTCGATCTAGATTGTTATTGTCCTGTGGTGGAAGAGTGGAAACCAGTTTGTTTGGGTTCGAACGAATACCATCGCTAAAAGACTTGACGTCGACGATATTATCCACTTCAATGTCTGTTGTTGTTTTGTTGATGTTTGGCTCATTGCCATACAAATCATTCAGATATGGTGTATTTGTCATCATTGGTTGTAGTTGTTGTTGTTGTTGTATTGGATGGTAATCAAACAAGCCATATTGATGATGTAGGTGTTGTTGTACAAATCCACCAATCTCTGGGTCTGACTCTATTGAAGAGATAATATTGTCCAGATCCAATGATACATCGCCAATATGATAGAGACTGGAAGTATCCATCATTGTACTGGAGGGCATTGATGTGTTCATTTGAATTGGAGCATCCACATTATTGGAATTCGATTGATAGACATTATCACCATTGGCTGGTGTGGCATTGTGTTGAGGAAGTGCAAGTGCAGAGTTGATGTGATCGGCTATCTTCTCCTGTATGTGAGGATTGCGTAACAACTCTTCAAAGCTTTTTCCAAAGTCTGTTTGTATGATATTTCCCAAATCTGCACCACCGAGTGACTCTGGGGCCTTTGCCATCATCGTGGATAGTTTCTTTGGTGTGGATGTCTTCCTCTTGGACACACCTCCTAATGATTTTCCTGATGCTGGGGTAGTTGTTGTTGTTGTTGTTGTTGTTGTTGTTGATGTTGTTGATGTGGTATCAGGAATACTGGTGATTGAACTTTGTATGGTTTGATTATTCTGGTACTGTTGTCTAGAGGATTGCTGTTGTTGTTGTTGTTGTTGTTTAGTGTTATCATCCAGTTTTCTTTTCTTCAATTGTTGCTGTTGCTGTTGTTGTTGTTGATTCCCAACCAGATCATTGCGATATGATGCATAGTCGTCGAGCATCGTGCGAAACGTAACCAGTGTTGTTTGAATAGTATCATACAATGGATCTGTAGAAGCAATGCGATTGTTCATCAGCATTGACTGCACGAATGAATCATTCCTTCTTTTCTCTTCCTTTAACACCACGTATTCATTCAATATAGCTGTTAGACTCTTTACACTATTGCCCTATGGGTTTGACAGATGTTAATCACCAACAACAATAAAGGATGATGTGACAATCAAGATAATATTGGTCGTACCTACAGCATTTCTCTGTAAACTCTTTGTCATTGACTGAGATTCCTTTTGAAACACATCGAAGGAATCATTGAAACGCTCCTCCTTTAAATAGGACAGGATCAAGAAGCATACCTCGCTCTTTCGTACCAAGTTACCATGGCCTTTACTTTTGTTACTACCACCCTGATTATTATCTGTCATTATTTGTATTATTATTTGTTAATCTAACTGATCCAAATGATTTTAGAATGATCAGTTGGCGCCTTTTTATGTTGTAATTATCATTTCGAATTTTGTTGACATTGTTTGGAAGGTTGACTAAACCTTATGATCACTTTAACCCATTATAACAGTTCACTACTCTACTAGAATGAAGCTCATAGATGCAGGACAAATAACACCTTTCATTGATACTCTGTGTTTGGAATGTAATAGTTGTCAATGTACCAACAACAACAACAGCAATACACAACAACGATCAGTAAAGCAACAACATCACCAATACAAATTGATAAGCAATCCATTATTGAACACTATACTCAACAACAACAACAACAACAATGAACTATCAATAGAACATGAACTATCATGGTGCAATAAACATTTGATTGTGGCCTGGAGTGCATGCGGCACAACACACAAGCGTATCACACTTGATATGCACCAGTCTGGTGATATCATCTCTATCAAGTGGATCACACTTCCACACTATGCCCAGGAATCAAAGGACTACAACCACTTTCTCTCAATATTGACTACCAGTTCACTGTGCATCTACAACAATGCAGGCAAGACCTATCAGATCGTACCACCGTGTCCGATCATTGACATCTGGCCAACACCATACGGCATGGTTCTGGAGCGAATGCACAACTCTTCTTCACCTGTCAACGAGGAGAAGCCATCACTGCTCAGTCTAAGCCATCCTCTCGAGGAGCTCAAACCACTTCTGAAAAGAGACGCATCGGTGATCGCATGTCAGTCACTCTCTTTCTTCTATGACAGCAACCACAAGGTAGTCCACAGCAATGCCGCCAGTCCGATCATGGTGACCTACCATTCAATCGATCAGCTGCACTATATCTGGCGATTGGACTTTAAAGACAGAGAACCAAAGTATAAGAAGAGTGCAAATCACAAACAGTCCAGCTCTGCAATGGAGACATCGTCATTATCATCGTCATCGTCATCATCACTATCTCACTTTATGGAATCATACGAATCAGGTGCACCAGATACCAGCTATGTAGTAGATGATGATGAAGAGTTTGTGATCGACAGTGACATTGTGGCCACACTGTTGATGACCAGTGAGTGCATTGGAAAGTCCACGAGTGCATCCATTTCAACACTTGTACTGGAACAAACGGACAATCTTTTCGCAGTATGCCTTCAGATTGACGATTCATTGTTCAAACTTGGCCACAACAATAACACTGGTACCTCCCATTCAAAACTTTTTGATAGTGTACTGCAAGCTGGTCCCATATCAATACCTCACAGACCTCATTTGCATCATTACTATATCTTTGAAACAGACCACCGAACGATTAGGGTGATGAATGACAATCACAAGTGCATGGCCATCTACGTCCAGCCAAAGGACCTACCCTCAATAGTCAAAGTCATTGACCCTGTGTTCAACAGGCTGACACTGGTCCTCTCAGATGGTACCCACCGAAGAGTCAAGCTCATATTGCCTTCTTTTGAGAGCACTTTGGTTAACGACTGCTTGAACATTCTGACATGCCAAGATGTTGACAACAGACAATTCATTGCCACAATCCATCATGCAATGAATGTTAGCAATCACTCGAGTTGCAGCGACAGCTTTACACAATTTGAACAGGCCGTTCTCTCAACCTTGATTGGAAACCAAGTAAAATCAACACAGTCAATATCATCATCTGATACCACAGATGACTGGGACTTTGTTAAGAGTTGGCAATCAGTCCAGAATCAGGTGGCAACCAATGGACCAACTTGTAAATCAATCATTGACAACAACGCACGAAATCAATATACATTCACAATCAACATCGTGGAGCACCTGCTTGAGCCTCTTCACCACCTCTACGAGGAGTACAAGTCGACAACCTATCAAATGGCCAACTCTCGAGCACTAGCACCATTGCTACTCCAACTAGGTATGTTTTGCCTGCTCCCAATCTTTGGTACCTCATCATCATTATTCGCTAACCCTTCTCCCACTCTCTCAGGTATCTATGCTCAGGAACCTAGATATGTTGAATATTACTATCGTGAAAATATAGAGATGTTTACAAACTCGATCGATTCGATTCAAATCTTTCTCACCTCTTGCTCAGAGAGTACTCGACACCATCGCTCCGTACCATCTGTGTATCAATTCCTCATGTCCTACTTTAATGCCCCAACTCTTGACCCAATGCCATTCAGATTGACGCAATCTGGACTACTCTCAGCCAGCTCAACACTAAAGTGGCTGAACCGGATTCTCAGACTATTCACATCCACGCTCAAGTCAATGGAGTTCAAGAAGCAGTGCGAATGCCTTGTACTCACGATGACCAATCTAGGAATCACCAACGAGGACATCAATAGCTTGGTACTTGGCGTCTCAACACCTCTTCGAGAGGCAATTCGATACTGTAGACAGACACCTCCAACCAATTGGCCCAACTGTGCATATATCCTAGTTGGTCGACAAGATTTGGTGCATCACTCAATCATGCCCTCTACCTCGTACATCTCCCTTGAATCTCTGCTTCAAGCACAGATACCCACCTGTACAAGATACAATACCAACCTGTCATCCAATGACAATGATGTCACCTCACTGCGATTCGACACTGACCTACGACTTATTGAGGTCAAACGAATGCTTTCATTCTCCAATCGTGTACACATCAACCACAATCAGGAGCAAGGCGTCAATGACCATGATTATCTCATGGAGTTACAGGCCAAACTACTACTCTGCTCTCAGAGGACAATGGCACTTACACTGGGCTATGGTATGTTCTTCATTGGATCAACCCGTCCCCTTCCAACCGAGCCAATTCACATTCCTCCCATCATCTTGGGAGGCATTGTCAGCGAGTCAAAGACCAACATCTCTCTCAATGACCAAGTGATGATCAACACTCCAGACATGCTTCACTGGCCCGAGTTCCATACTGGTGTGGCCGCCGGACTAAGTCTAACAGCTGAACGGGCAGAGATAACCAACACATGGATTGTCTACAACCGTCCATCAGAATTCACACCATCCTACTCTGGCCTGCTGCTTGCCCTTGGTCTCCAGGGCAAACTGTCATCTCTTGCGTTCACCAAAGTGTTTGAATACCTTTCACTAAAGAATCAAACAACTAGCGTTGGACTGCTGCTCGGTATTGCCGCCACAAAGAAGGGAACGATGGAGATGTCAGTGGCCAAGATTCTCAGCATTCATATACCCTCCCTCCACCCTCCCTCATCAATTGACCTTGATGTACCGTCGTATGTTCAGATCGCATCGGTCATGGGCATTGGTCTACTCTATCTTGGAACGGGCAACCGTAGAATGACCGAGGTCCTACTCTTGGAGATTGGATGCAAGCCAAACAATGACAAACATTTGGACCGTGAGAGCTACAGTCTTACTGCTGGCCTGGCACTTGGTCTTGTCAACCTGGGTAGAGGTCATGACGATGGTACTCTTGAAGACCTATCAATAGAGAACCGACTGAAGGCCTATATCAACAACAACAATACATCTCTTCATCGAGGTGGTGATAACCAGCAGCGGGGATCAAGCAACAACAAGTCCAACTTGATACATGAAGGAACCTACCCCAACACCGACATCACAGAACCTGGCGCAATCTTGGCATTGGCACTCATCTACCTAAAGTCCAACAACCAAAAGGTAGCTTCCTACTATACACTACCAGAGTCAAACTACTCGTTCAACTTTGTTCGAACAAACTGTCTCTTGATCAGGACACTTGGCAAATCACTCATTCTATGGGACTCTGTCCAGGTAAGTTGAATATTCAGAATAGCAATGACAATATATCTAATATTCTCTCAATACTACTATATTTAGCCAACAGAGGATTGGATACTCAATCAGGTGCCTGTGAGCATCAGAAGTCTTGTGACATTACTGAATTCACCTAATGACCAAAGGGTATTCAGCCTCTCTGATACGGGATACAAGAATGACATTGACCATGAGTTCATTTTGTTGATCTTCTGCAACATTGTAGCCGGTGCCTGCATGTCCATCGGAATGAGATTCGCCGGCACCGCCAATGAACAGGCATCATCAGTGCTTACTGTTTGGACTCAGAGGTTCCTCAAACGCCAGCTATTCATCACGTGCAAACTGAAACAGAACAATTGCAGTCGTACAATGATCACCACTATTGAGACATGTCTGGGTGTGGCCTGCCTTTCTCTATCGTTGGTACTCAGTGGCACTGGTGACCTTTCTGCACTACGACTCCTCAGAAGTGTCCGTGGAAGATTGTCCAAAGATATCAGCTACGGAAATCATATGGCGATATCAATGTCGATTGGCTTCCTCTTCCTCGGTGGTGGAAGGTATACATTGTCTTGTAGCAATGTTGCTATCGCTGCCCTCGTGTGTGCACTCTATCCAAGGTTCCCCAATAGCAGTACAGACAACATCTATCATTTGCAGGCCTTGCGACACTTTTACTATTTGGCAATTGAACCTAGGTGTCTGATCACACGAGATATCGACACCAATGCACCTTGCCACGTTCCAATTGAAGTGGACGTATCAGTTGCGCCAGACTCAATCAAGACAATATCCATGATTACACCATGTCTGTTGCCAGAGCCAAGGTTAATCCATTCCATTCGTCTATGTAGTCCTAGATACTGGAATCTCAATTTCAGTGGATGGGGAAACAGCAGCAATAATGATACTACACCAGCTACAATGTCCCAGCACCCCACAATATTTGTCAAGAGAAAGATAGGACATCTCACCTACAATGAGGATCCAGAAGGCTTCAAGAGTCTGGCCAAGTCATTCCCAAAGAGTGTAAAAGGATCCAACAAAGAAGATATTCTCAAGTCGTTCTCTGCCGACGCTCACATCCTATCATTTGCCAGACACTACTGCCATAGCTCTGGCACTGCTAACCAAGAGGACGAGGATGAGGCCAACTTCAATACTCACATGTTGTATGAATGCTTGACGCATGACCAACCAGAGATACTCTCAGTGCAACAACTTCTCCACAGGTTGTCAAAGGACATTGACCAATTCAGCACGACATCCACATTGCTCTTTGAACAAGTACGTCTGTTGGTGGCTTATCATCACTATTTAGACAGCATTGGTCTCGGTCAAAGATCCTATCGTCGACTCATTGATCCAGCCGAACTCAGTCTACTGGATAACAAGATAGACAACTATTGTCAAAGACTGTCATCACCACTCACCACTGCCAATCAACAACAACCTGACCTCAAGAGATCACTGTCAATGTTGTCCTACTATGATATTCACTCAAACAAGTTTTGGAGGAGCGGTGAGGATCCAATAAACTCTTGATCTCTGTCAACCAATGTACTCTTTAATGACTCTTCGTCTTGTTATTGTTGTTGGTCGCTGAGCACTTGAACATCTGCACAACAAAGTAAAGATAGGTCAATCCAAAGTGAACAAATGATACCACTGCCACCAACAAAAGGAATAATGCTGGCAAATGTACTGGAGGCTTGATAAATTGGAAGAGGATATGGCACAGTACCATGGTAATGACGTTTAACTATTGAGATGAGAGATGGTTAAAGGACTGGTTCAATCAATGTCATTACATTGATACATACGATGAGGAATGAATATTGCCATAGGTTTGATGACTTGTTGTTGTTTGCCTCGAGTCTTTGGACCCATTGATATCCAAGTACAAAGTAGACAATCTGGCAAACAAAGTAGGGCAGTATGAGACCATCCTTGAATAGAAGAGGGAACATGCTAAAGGTTGAGATCACACCGAACCACCATGTGATGAATGGGAAATGTAGTACCAGCAATGAGATTGGTAGCATTGGGAAAAGGATGGTCTTCTCATGTACATGGAAAGAGAACAAAAAGAAGGCAAATGAACATATGATCAGCGCCTGAATGAATACCAATCCGTGTCGCTTGATATCTTTGGAGCTCTTCCAGAGTGGATAAATAATCGGTGAAAAGACAGTTAGTGTGGATAATGTACTGTAGGTATGGATGGATTTGAGAGTTAGTGCTATGCTTGTTGTATCTTGCTAAAAGAATTGCTCATAGTTACCATATTCTTAACATGATCTCGTGAGTGAATCTGCTTTTGAAGTTGACAACGACAGAGAAGACACACCAAAAGTTGGCAACCTTATCCTCAAAAAGTCCTCTGGCTGTTGGAAATAGACGGATAAGAAGTTGGGTTATCTGTTCCAGTGAGAGGAATGGAAGCCAACAAACAATAAATGTAGATATTACTGTAACTCCAATTGACATAATCTTTCCAATTGATTTGAGACTAAATCAATGAATCATGTTAGTCTATCCGGTTGGTATCCAGTTTGTTGATTGTACATACAGATCAGTAAATGAGAGGTTGGCAAAGAGGAGGTAAAAGAAAAATACAGGTGAGTAGTACAATGATATCTGTTTGTAGTTCAAAGAGAGTACAAAGAAGAAGCTGGCCAAGAGATGTTGTCGTCGCACAATGAATGTGATTGCAAAGAGTGCAAAGCCAAGACTGATGCCGTTGTATTGGAAATGTCCATGATCGATCAGCAGAAGACCAGGTTGGAGTGAAATGAATAGGAATGCACATGACTATGTTTGATTAGTTGGTATCAGAGCTCTCATAAATCACCTTGTTACTGATGCTGTCAATAATCACTGCATCATCTTACTCTTTGGATTAATGAGCGATCAGAGTAAAATGATCGAACAAAGAAGTAGACTGAGGGTAACCAAATGAACATGTCCGAGATGATTACAGTCATCCTCATGAACAATTTGCTGGATGGTGTCTCATAGCCACGTGAAGTGAACAATTGCACCAATCCAGGCTCTATCTTTTCTGCACTATATTGAAAGATGTATCAATACACCACCTAGTGAACTAGGTAAGCTTGTCCGACCAACTACAACATACACTTTTCCAAATAACCAACTAGAGTATGCAGTCAATGGAGGATAGTCGAGTCCCCAATACTGTAGGTTGTTATCAGTTGTGTTGAAGTACCATTGAGAAGAGGCCAGATTGGTTGTGATCTCCATCCAATGTCGTTGAGCCTCAAAGTCACCAAACATTGGTGGTGTCGCATGACCTATTTAAATAAAGTTGATGAGAGTGTCAGTGATGCAATCCTGGTCACATGTCATCGTTGCAACGAGGACTAGCTTCAGATATCATCATGATCTACACACCAGAGTAAGAATGAATAGAGACAAGATAACGTCCCAATAAAGAAACTAACAAACAGAGTGTCCAAAGTAACCATGGTCTCTGTGTCATCGATGACACTGCTGTAGTTGTTGAAGGACTGGATGTCATAGGTTTATAATAAATATCTGTTGTTTGTTATTATCTCTTTTAGAAAAGAATTGGTGACACCTGGTGTGAATCATTTTTGATGAACATCACCTCGTTGTGTTGAATCACACACGGACCTGACGAGGCACACGACAATCATTCAAGTCAAACATATAATAATCCTGAGTCCTATCCCTATATATTATTGTTTATGTTGACTTCTTAGACACACCAACTTGGGCAGGACGAACAAGTCTATCGTTGAGCTTGTAACCCTGCTTGTGAACGACCTTGATTGTACCTGGATCAACGGTGGCATCCTCGATTTGGTAGAGTGCGTGGTGGCTGTTTGGGTCGAACTTCTCGCCGACTGGATTGAAACGAATGAGACCATTCTTGCCCATAATCTTCAGGAACAGGTCCTCTGTCATCTTGACACCCTCGTGAAGTGTTCTGAGATCGTTGTTGGCGCTCAAATGCTCCTGGTTGTACTGGCCAAGTGCCATCTCGAGCTGGTCGACCACCTCGAGCAACTCCTTTGCGAATGACTGAATGCCAAACTTCTTGGCCTTGTCTGCCTCCTCCTTGCCAAACTTGCGAGCGTTCTCACGCTCAGCAGCAGTGTAAAGCAACAGCTTGTGCTTCTCCTCGAGTTGCTTCTTCAGGTCCTCGATTTGATCCTCAAGTGTTGGTTGCTGTGGGGTGTCTGTGGTTGGCTTCTCCTCTGCTGCTGTGGTTGATGTCTGTTGCTCAGTAGTCTTGTTCTCAGTAGTGGAGTAGCTTCTCAGAGTGTATCTTTGTTGGCTGTTTCCATTGATGTCCTGCAGTCTCCTCAATGAGCTGCCGGCATTATATTGGATGAATCTTGTTGTCGATGATCTCTATTATTTTGTTTGGTTGTTAGTAACCAATTGTATCGTAAGTTGATCATGATAGACAGATGGATAGATAGTTACAGCAAGGACATTTGATGACAGGTATCTGGTGGTGTTTGAGAATAATGATCTTGTTAAGCTATTCATGATCTCGGTCAGTCAGTCGTATGTGTGTGTATGTATGTATTGATAAAATTTGTTAGAGATAAACTTGTAGTTGTTGAATGCCTTAATGCAGTCAGTCAATCTGAACTCTAGAGTGTTCTTGTGTTTCCAACTCGTGTGTAACAAAAATAAATAAAAATAAAAGTCGTCGATTTGGAAAACGAATGCTTTGGTGATCACCAGGATGAGCTCATTGTTCCAGTTCGTAATTAGGTCGTGTCACCTTTGATTGACAGAGTCCGATGTGCGACAGACAGGCAGATAACATAGTTGAGTTTGACGATAACCTTCAACTACTACTACTACTATTGATGTACCTCCTCAGTGACACTGGTAGAGGCAATATCTTGTATACCTTTGATGATCATCTCCAATGGTGCAGTTGAAACCATCATGGAGAAGAATGCTCGTACCTTCCATTGGGGATGTCTCATCACTTGACAGCATCCAACATCCACAATGTCAATGTCCAGTGCACTGCCCATATCCGTAGGCACAAACACAGAGTTGGCATTCACTCTATTGATATACTTTAAAAAGTAGTGAAAGGGTGGTCAGTGTCATCTACTACTACTAATCACAACAAGAGTAGCCTGCTTGCCTGTCTGCCTATGTATGATACATACAGGTACACCAGAGAGAGGCTCAATGAAATCTGCCCAATGTCCTTGCTTCTCAATTGATTGACAGAACTTTAGTGCCAACTCTATAAACTTGAGAGTGCGATAGAGAGAGAGAGAGAGAGAGAGAGAGAGAGAGAGAGAGAGAGAGATTGACTGTAAGCCACAAGACCTTGATAGATTGTCACATACACTCACACACACATACATTATTAGCGAGAGACTCTCTCTCACTATCGGTCCTATCAGAGTAGCCACTCATGGGTAGTGTGGTAGGTGTCCACACGATAATCACATGAACGTGTTGTGATGATGTCTGTTGGTTGTCTGTCAAAGCACTTGGGAATAGATCCCTAAGATTAAGTTCAAGTTCACGATTGTTGCATTGTTTAATGGTGAATGATCGATTGACTGATGATATATACTCTTCTACATTTAAGAGCATATTGTTGTTATTATTATCTTTAACTAATTATATCTATATCCTAGTTGCTAGCTGTCAAACATGTTTGATTGACTGTTGAGAGTTCAACAGATGATGTAATGTTTGAAACATTAAAGATGAGATTTAGAATTCATTTAATTATAACAACACAACACGATGAATGTGATAAGAGAGATAAACAATCTAAACAAGAGAGAGTTGGATAAGAATGTCAGTGACAATGCATCTTGGCACGCTGACTATGCTCACAGTCCTTGGATATTCGTCGGTGGTCTGCCCTACGAAATGAACGAGGGTGATATCATTGCATTGATCAGTCAGTATGGAGAGGTGGAGGAGTGCAATCTAGTCAGGAACAAAGAGACGGGCAAGTCAAATGGTTTCGCCTTTATCAAGTACGAGGATCAGAGGAGCACCGTATTGGCCGTGGACAACTTTAGTGGTGTCAAGATACTGGACAGGTTGATCAAGGTCGATCATGTAAAGGATTATAGAAAGCCAAAGAAGCGTGAAGGTGATGATGACGATGATGATGATGATAACTCCAACAACAAGAATGATAATAGTGATGAGAGCAGCAGTGACTCGGACCATGAAGATAAAGAGACTAGACGTGAAAGAAAGAGAAAGAGAAAGGCAGAGAAACGTATCAAGAAGGAGGAGAAACGTGCCAGAAAGGCTGAACAGAGAAAGAATGAGACACCAGAACAAAGAGCCACAAGGAAAGCAGAGAAGAAGAAGATAGAAAAGATGGAGATGAAGGATCAATCCCAACTGCTGCATCATCAACACCATCCAATCATAGCAGCAACAACAAAGATGGATGATGTTATTCAGGAGAAGAACAATGGTACCACTACAAAGGAGGAGCAGAGAAACAAAGAAAGAGAGGTAGTTGATAATAGACATCCAGAAGTGGACAGGAGAAATGAGCCAGAAGACAAATCCAAACTCAAGGACAATGAGAGATCAAATGAAAGAAGAGACGATAGATACAGAGATGTATATCGTGATGATGATGGTAGAGACAATAGGGACAAAGATAGAGACAGATATAGAAGTGGTGATAGGTATTATGATGATAGAGAAAGAGATAGAGATAGATATCGCGATGATGGCGGTAGAGACTACAGAGACAGAGACAGATATGATGATAGGCGTAGAGATAATGATCGATACAATGACCGTCATAGGTCTAGTTATAGTAGTAGTGGTAGTAGTAGTAGCAGTAATCGCCAATATAATAAATAATATATTATTCATTGGGATATCCAAAGTTCCACGATAGACGACATCATGTTTCGAAAGTTGGGATAACATTAACTTAAGTTAATGGCTGATAGTTTCATTGGTTATAAATAATAATCAACACTACAACAACAACAACAGCAATGTATGTATTATATACCTACCTGTTCAATAAGAGCTTGTTTACTCACCACGGACATTCATTCAGGGACCAACAACACAATGGATTCTCAATCCTACCACCTGGCTTGAAGCTTCAGATACTCTCTATGATTGGTGGAGACAATCTGATTCACCAAGTCAATGACACAACAACTACAACTACTACTGTTGCTGACCAAGCAACATCAACAATCCAAACAAAGGCAACAACAACAGATAATAAGCTCATTGATCTAACCGGTGGTGCAATACTCAATGACAAGTTACAATACTTTCAACTGCAACACCTGACACAGTTGGAGACTGATGGATACATCATCATAGATGACTTTGTTGGACAGACTCTGCACGATAGTTGCAGAAAGGAAACACTTCAACTCTACGACTCTGGTGACAAACTGCGTGATGCCAACATGAGTCGTGGTGACACCAAATGGAATGATAAGTCAATACGATCAGACAAGATCATGTGGCTCAACAAGGACACCTGCTTGGACCTGAAAGAGGGAAGGATACCACACATCTCAACATTACTGGCACGACTGGAGCAACTCAGATCAGAACTCAATGCCGTCATACCAAGTCTCCACTTGGATGAGACCAGAACACAATCACAGCTGGCCATCTATCCATCTGGTGGTCGATACATCAAACACACTGACTCCTTTGTAGGTGGCAACAGTCGTCGAATCACATGTATATACTATCTCAATCCTGGATGGAAGCCTCAGGATGGTGGTGAGCTTAGACTATACATGCCTCAGCTACAACAACAACAACAACAACATGACAACTTAACAACAACAGTTGATATCGAACCACTCGGCGATCGACTTTTGCTCTTCCTATCAGAGTACATTCCACATGAAGTCAGACCATCCCTAGCAGACTCGCGAATTGCAATCACAACTTGGTTCTATTGATCAACTCCTATCTTCAAGTTCTGTTGGTCCATCAATCCAATTCACAAGTTGAGTTCGTTGTCAACTTGAAAAAAGTCAACGCTTGTTTTGATTCGTCTGGTGTGCATGTGTGAGTGTGTGACGTGTTGTGAATCAGAGTAATGAATGACAATCACCTGGGATGACTGTTGTGAACTCCATCACTTGTACTTAATCTTACTTCTTCAACAACAACATAAACATAAACACACATTCAATTCCATATATATATAACAATAAATTAACACACTAGACAGAGATGATAGATAACTTTACGATATTGACCAAGGGAGGCATTGTTCTCTGGTCGATCGAGTGGGCAAGACTCAAGGGTCACCCAATCAACAACCTTATTAAGACTGTATTGGTACAGGAGAGAAGTGCCGACGCCTCCTATCAGTCTGATAACTATACTCTCAAATGGACCTTTGCCAACGAGGTTGATCTGATCTTTGTTGTATGACATTGTTGTTATAAAGTGGTTATTCACATGTAGCTCACACAACATCTCTCTCTCTCTCTCTCTCTCTCTCTCTCTCTCTCTCTCTCTCTCTCTCTCTCTCTACAAACATACATAGGTTGTTTACCAAAAGATTCTCACCTTGATGTACATTGAGGATCTACTTAGCATTGTCAAGAGAAAGTTCATCAAGCTCTACAAGGATACCCTTGTTTCAATCAAGAACTCCTCAGACGTCCTCGACATTGACACCTTCCAGCCATTCACAGACAAGTTCCAGCTAATACTAAACAAGACAGAAACAGAGTCTCGAATGAAACAGTCACAGCACTCGGCACCACGATCCTTTGATCAGACAGAGAAGGGCAAGGTGGCAATGGAGAACAAGCAGGAGCGTGAATTGAAGGACAAAAAGGATGGCAAGTCCATCAAGAAGAAGAAGGACACGACCGGTGCCAACAGGAAGAAGAAAACACCTCAGAAGGGTCAACAGCAGTCTAGCAGTGGCAGTGACAACAGTAGCAGTGGTGACGATGATGAGTCGAGCGATGAGCATGAAGCCATACAGAATGGTGATGAGGAGGATCCAGAGATCAAGAGGACAAGGATGGCATTGGCTTCATCTTTGCGCACGAGTGGCTCAAAGAAGAACACACCTACAAAGAAGGCTCCAGAGCAGACCACCCCTGTAAAGGTTGGCAAGGACAAGAGAGTGTCAGACACCAAAATATCAAAGAAAGAGATGGAGATGATCGATAGATCAGATCACAGTACCAAAACAGTATGTACCCATTACATCACGAGTAGAGTACCTGCCTATACTGACTTCATCGTCTCACATTTTAGAGGGTAGTGGACACTGTTAAGGACTTTGTGAAGCATGACATGGACTTGGAGATCAGTTCGGATGAGGAAGAGAAGCCAGTGTCTGGATTCATGAAGTATTTCCAGAAGCTCACTGGCAACAGGACCATTGACCAGCAGGACCTTGAGCCCATTCTACAACAGTTCACATCGCATCTTACTGGCAAGAACGTTGCACTGGACGTGGCACAAAAGTTGGTAGACTCGGTCGGAGAGAGTCTCATGGGCAAGAAGCTGGACACATTCCAGCGTGTAAACACGGTGGTCAAGCAAACTATGGAGGACACAATGACACGTATCTTGACACCAAAGAAGAACATTGACATCCTTCGTGACGTTCAGGCTGTCAAGGGTAAGCGTCCGTACACCATTGTCTTCTCTGGAGTCAATGGAGTTGGAAAGAGCACAAACTTGGCCAAGGTTTGCTACTGGCTCAAAGCCAATGGCTTCAAGGTCATGATGGCTGCATGTGACACCTTCCGTTCAGGTGCCATTGAGCAACTCAAGACACATGCCGAACGTCTCAACGTTGAGGTGTTTGAAAGAGGATATGGCAAGGACGCTGCAGCGATTGCCGGCGAGGCCATTCAGCACGCCAGAGAGACAGACCACGACGTCGTGTTGATCGACACAACCGGCAGAATGCAGAACAACGAGCCCCTGATGAGAGCACTCAGCAAACTGGTCAACCAGAACACAATTGACCTTGTACTCTTTGTTGGCGAGGCTCTGGTAGGCAACGACGGTGTTGATCAATTGGTCAAGTTTGACAAGTCACTCTCTATCTTGGCCGATGCCACTCAAACCAAGGTCCGAACTATCGATGGTATCATCCTGACCAAGTTTGATACGATCGATGACAAGGTGGGAGCAGCCATCTCCATGGTGTACACTACAGGTCATCCAATCATATTCCTCGGTACTGGTCAGAACTACACGGATCTCAAGAGGATGCACGTCAAGAGTGTTGTCAAGGCTCTCCTCAACTAGAGTGTCCAAACGTTTATTGCAAAGCGGTGTTACCTCGTCAACACTTTGATTGCTCCATATCATCACTACTACTACTAGTATGTTGTTGTCGTTGCCAATTCAATAAATTGTACTTGTCATCGAAGTAGAAGCTGTAGGAAAACGGATGTTTGTTGTTGGTAGCACTACCAATCTGACTCAAGAACGTTGGAAACCAATGTGCAACATCAGGCCACATCTGTTTATATGGCACATCATCCAACTTGAACCATTGTGGCCTCATTTCCTCTGACTCTATCATCTCTCCTGTCCATTTATCTACTTGGAACACAGAGCAGGTTGTAGTCTCGCTAGCAATCTTATAATTAAAGTTCAATACACCTCTACATTGTGAAAGTTAGAAACTACAATCTATGATCCTTGAGAACTCTACTACCATTACGTACCTCAAAGACATATGATCCTTCAGAGGCATCAGACCAACTTCCTCGATACACTCTCTAATTGCAGCGTCTTGTACTGTCTCACCTGCTTCAACCTTTCCACCAGGACCATTCCACTTGTGTTGTCCGAATCCCCTCTTCTTCATGGCCAACAGTATCTCGCCTCTGCTTTGATCCAACAATAGACAGATTGTTGTCTTCTTCATTGTTTGTCTTACAAATAAACAGTTAGTAAATCTCTCTTTCACGTCCAACGATAAGATGAAAATGACACGAAGGACCAGATCATATGTTACTGTAAATGTTTATTCAGCTGTCCATTGTGGTTGCTACTACGGCAAATACTGATGATGCTGCTGCTGCTGTTGTTGTTGTTGTTGTTGTTGTTGTTGTTGCTGTTGCTACTACTACTTCAACTCGATCGATCGATTATTATTTGATATCAGTCTCATCCTCCTTGCCCTTGACCAACTCTCCCTTATATATAAACTTGTGACCGTATCTCTTTCTCTTTGTTGTTACAATGTCTTCCTCGAGCACCTCATAGTTCAAACCTAATCATTGTTGTTGATGATGTCGATGAAGTTAGTTAGTACAAGTTAGTGTATGACACCAACAATGACAATGTTGATGATACATTACCATTCTCTTTACAATAGGCAACAGCAGAGTCCTCTGAAGTGAAGGTGAGATTCAACTGACCGAGTGTACCAGCTGATGCCCACCATCCCATCAGACCATCGTTCCACTTCTCGACCATGGGCAACTCTAGACGCCACTTGCGAGTTCTGCCAGTGCCCGATTGCATTGTGTTTCTTGATGGTCTATAGATGAGCACGGTCTTGCCATCCAACTTGATGCCATTGAGAGCAGTCTTTATCTTTTGATCCTCAAAGTTTGCATTGATGTGCTCTCCAACCTGCATATCAGTCTCGGTGACCTTTTGTTGCTGTTGCTGTTGTTGCTGCTGTTGCTGCTGTTGTTGTGCGACAGACGTCGAGAATGATCTGACCAGCAATGGGTTGTGAGCAGTCCTCAATGAGGTGGTGGATGTTATCAACAGTCTCTTCAACATCTTATTGTTGTTGTTGTTGTTGGTATTGTTGTTGTTGATGTTGTTGGTGATGAATCTATCTTTATGTTTCAAAAGAAGTGACAGTCAAGGGGGGAGCTCTTTGGTAGCTTCCTCATAAAAAATCATTCATTTTTCATTTATTATTACAAATCATTCAGGTTTCGTCTACCTACAACAACAAGAAACGAGATACATGATAAACTTTATTCTGGTATCAAACATATAAATATATATAAGACACAATCGAACATGGACTATGAAAATGAACAATACTCTTGGATACCATTTTTAGATGAGGACGATCCTCTACCTGGTCAATGTGTAAGTTGGATGATGACGATCATTCATCTCCAATCGTCCTAACATATGAAGTACTGACCCTCAACCAACAGTGTCCATATGCAACCAGTTCACCATTTTCAATTGATAGAATGCTACGTATGGCCAACTGTGACCAAGATGACATTGTGATCGATGTTGGTTGTGGTGACGGTCGCATTGCAATCTATGCAGCCAAGCATTTCGGTGTAAAGTCAATTGGAATCGATGTCAATCCTGAACTCATAGATAAAGCAAACCGCGATGCCAAAGAGGCTGGTGTCTCACATCTTGCACTATTCAAGTAGGATGCTCATCATCACTGGTCCAGTTTGAAACACATTGACTAACAACAACAACAACATCTACAACAGGATATTGAGCTTTGCAGAAGAATCATTCGACTTTAAGTTGAGGACGATAGATGCTGAATTCTTCAAGGATAGCCAGCATATCTATCCAACCATTTTCACATGCTATCTCATTCCAAGAGCGTTAAAGATCATAGAGTCAAGGTTAAAGTCAATCGTTAGAGGTCATAACTCAACACCATCACCACTGTGTAATACTACGCCAGACAACAACAACAACAACAACCAACAACAACACAAGGACATTAGAGTTACTGCTCTTATTTTCGAAATGGAAAGATGGAAAGAGGTGGAAAAGGATGACAAGTTTAAGATCTTCATGTACACAAAGGAATCATTGGACTTGGTACCAACTTCAATCAATACAGATAATCCCTACATTATGTAGTTAGTGATCAAGACAATGAGATAGAGAGAGGGAGAGAGATAGATAGGATAGAACATATTTATATATTTTTAATATATATATTGATATGACCGACTACGTCGTTTAGTTTAGGGTCTGGACGTAGGCCAACAGGTTCTTGAAGACTGGGGTACCCAAACCGGTGACTGGGTCCCAACCGGTGGTGGCAATGTATCCATTGGCATCACAGCATTGCTCAGTGCACTTGTTGTTACCAGAGGTGATATCGGTGTAACAGTTGGCTGGGGCAGAGTAGAGCAGTGGGTTGAGGAATCCGAGGGCTGGCTTGTTGTTGTTGAAACGGTACGAGTTGAGCAGGGCAACGATGGCACCCCACACTGGTGACGAACAGGAGGTTCCGTCGACGACCTCGGACTGACCAGAGGCGATGATGACGTAGTTGTGACCCAAGGCAGATACGTCTGGGAAACCACGGTTGCTGGCGTTGAAGACGGTTGATGGTGGAAGGACAACTCCGGACTTCAAGTAGGCGGCAACCTGGGTGGCTTGCCATGATGGCACTGGGGAGTAGTCAGAGAAACCACCTCCAGTGGTGATCAGAGCATCTGGGTAGGTGCAGACGGCCTCCTTGGTAGAGGTGGCACAGCCTGGGCTCTGAGAGCAGATTGGTGGGTTGGCACCGACGGACTTCTTGGCGTGCTTCTTGTCAACGGTGGATGGGGCAGCCAACATGGTGGCACCGACAGAGGTGACGTATGGGGAGGCACCTGGGAAGATGGTGGAGAGTGGGTGCTTCTTGTCAGTGCAGTCAGAGTCTCCATCACCTGGAGCACCCTGGTCACCAGAGGCAGCGAGCAAAGTAATACCACGGACACCAATCTTGATGAACTCAGCGTTGACACGGCCGACGTAGTCCTCAGAGGTCTCACCAGAGGCGCAGTTTCCGACACCGGACTGGCACTGGAGGTTCTCTGGCCATCCCCAGGACATGGAGACGACGTATGGGGCTGGGTAGGTGGTGGACAAGTCAGAAGAGAACTCGTACATCCATCCCTCGACAGTCCAGAACCAGATCTGGGCGGTCTCAGCAACGGCACCTCCGTACTGGACATCGAGAGTTGACTCGAGGTCTGGCTGGTCTGGCTGGTACTGACCGACGATCTTCTCGACGTTGATCAATGGGGTGGCGGTCTGGGTGGAGAAGGTCTTCAAATCCTTCTTGTTGAATGACTGATCAGCCTGGAACTCAGCCAAACAGAGGGAGGTGTTGGCGTTGTTTTGGTAGCCAACTGGGATTCCGTAGAGACCCTGGATGGTCTGTGGAATGACGATTCCTGGGTCAGAGGATCCGACGGCAAGCTTACGTCCGGATGGACGGTTCTTGGTGTGTGGGAGCTCAGAGATACCAGAGACCAATTGGATCTCGTCGGCGTACTTGGCTGGGATGGTGTACAACTTGGAAGAACGGACGATGTGCATGTTCTTGCGGGTGTTGTGCTTGTAGTTGAACATCTCGACCTTGAACAACTTCTCAATGTCCTCAACACGGGCTGAGGCCTTGAGGAAGTCACCCTTGTTCTCGACGTTGTAGGCGCCGTGCAACTCGAGGAACTGAACGATCTCGTCAGAAACGTAGTGTGGTGGGGCAATCAACTCCATGATGCGCTCAATGGACCAGTGCTTGCCTGTTGTTTTTTGGTAGGTAAGGTAGGTAGTTTGGAGGTAGAGAAAGTGTGGAAGACATTGTTAGAAAATATAATTATTAACATCGTTTTCATAATGATAGTTACCATAGTTTGGTGAAGTTGGGGTGGAGACATCCAAAAGGACGGCCTCGAGGACATCAATGTTTCTCTGACGGAGGGCAACACGGAAGTCAATGACGTGGTCAGCGGCAGCCTTGGTGGTCTTGGTCCAGAGGCTGTGGTCACGGTAGGACAGGGACATAGATGGTACTGCCAAGCAGATGGCAAGTACAACCAAAATGAATAAATGTCTCATTCTTTGTTTAGTGTACAACAAGTAATATATAAGTATATATTGGTAGATATATCTAAATTAATAATAATGTCATTAACGGTGTTGGCATTGTATTTATCAACCTTCCTTGCATGTGCCAACCAACCAACCAGTCAGTGCGTGATCCCAATTGGGTGAGAGCTTTACTGATTCGGAATTGTTTAATTTAAATTAAATACATTGTGATCATCCAAATTAATCATGAGCTACTGTAGGGCGATGTTAATGATCATAGAAGGCCAAAAAAATATCCGATGATGAGTTGGTTGTTGAGTGTGTGAACATGCAACAACATCAAGAAATTGAGCATCTATCAACGGTCCTGGACCTGCAGGTCCGACCCTACCCAATATCTAACAGGTTGAAACTTCTTCAGCATGTGTTTAAAATATTTGGGCGGGATTGAAAGAACTCCAGATACTTCTGTAGAACATTCTTTTGCAACACTACCACGAGCTGGCATTCTACAAAAATCTGTAATTGCTTTGCCACCTGTTTAATGCTTTGATTGATTGGTCATTTTCACTCTTTATTTATTATTTATCTGTACACTATTTACATTGTTGTTTTGTCTCTCTCACTTTCTCGGCACTCTATATCTCGACTCTGTTTGATTTGCTGGGCATACCAATAATGGTTGTCAAATGCGACACTATTGAACAACCGGAGTTACTCGAGGCTGTGCAACAGCAGTTGCCGAGGCTGTTGGCACTACCTTTGGTATGTCTGGAGGAATGTTGGACATGTTGCTACGGAACTCGCTGTCAAACAGAGGTACTGGCATGCTATGAGATGACATTGGCATCAATTCACCAATGATGTCACGCAATGTGACCACACCTATCGTCTTGAACATCTCGTCAACGATGTAGACACGGTGCACGGATTTGTTGACAAAGATCTCCAGAATATCCTCGAGTGTGTCATCGAGCGAGCAGGTGATAGGCTCCCTGTCTATGAACTCAAACACAGGCGAGAACAATCGCTTCCAATTCTCACCAGCATTGCCAATCTTCTTGATATCTCTTGCAGATAGATTGCCCACCAGTGTTCCGTTCTCCTGGATTACTGCCACTCCACCAACGCCCATTATCTTGATGAGCTTAAAGGCGTCAATCACCTGCTCGTCCTCTAGCACCGACATGACGTATTGGTTGGCAGCGTTGATTTGCGACACCTTTCTTGATCTTCTGGATCCAAGTTTTTCGACATTGTCATAGACCCAATGGATCAAGTCGAACTCTGTGATGATGTCCACCACCTCCTCACGGTCGTCCACCACTGCAATCCTGTTGATTGATTGTTTTGCAAGGGATTCAAATGCAGTGAACAAGGAGGTGGATGGTGACAGCTTTTGATATTTAATCGATTTACCATATGGATACTCTAAAGATGGATATGATTAGATTAATGTGTACCCAACTAATTGAGGGTTGAGTGTGATGACAAGACATACCCATAAGTTGGCCTACGTTCACGTTCTTGAACTCCTCAACCTCAAAGAATGATGTGGCCTTCTTGAAATGTTCTGTAAATTGTATGTATTGAATGAATGGATGAATGATTAGTATAATGGTGGAAGTATCATCTACAAGGACAATCTATACTTACTCTTTCCAGTCTCATCGACGATGAATTTGATAATGTCTAATAGGTCAACCATTCCATAGAACAAACCACCTTGTTTCAACACTGGACAGGAGAGGATCTTGTTCTTGAGTAGTTTCTTTAATAATTGTTGGACATCATCAAGGTTAACAAGATTGACTACAACCACCAGATAACAACATGATATTATTTTATGTACATACGTCGAATATACTCTGTAGAGATTCATCACGGTGCGACACCACTATCTCATGTCTGGAAGACAGGTCCTTATGATCGGTCCTCCTCTTCTTGTGAAGTGGAGTAGAGTGTTCAAAATGAGCAATGTTGGTCTTGGTCAGGGACAGTATAAATTCATCATAGACATAATCTTGACCTTCCTCTCCCTCCAGACTATCATCGTCATTGTTGTTGGATGGCGCCTTATGTTTCTTATGAAGTGACTGTACCTGATGATGAGTCTGGCCACTATGTTGTTTCTTCTTTGTTGATGTCATATTTGTATATGTCTAACAGCTAAATGTAATAATTGAAAGAAGGTGTAACATGACCATAGCCTTTATAAGTTTGGTCTGTTGCAAACAAGTATGGAGACAGATGAAGAGGAAATGGTGTCCTACAAGACTCACATTAATTAATGAATGAATGGTGGTAAGGATAAAGTGGGGGGTGTATCTTATCCTTATTAGGGAATTAATAGTTTGTTAGACAACAGGGTCCACTTCAATACATCCAATGTGGGGGTGGTGTCAAACAGATAGAACAAGGATGATTGGATTCGTTAATGGCTTATATATATGTTTATTTACTTTATGACATGGGGCTTTGTCTTTGATTTAGTTGTTTTGTGGGGTCAATGGGGTACCTGGACAGTTGGAATCAGAGACACCAGTGAGGAGAATACCGACGATCAGACCGTAGAGACCCAAGGCCTCAGAGAAAATGAGAATAAGCATCATAATAACGTACAACTTGACCTGCTGACCGAAGGCCCTGACTCCAGAGTCACCAACAATGCCAATAGCCATACCGGCGGCGAGACCACAGAGACCGACAGTGAGACCAGCACCGAGATCAGTGAAGGACTTGAAGAGGGTGTAGTTCTTGTCTGGCTTGAGACCTCCGACGATAATGACACAGATAATCAGACCATAGATAGCAATGACACCAGCGAAAATGACTGGAATGAAAGCTCTAATAACGAGATCTGGCTTCATGACACCCATGTTAGAGATACCGACGGCTGACTTGGCAGTTCCGTAAGCAGCTCCCATGACTATTCATTCATTCAATGATTGAAAGAGAGTATTAGTTCAATGTTCAAACTTTTGATCTGTGTGTTGTTAAAGATGATTCTTACCAGTAAAGACGAGGGCAGCAGTAACACCCATAGCACCAAAGAATGGTGCGTAAACTGGGCAGGCTGGGGTAATGATACGAGCCAACAAAGCCAACAATTGAATCATTGTTTAATCTGTATGATTGTCATCAAAGGATTGTTTGTTAGTCGATTGTGTTTCGAATGATTAAATCTATTGCAATAATAATACATACAATGTATATGTGTGAGTTAAGAAAGAAAGTTAACTTAAAGAAATTTGTTGTGTGAATGAATGTGTGTGGAGGAGCACAATGAATGCTTTGAGTGTTGAGTGAAGAGGTTGACATGATCGAGAAGATTTTTTCTTTTTAACTTTCTATTTGATTTAATTATTTTTTAATGTTTACAGATTCAAGAGAAGAGTTGAAGCGAGCTGACCTGGGATTGCTTGTGTGGAGTGTTGTGTGTGAATAGTGTCAATGACCTGGTGTGAGTTGCGCATCATTCCCTGTGAATGACAAAAGAAATTGCAAAATAAAAATAAATGGCACAGAACTGGGCACTCTAACTGAAGTTTGACAGGGAGAGTGGATACTCTGGTATGTCTGGTGTTCTCTCAACCAGTCTCTCTTGTCATATCTTTTTAGGTGTTGGTTGATTTTGGTTTGACACTGAGTGAGAGCGACAAAAGAGTCAAGTGCACACTATTCATATTACGATCACACCTCTCTCTTTGACGACTATTATTATTTATACTTTAACTTTACATTTATATATTATCTTGTTAGCATATATACACACACAGTAGTAGCAATGTCAACTCCAGTCGTTCCATATCCATACAACGAGAACGCTTTCTTCATTGCCACAATCTCACCAGGCACTTGGGCTGCTCTGGGTTGTGGTCTTTCCATTGCCCTTTCTGTCGTCGGTTCTGCATGGTATGATCATTTACATAATCAGATATTATGCATGCCTTGATAACATCCTAACATCCATCACAACCATACTCATATATATCTATGATCAATCAATCGTCGACTTCATCATCAACAATAATACAGGGGCATTTGGATTACAGCATCATCGTTGTTTGGTGCAGCAGTTGGTGAGCCAAGAATCAGATCAAAGAACATTATCAGTATCATTTTCTGTGAAGCCGTTGCTATCTATGGTATCATTTTGGCTATCATTCTAAAGGGCCGTATGGACGGACCACCCAACTCAAATGATCTCCAACAGTGGGCTGACAACTACATGGCCGGCTACCTCATGTTTGGCGCTGGTATCACTGTTGGTTTTTGTAATGTATTCTCAGGGTATGTATCGTCTGTTTACTTCAAACTCAATCAACAGTTGTCCAGACTCGCTCACACATTCATTCATTCTACCAACATCATAATGCGACAATGATAATGATCATCATGATAACGATAATATATACAGACTTAGTGTTGGTATTGCAGGAAGTGGATGTGCTTTGGCAGATGCACAGAACCCAGTACTCTTTGTAAAGATGCTCATCGTTGAGATTTTCGCAGGTGCTCTTGGATTGTACGGTGTCATTGTCGGCATCTTGATGTCGTCCTCTGTCACTCTGGGCTCAAAGTAATAGAATGCAATGAGATTCAAGAAGACAGGCAGCAGGCATCAGCAACAGCAGCAGTGGCATATCAACAGGACGATCGACAATCATCACAGATCAGCTACAGCGCTGTTGTAGCAATATTAGTAACAAATACACATCATTTTACATTCACCGATAATCAATCAATCAATTAATCATGATCGATCATTACCTCCTGGTAGTTTATATAATGTCGGTGTCCACCAGTATTTATTGTATATATATTTGTATGGAACATAAGAGTCTAATAGTCTAGGCCAATGTTTGTTTCATTCCCTCCTTCTTTGTGCCAGTGACAGAGCCTCGTTCCTTCAGGAAGTTCTTGTATCTGTAAGGATGAGTGTTGCATAGTATTAATATGATGTTGTTGAGTTGTACCAAAAAGAACAGAACATACATTGATTCATATCTATTCCTTTCTGATGGTGACACTGATGCTGTTGAATCCTCAAAGGCCTCATCAAAGTGTCTTTTACCAATAAGAGGTGGTTTGTCCTCCTGGATAGCCTTCTGGATGGTCACATCGGACGTGCCATTCTGCGTGTACTTTTGGTGATGAGTCTTTATCTCTTCGATCTAAGATTAAACATGATTAGTATTTATACATATATGTACAACCAATTGAACCATCAACTTCTTCTTTCTTACCTTTTTCAATAAAATATTCTTCTCCTCAGCTGTCATTGGCTTGGAGGTGATCTGTTGGTTGTCCACTCCATCAACGGATCCATCTCCAGGTTGGAAGATGACAATGGATGTATTTCCAACTGCCTCTTCATCCTTGGCATTCTCTTCTTGTCTTTGTCGCTTCTGAAGCTCCTTCTCTTTCATAAACTCATGGATAGCCTTTAGCTGTGCGTTGTACATGAGAGCTCGAAGGTCTGCGCCAGTGTATCCAGGTGTCCTCTCTGCAAGATCTGATGCAGACACCTCGTTCTTGTCAATGTTCATCTTGGCGGCCAACTTCTCCAGAATCTCCAATCGCTCATTTTGTTCTGGTATGTTGCAGTACAGACTTTTGTCGAGACGACCTGGTCTGAGTAGTGCCGGATCGATGAGGTCTGGCCGACTGGTGGCAGCCAGCACATAGACACCGCGCAGTCCCTCCACACCATCCAGTTCGGTGAGGAACTGGTTGACAACACGATCAGTGACACCAGTGCTGTCATGTCCACGACGAGGTGCGATCGAGTCAAACTCATCAAAGAACAGAACGCATGGTGTGGCAGATGATGCTCGTGTGAACATGTCTCGCACGGCTTGTTCACTCGAACCAATGTACTTGTTGAGCAGCTCGGGACCCTTAACCGAGATGAAGTTGAGACCAAACTCTCCAGCGATTGATGAGGCCAACATAGTCTTGCCACAGCCAGGTGGACCATAGAGCAGCAGACCAGACCTCATTCTGATCGGTGACGATTGGAACAGTCTCGGATACTTAGCTGGGTATCCAACGGTCTCCTTCACCATTGAACGTACGCTGTCCAATCCACCAATGTCGGCCCACTGTGCAGCATCAGAGACGTGCAGCTTTACACCCTTGAGTGTGATTGGTGTGTATCCTTCTTTGGCGTCACGCAATGCCGACAGATTGATCTGTTTGATTGTTGTTGTGTTCTCGTTCAGTGACTCTATGGATGCGACGTGAATGCTTCTCTCAACCAGTGCCTCCAAGTCAACTGGTAGATAGCCCTCCAGTGACGATGAGAACTTGTTCAAGTGATGTTGCTCCTTTCGATCCTTATCGCATAGTGACAGATTGTGCAACTTCAAATGGATATCCAGTATCTCTAATCTCTCCTCCCTGGTTGGTGGAGGAATGTCTATGTTCAGTCCAAACACATCTGGTGTCTGGATGTCCTTGTTAAGTGACTGTGTTGACTTGGTGGTGGCAATAATGATCAGGGGATGTTCACGATCAGCTGCATCCACCGTAACCAATGTTTTTAGATAGGAACATATTTGTTCACATCTAATCTTTGAGCCTGGATCTTGTTCATTAGGATTGCTCAGTATAGCATCCAAGTTCTCCAGCCAAAGTATTGAGGGTCTAGATGCCTTGACCTTCTCGACTGCTCTGTTCAGTACCTTTCTGATCGTCACCACCTTGCTCTCAATGTGATCCGAACAATTGACCTTTACAGCATCTGTATGATTGAATGAGTGAGTACTTTGTATCATTTAAACAATAAATTGTAACTTACATGCCAGGGTCTTTGGATTAGTTGCAAAGTGAGCACAAAGGGCGGTTGCAAGAAGGCTCTTGCCACTACCATGAGGTCCTGCAATGATGACACCACCAACACCAGGGGTGTACAGCTGATCACGTACGATTGAGTAGTCGCCTCTGAGCAGAAGTGATAGATACTCCACTGCCTGCTTGATTTTGGTTGCCATGCCACCAACCCTTGTCGGTAGAATGTCACCAATCTCGAAAAAGTCCTCCAACTTGTTGACCTTGTACAGTTTGCCAATGGTCATGTTGTCCGAGAGCAACGAATCAGCGCCCAGCATGAACAGTCCATATGTCTGCTGGAAGGCTGCACCAGCAGTATTCCTTCCCCTGTTTGGTTCTTCATTGTTTGTGTTCTCATTGTTGTTGCCATCTGTCTCACTACCTTCAACGAATCCATTGATTCGATTCGTGAGTGTACTGTTAAGATGAGACACAAAGTCTGGTCGCTTGTCCATCCTGTTGTTGGCAGTCGGATCTGATGGTCTCTGTGTGTTGAACTGGAAGCAGATGTCAATGGATGGTGTGTTGTACCTTGTTGATGGTGGCAATGTGATGACTGAGCCATTGACCAATGACAGTTGGCAGTCAGAGAGATACTTGACGGCCCACTCCTTGATGACATCCTTCATCACGTGAGCTGGAAGCAATGGGGTCTTGGCACTCTTGGGTGAGAAGGGCAGGTGATTACTTTGGAACATCACTTGTGATATCGTGACGTTGCTGATTTGACATAGAGGCAATGTGTGACGAGGCAACAGACGCACCTTCACTTGTGTGTTGATAAGGAATGATGCAGTGGCTCGTAATGTGCGACTGACCATCACATGTTGGTTGGATCGTACGCTTGAGCTGGTGTACACACTCGCATATATACACTTTGCACTGCCAACTGATAGCGTCGATGATGTCTTTCCAGATGATGGCATTGACATATTGTCCTTGTCATCAGTCTCATTGTCGTCATTATCTGTCTTGTTCCCATCACCCGACGATGATGACCCACGCTCTATACTGATCTGTACAATGTCACCTTCATTCCAATGGAATGATTGTAGTGCCTGTTTGGAGACAAACACAACGGATGTGAATGATGAAGTTGGAGGTTGTGCATTACTCAAAGGTGTACTATCAGTGGTAGTAGTAGTGGAGGTTGCAGTGATTACTTCTTGAACGAGTAGATATCGAGGCTTTAGGGCTTCAGCATTGTTGTTGCCAGATGTGCTAGCCACTTGTCGAGGTTTGGGTGCTACAATGATCTCTGCATCGTGAGAGAGTCTTACTAGATCGAACGGTGATGTATCGATGATCTTGAGACGAATGACCGTGGTATGATGTATCCACACAGGTACAACCTGATCGCGAAACAGCACATTGACTTGATTGAGCAACTGTTCCTCAAGATACTCTTGATGCAACTCCAATATCTCCCAATCATCAGGTGTCAGTGGCTCCACCTGTACCGACACGGCTTGATTGACATTGGGTTGAGCCCTCACCGTGACCTTTGTGTGATCTGCCAGTCCCAGACAGCCAGCCATCTCACTATTGATCTCTATTGCATCTTGACCACTCGATGGGTCAGTGGCACCTCCAGACCAACCGACCCAAACACGTCTCTCCTTCTTTGTTGTCTTGTCGGTCCAAGACAATTCCAAAGTCAATGATCCAATAGATATCCCTGCATTCTTCTACATCATTCATTACAACATAGTTAGCATCTTCACGATTATTGTTGTCTTGTCGTTCAACACATACTTCACTAAGAGCGATCAGTGATTGAACTAACTTTGGAGGTAGAGATACAAAGCAATTGGTACTGTGTTTATATGTTACGTGTAGCTCCATCTCAAAGATTATTACATGAATGGTTGAAGAAAGAGTTCTGAAGTTTGATTAGGTATGAATGGAAGTGTGTGATTTGATCATTCTCATTGCTTCGCGCGTTTATTTATCGATAGTAATACTTATGATATGGATACAACTACTACCTCATCATCATCATCTTCACAGGCAATAGTACAATACTCATCATCATCATTGACAACTACATCATCTCCTTCAAAGATGGATGATTTACTTCGTTGTCCAATATGCTTTGATTACATTGACATTGCAATGATGATCATTTCATGTTCACATAACTGTACGTAGACCTCAAGGACAACACTACAACTACATCATATACATAGCTAACTATAATAATAATAATAGACTGTTCACTATGTATTAAGAAACACTTTTCTCAATCTAAACTACATTGTCCATTGTGTCGAAAGGTATGTTGGACGTCGTTGATCTAGTCTCCCAATCCTATTTCCTAACAAATATATATATATACATAGGCAGCAACATCATCGGATCTAAAGAATAACAGACTGTTGGATGAGATCATAACATGCTTTAAAGTACATCTTGCGAATGGTCTACTCAACAATTCACATCTCAGTCCAGAGAAGAACATCAACAACAACACTAGAACAAAGAAACGTCCATCACCTTTCAATTCACCAGAGGTGTCCAATGAGAAGAAGTCAAGATCAACTTATAGCAACATTGATGACAACAGTCAACAATCACATGACCAATCACCTGGAAACAACTCTAGGATGCTGACTCGTTCAAGATCACAGAAGGAAGGCATTCATTTATCAAACTCTCTTTGGTCAGACTCACTTGCTATGGGTGCTCCCAAGAAGAGATCATCACGTTCACCAAACAAGAGTCAAGATAGTCAGCAGCAACAACAACAGCACAGCGATAATGACACTTCAGACATACTGGACCAACTTCCAAGCAGTGGCGAAAGCAATGTCAATGTTCCAGCACCAATCAAACTACCCGATAAGGTCAGGTGTCCATCATGTGATCTGTTGGTATCAGCATCCTTCCTTCAACGCCACAGGGACTTTTGCGACGACGATAGCATCCAATCATCACAACCATCACAATCAGTATTATCATCATCATCATCAAAGAGTCAAGCAAACTCAATGCAACTGGCCATCATCACACCGCCTAGATTGACTCCACTACCCAAGCTTTGCTACTCAATAATGAACAGTCGACAACTTAAAGACGCACTCAAGAATCTTGGACTGAGGACGAATGGAAGTCGTGACGTTATGAAGACTCGGCACAAAGAGTATACACTTCGACACAACAGTCAGTGCGACAGTCTAAATCCAAAGTCGACTGAAGAGATTATCAGGGAACTGTATGAGCATGAGGATTTGACGACGAAGCCAAAGGCCAAGACCCAACGAGCGACCAAACGTACATCTGCATCCTCATCTTCATCATCCGCCGCAACTCAATCTACTACAACGCCACAATCTCAAAGTGCAGATGACTCATCACAGAGCGTTATGATATTACCACCGCCAACATCAACATCCAATGGTAACGTTGCAGCTGTGTATATCAAGGTAGTCGTCCAACGGAAATTGGTTACTAACCTATCATCATCACAATTCAATCATTCATCTTTTATAGACGATATGTTTGAAAGACTGAAAGCAGAGATCTTAGGAAGGAGGACACAGTCCAGCTCCCAATCGACATGAATGTGAGCCGCTACATTGTACATTACCCATAAAGATGATCATCCATCACTGTGTATAGTATATGAAGAACAAGTTGTTGTACTTTATTCTAATTGAACAGGTTGCTCTGCTTGAGAGCGGAGTGGGACCCACTACTTAGAGGGATGGGTGACGGAAGGACTCTCCGGCAAACTTGGAGTGACCAGCGACTTCCTCCTCGATTCTCAACAATTGGTTGTACTTGGCCAATCTCTCGGATCTGCATGGAGCACCAGTCTTGATTTGACCGGTTCCCAGACCGACAACGAGGTCAGCAATGAAGGTGTCCTCGGTCTCACCACTTCTGTGGCTGACCATGACGCCCCACTTCTCATTCTGTGACATGGTGCATGCCTCAATACTCTCAGTGACGGAACCAATCTGGTTAACCTTGAGCAAGAGGGCATTGCATGCCTTCTTCTGGATACCCTCCTTGATTCTCTGTGGGTTGGTGACCAGCAGATCATCACCAACAATTTGGATTGGGACTGAAGCTGTGAGCTTGCTGTATGACTCCCAATCATCCTGTTTGTTTGAGATAAAGGAGTAGTATGAGAGGTAAGTGAGTTAGAGGAATGATACTTGGTACACTTCTTTCACGTTGTTAACAAACATACCTGATCGAATGGATCCTCGATGGAAATGACTGGATACTGGGCAACGAATGATCTGTAGAGATCACCAAGAGCCTCACCAGAGATGACCTGGGAGCCGTCGTTGTTCTTGGTCTTGAAGTCAAGATCGTATCCCTTTGGTGTGCAGAACTCAGAGGCAGCACAGTCCATACCGATCTTAACCTTGCCCTCGTGACCAGACTTTTGGATGGCCTGGACGAGCAGATCGAGACCGTCCTTGTTGGAGAGGATGGGTGGGGCAAAACCTCCCTCATCTCCGACATTGATGGCATCCTGACCATAACGGGACTTGATGACGTCCTTGAGGCTGTGGTAGACCTCAGCACCCATGCGAAGGGCCTCCTTGAAGCTTGGGGCACCGACTGGGAGAATCATGAACTCTTGCATGGCAAGACGGTTGCCAGCGTGGCTACCTCCGTTGATGACATTGAATGCTGGCACTGGGAGAATGAACTGAGTCTCGGAGCGACCAGCGAGACGAGCGATGTACTTGTAGAGTGGGAGTTGCGAGGCGGCGGCACCGGCTCTGCACACGGCCATACTGACGGCCAGGATGGCGTTGGCACCGAGCTTGCCCTTGTTGTTGGTGCCATCGAGGGTGATCATAGCCTTGTCAATCTCTGACTGCTTGGTGACATCCATTCCGATGACGGCCTTCTCGATGGTCTTGATGTTCTCGATGGCCTTGAGGACACCCTTTCCAAGGTATCTAGACTTGTCACCGTCTCTAAGCTCGACGGCCTCATGGACACCGGTGGAGGCACCAGATGGGACGGCAGCACGGAACATAGCACCATCGTCAGTGAACAGATCTACCTCAACAGTTGGGTTTCCACGGCTGTCCAAGATCTCTCTTGCCTTGATTTGTTTAATAGTTCTGACCATTGTTTTATATATGTATAGTTATTTTGTTTTAGTTATATTTGTTTGTGATTATTGTATGTCACTAATGACTAAAGTGCGTGTGTTGTTTGTTGTGTTGAGTTAGGACTGACACAGAGTGCAGTTCAACCTAGGTGCTGTTCACACAACTCACACCCACTCTTTCATTAGCACTCAAGACACCCCGTGGGAACTTGAAACACAATTTTTATTTATTTATTTATTTGTTTGTTTTGTTTGACAACAAAAACAACACAATCAATGACCAATAAAGGCAAACAACCGCAATCCTGATCGGCAAATTTATACTCTACAGTACGTATTTATTATTATTATACAACAATAGGTTGATAGCGCTGTGGTGGTTGGTGACTACTACTACCACTGTTGTTGCTACTATTCATACTCTTACAATTGGTGCTTGATGCCAATGACTTGGACACTGGTGCCATGACAGGTGGTGGTATCACCATGCTACTGTCCACTCTATTGGCACCATCATCAACAACTTCTCCATCGTCGTCGTCATCATTCTCCGATCGACTTCCACTGTTATTGCTGCTATTACTTTTGCTGTTGCCAGTTCTATTGTTATCGAGCTCAACGACTACCTGCTCCTTTGGACTATCACAGTTGTCAACGATAACAATATCCAACTTGTCAACATCCTCATCGACTGCTTGCTTCTTCTCGTTGGCTGCAGATATTGGCACAGCTTGTTCACTGTCATTCTGCTTATGTAGAGTGGTTCTGAGCTTGTTTGCCTTGATGGCCAGTGACAGCAGGAATCCAATCGCGGCAAATGGTCCAGCAGCAATGAATACAGTACTCATCGCTCGTGAGTAGGCATCGAGGAAGGCAGTCTTTTGGGCACCATCAGCCATTGATGTCAGGAGCTCAGTGCGGAATGTGTATGGATCGACATCACCTAGTATGTCGGGTGGCAACAAAGACAGGTTGTTGTGGAAGCTTGCAATCAGGATTGCGCTGTACAGTGAGACACTAACAACACCACCGATCGTGCGGAAGAAGCTGATGGTAGCAGTGGCGATGGAGACGTACTTGTATTCTACAGAGTTCTGGACGACCATTGTAAGGATCTGCATGGTTAGGCCGATGCCACTACCAACCAACAGCTGGAATCCAATGTATACAGCCTGCGATGACACACCAGTTGACCACAGAGACATGAGGAAGGTACCAACAGTCATCATTATGGTACCAATGATCGGGTAGGACTTGTAGTGTCCAAATCTTGTGATCAAGAAGCCAGAGACAACACCCATCACAACGATGCCCATCATGGTGGGCAGCAACTGCAGACCGGATGATGTTGCACTTAGTCCACCAACTATTTGAAAGTAAAGTGGAATGTAGTAGATCACGCCAAACATGATGAAGCCAAGGAAGAATGAGCCCAGACTGCAGACGACATAGTTGCGATTCTTGAACAACTCCATTGGAATGATTGGATGACGTGTGAATCTGTACTCATTAACGATGAACACTGCCAAGAAGAGGATGCATCCACCAAACAGACCAAGAACGATCGGTGACAACCAACTGTACATCTGACCACCCCAGCTGAGTGCCAACAAGAAGCTGATCACGCTGACCACCAAGGAGAATGTGCCAACAAAGTCAATCTTCTTGATGCCCTTGCGGAATGGTATCACCTTTTGAGGTATCTTGAGTGCAAAGAACACCACCACCATTGCCAGTACGCCAAGTGGGAGGTTGATCCAGAATGCCCAACGCCATGTGATGTGGTCGGTGAATGTGCCTCCAATCAGTGGTCCAATCACACTAGAGATTGCATAGACTCCACTAATCAAGCCTTGATACTTGCCACGCTCGCGCAGTGGCACAATCTCCACCATGACGATCATCACGGCAGACATCAGTCCTCCACCACCAACACCTTGTATGGCTCTGGCAATGATGAGCATGATCATCGTTGTGGCAGTGGCGCACAGCAACGATCCCACCAAAAAGGTCAACAGCGAGAACATTAGCATCAACTTCTTTCCAAATATGTCACTGAATTTGCCGTAGAGCGGCGATGAAGATGTTGATGTCAGCAAATATATGGTGACCACCCAGGACAGCTGGTCAAGACTTCCAAAGTCTTCACTGATGGCTGGCAGGGCGGTGGCAACGATTGTCATATCCAGAGAGGAGAGGAACAGGGACATCACCAGTCCCGAGAATATAATAAGTATCTGGCGCTGACTCAGGGCTGTGTCCTTGTTGTCGAGCGAGAGTGTGGACAGGTTTGTCGAGGTGTCCACTTGTGAACCTTGAGTACAATCATCGTTGGTTATGTCACTGGCGGTCCCAATGGTATCGTTGGCAGCAGCATTGTTGCTGTGTTCATTGGTTGTTGGTGATGTAGCTACATCACCTATCGAAGTTGTTGAGTTTGTTGACTGATCATTTCCATCTCCCTCCTCCTCCTCGGCCAGATCATCAGATGACAAGTCTATATCCTCAAGTCCATCATCAACATCTTGCTCATTGCTATTCGATAAGATATTATGTATATTTGTTGGCGATTTAGCTGTCGACTTTGTATTATTATCCTCATCCCTTTGGGCATCGGAAGATATCTCTACAAACAACTTGGCATTATTGACATTCTCTTTTATGCCCATTATTAGTTATATATAAATATTATTATTAATACAAAGGTATATTATATATATATTACAAGTTTGAATTGGCAATATAGTTTGTTATTATTATTATATTAATTAATTACCAACCCTCTCTAATCTCAATATTAGCTTGTGATCAATTAATGATGGTGGCAACAGCTGGTGGAACTGTTGTCTTGGTACCCTTTGGCTCATTCTGAAATGAATGATGTATCATTTGTCATCATCATCATTACATTATCACTCACACGCACATATAGAATGATCCTCCGTTGTTGATCAGGTAGTAGACGACCTTGGACAACAACGCCAATTCAAGTTAACGTGTTTGACAATATTCTCTATCTCTTGTATATATGCTATAATGTTCCGTATTATAATATATCCGTCCTCTCTTCTCTATCTCTGTGTTGTTGATGTTGTTGATGTTGTGTTCCTCATCTCTAAACTGTCGACATGAAACCAACAATCAAGCACCATCCACATCAGTCCATGATGATGAGGAGGTACACTGGTGTGTGAGGGAGCAGCTGACACATCAGCATCAATCAATCAAACTATCAATCAGTTTATACCCATCTATCACTTAACTTTCCACCGTGGATATATATAAGTAATGAATATCTGACGACAGCTCATTAGCGTAGTGCAGCCCTATCCTTCTACTTGTTCTCTGTCCCTCCGGCAATACCCCATATTCCACAAGGGCAACTCCTCCTAACTCCAGCGATCACATACTGATCATCACAAGCAACATTCAATCACCATCCAACACATACACTAACCACGAAGAAACTTGAAACAGATACAAGTGTTGGTTGATTAGGTGGTGGTGTGTGTGTGTGTGTGTGAAGGTGTTGGATCAGCTGATGTGGAGGAATGGTTGTTGTTTAGAAGGTCTGCTGATGATGTTGTTGAAATGATGTTATGAATTACATCTTATACATGTTGATGCTTATACAACTATTGGATGATGACTGATGAAGAAGATGAAGAACAAGAACAAAAGAGTTGAGTAGGTGGATGACACAAATGTTATTCTGTTGAAATGGTCAACGTTATCGTTAAGAGAAGTTCAAAGAACTTATGCCTCTTCATTCAGTGCGAGTAAATTACAACCCATGGTGCTGTTGAAATGTTGTTGTTTGTTTGTTGTTGCCATGGCGACTGTTGATATTGGGTGATTGATTGATTGATTGATTGATTATTGTTCAGGTTGATTGTCTGTTGCTACTTGGATGGGTATTGAATTGAATTGATTGATTGACGAATAGAAATGGGGTTGGGTCATCCCGTCCCATTAATGTGAATGGAATTAACTGATTGACATGGAATGGTATTGATGCTACACTGTTACTGCAATTGATGATGGCCATGACTACAGTCAAGTGTGGTGTGACCTCTAAACAATCTAACTACTTAGATCATAGTTATAGTTCTCAGATACATAGTTCTCTGCCAAACCTGGAATGCCATCGGTGGTTGGCCACATTGTGAGCTTGACAGCGTCGGCTACGATCACTTGCCCTTTTGGTGTGCCCAGTGATGAGATGTGGATCACTGGCGTTGTTCCAGCGACAAAGTAGAAAGAGTCTAGCAATATCCATCTGGCGCCATAGTGTTGTTGGTCAATGATGAATTGGTAGGTAAGATAGGACTCATCACCGGTGGTGACCGTGTAGATTGCTGTAGTCGTTTGGTTGGTGGCTGCAGGGAACCAGACACACACTTCGTAGAGGCCCGTCGTGTTGATGGGGAAGTTCCACATGACGACAAATGGCACGACACCACCTCCATCAATGTAGAGGTAGGTATTGTTGTACGCCTGTTTAGATTGTGCAGTCTTCCATCCTCCTTCTGGCACCACCACAGTCTGTGAGCTGTCCATGATGATCATGGTTGGGTCACCCTTGGTCAAGTTCATGCCGTGAATAAGTCTCGAAGCAAACATGCCCAGTATGGATGATTGGTATGGTGGTGTGCCAAAGTTCTCGTAACCGTCGGTGAATGCCGACATGATGAGCTGACGGCCATTGGGCAAGATGATATGGGCGATCTCATTGACATCAGTATCGCTTGTGCCAATGATCGAGTGAAGCACGGTTCCAGGTGGCAGGCCAAATCCAAATGAAGTGTACTCTGAGAAGGTCTGACGTGACAAGAGGTCAGTCATGTATGATTGTCCATCTGGTGTTATTCCACCTTGGATCATGTATAGCATCAAAGTAGCTGAATCCAATGGGTTCATCATATTTGGTCCAACAATCTCAAGTGCCAAAGCTTCAGTGTAGGCAGCGCTATTGTGTTGTATACAGAGATGTGAGTAATCATGATCATCCATACGTTCGATTAACTCTGAATGATTATGAGGCTTACACTGGACCAGAGTTTGAAGGATATATCTTGTTAAAGATGCTTTGATTGCCAAGTAGACCATTCTCTTCGAGGAAGTTCTCAACATATCTACGCTTGTGCATCCATGTGGTAAAGGCTGTTGAGTTGGTCTCTTCAATGTTGGTGTTTGGTGCTCCAGATATACGATCCACAATGATACCAGCATAGATTGAGCTAAAGTCATTCATCATTGGTCCTGTTGCCGGTTGAAGACATTGTGGTTCTTGATTGCCACCTAGACACCAACTATGAATGAGGTCATTGAGTGATTGAGTTAGTGAGTGAGGTTAAACATAAAGGGTAGGGTAGTAGACTTACTTAACAGCAGCAGCAAGGAATGGGAGGTATACACAACTGGATGCATTGGCCAGTACATCACCATTGTAGGAGGCCACTGACCATGAGCCAACAGGATTGAGCACCATCACTGTAAAGTCCAACTTTGTGATTGTTGGGTTGACACTCAGCAGCCAGTTCCTTGAGGAGAAGGCAACTTCCAGTAGTTGATCATCCTCAACTATTACATAGGGTGCTGTGATGCTGGGTAGGTTGTTGGCCGAGTAGTTGCGAGTGAGGATCACCATTGTCGTGACGACGATTGCCATGAACAGTGTCGATATCATTGGCAACAGTTGTTTGAATGTGAGTTTGGGGTTGTTCCTGGTGGCCGACAGGAAGGTCATGCTGTTATTGGGTGACGAAGAAGGTGACAGCACCAACGGTGTATAACCACCTGATGTCGTTCCACCTAGTGAATCACCTATACTTTTTCCCAAGTAGCCTGAAGAGTTGATACTCTTACTATTATTGACTGTATTGTTATTATTATTATTGTCCATTGATTATAGATTATTGTATCTGTTCGGGTACAGATAACTATGATCAAGGCAAAGGGCACAGAATGAGCATGAACATGGGTCTGTGAGGGGGGTTCGGAGATGCGAAGAAAGGGGGACTACTTTTCAAAAGATATTTATTTCGAAACTTGTGCACAAGAGTCTTTTAGTTTAAGTTGTAAAGAGATAATAAGATTAGTGCAAGTACTTATCTTTAGATAAGTTTATTTGATCAAGCAAACAACATCATGAACCAATGTCTAAGGATGACAAGAAGGATCACCTCACTCACCAACAGACCAAAGACGACAGCACTTAACATTGCCTTCCAAGTGAACACTACCTGCCAATGACCTGCAGCATTCACTCTAAACGTTGACTCATAGTACGACATGTTGTACACCTTGTTACTGATTGGTATATATAGATACATAGCAGTCTCATCAGACACTCTACTAGCATCCATCAATGCCACCACTGTCTGTGTTTGTAAGTCTATCAGTTGGTACTTTTGTTCGCCTCCACAGTTCAAGTGATCTAATTATAGTATAATCATAAGTATTAGAAGTTGATGTTTGATGATTGTATGTCATGAATAGATCACTTACATTTCCTTGCTATTGCTTGTCGACCATATGTAAGGAACACACATGATCGTGAATGATAGACTAACATTATAAGTTGGAAGATGGCTGGTGTGGCCAGAAATACTATATAGGAGAATGGACGAAGTGATCCAGTGCCTGCAATGAACAGTACCCAAAAGTTGAGTATACTGGGGAGTACAAGTAGGAGCAGTAGACTTGGATGGAACAAGAATATCAGTTTCATTAGGACACCGGTGGGTCTGGGCGGGTCAACCAAGAGTTCTCCAGAGGCTACACCATCATCCATGATAATCCTATTGAATCGAGAAGAGGAAGAGGTTGAAGATGCTGCCTTGTAGTATTTGTTTATACTGATTATATTATGATTATTAATATTATTGTTATTATTGATTGAGATATTAATGTCATTATTATTTATGGAACCATATTCAACAATGTTATTGTCAACAACCGTGTTTGGAGAATATGATTGGTTGGTATCAGAGATCTTTATGAACTCTATCGACTCTTCCGATCGATGGTATGATGGTAGGAATTGTTCATCTTCAACATTTGGTTGCATTATTATTATTATATTTAAGTAATATTTCGGATGGTTCTAAATGACTTTAACAATCATTGTTGTATAATGATCATTCTTTATTACATCCTATAAACGAAGCATTTAATAAATTAAACAGAGCATAATGGGCATACCTCCAAATTGTGATTGTTTATCTCAACAACAAAAAGCCCCTTCTCACAAAAGTGATATCGGATTGCCCAAATTAGGCTCATGTGCACCCCACGATCATTCATTTGCAATTGTTTAATTGTTATATGTAGTAGAGAGGAAGTCAGGATCACAATAGTACTTTGGACATCCAAATGGTCTCTGTGGAATGGATACTAGACGATAGCCTGGCAAACATTGACCAATAACATTTGAACATACTTCCTTCTTGACACAGCCATCGAACACTACACATCTACTGGATTGACGAGTGTAGACACGAACCTGTTCAAACAGCTGAGGAAGACATATATCAATTGGTAGTGATGGTAAACATGTTTGAGATGGGTCATCAATGTTGGCATAGATGGCAGTGATACGCATATCACCCTTCTTATCAGTGTACGCTTGAATAATAGCCTTGTGATTCCAATCCTCACCAAGCAACTTGTAGTTCATCCAATTATTATCAATATATTGATAATTTGAATAGGTATTCACCAAATTACCAGAGTAGTTTCCATTAATTGATGGATAGTTTACTTGTTGCCAATCAGTTGTGCCCCTAATTTAAATCTAATGTTAGTATTCATTCAGTATTCACTAACAGTTTTCTAAATACATACTGAAGTATTAAATAATTTCCATTTCTATACTTTGCATCGGCAGCAGCAAGGGCCATTAGACGATAACCACCAAAGATATTGAATCTTACCGCAGGTAGTGAATTGACAGTGATGTTCTCCAAGTTACCATAAAGGATTCTTTGTTCCTCCTCGGAATCAATTAGACTAGTACGGTAGTAGTCGACACTCTCATCCACTCTCAATTGATGAACGATTGTAGCAGCACCAGTTCTTGAGTTGACCTTTCCAACACTCCAAGATCCACAGGGATCATTAACACATACTATTCCAGTTGTTTTTAAAAAGTAATGTGAATCGTCAGCTGCCAATGACCTGGTAGCACAGCAAAGTATTATTAATACAATAGTAAATAATGATAGAGTTAGTGTCTTTTGTTTGAACATCATAATAGATATAAATAGTTGTTGTTTGTAAATTCAATTAATTAAAGTTATAAATAATAAATAATGATTTGATTGAATTTCAATGCTTTGAATTTACATTTTATAACAATTATTGGGCAACTGGGAATTTCCATTCACAACATCAATAAAACGATGTTTGTGGTGTGTGAGGGGGTGTGATCTTGGCATGACCTTAACAACCCGACCGAATTGATAATTCTTCGGGCGATGAGATTGTTCATTGTCTCAGGGTGTGTGTATGTGTATATAATAATAATAATAATTAATAAGATAGATAGATGTCAATGACAGCGTGAACATCATAGAAGTTGCAGATGCAGGTCATTAGCTCCAACCTTATAACCAATGGTTGATGTTCTTTAATTTATACACGCTCACTCATTCTCTCTCTCTCTCACTTTAATCAATCAATCGATCAATCGATACAATACAATTAGTACCACTACTACAACAACAACAACCTTATACTACTACTACTAGTACAGCCTAGAGTCTACTCAATCGATTGTCAATCTACAATATACTTTCAAACCTCCCTCCTCCTACTCCCTCCTCCAACATCATTCATCTTAATGTCTAATTTACAACAACTCATCCGAATGCATCTGAACCAGAAGAAACCGTCATTGAATTCGTTTATCGATGCACTGATACGCTTCCTGGCCCTTACTGCGGGCAAGGACAAGTGTGCAAAGACTCTACAATATGCTGCAAAGTTCATTGGATACTATGCTCTTAAACAACAACAACAACAACAACAGTGTACAACTACAACAACAACAACTCCACCATTGGTAAACAAATGGAAGACAACAGAGTCATCTATTAGTGCCGCTCGTAGGTTCTGGCGTCTGGGAAACATACTTGCCGACCATCAGAAGCTGCTGCAAATGCTGGCCAGCTTCACGAGAAAATACAAGGAGGTCAACTACCAGCTGACATTGATACGCCAGGTGGTCAACTACATGTACTTTATAATGGACCAGTTCACATGGTCCACCAGCATGGGTCTGACAAGCTTCAACACTGACAAGATGTCTCACTACTGCAATATATGTTGGTTCACCGCGTTGATATGCTCAATCACATTGGACATTAGGGAGCTGATGACTGTCAGACAGAAAGAGCACGAGCTGCTTCAGCTTCAAGCGGCCGACCAACAGGTCAGTGGTGCCGATCTGCCGTTTGACACGGAGCTAGAGACACTGCAACAGAAGCGCAACGATCTCTATCTCAACTTTGTCAAGAATGGTGCAGACACCATGGTGGCAGCGTTCTCACTCAACTTCTACAAGACCAGCCAAGGTAAGATCGGAATGTATGGACTACTCTCTGCACTGTTAGGTATCTATCAAACATGGCCTGCCACGTCCTCATCCAAATGACCTCAATAACAACTTGAATGAATGAATGAATGAGACATCATGTCATCATATATATTATATATATCTATATTACTCGAGTAGGTGTATCTTTGAATTGACAGAGTTGTAACCAATTGACTCGATGTGTTGTTTGATCGTTTGGTTGAACGACACTGTTCCACAGACCAACACATCGTTGTTGTCAGCAGTGACACTGCTGTGATGTGATAGTAGTTCGACGAGCATCTCTCTTGATATCCTTCCATAGCGAAAATTGCCCACCAAGCCATCTGCATTGGCGCCATCCAACTGTTGAGTCAAACAATAGTATATAGTCAATCGATTTGGATGTCTTTGTTGCAGTGCCTCCAATTCCTGTCGATATAATATATCCGATTGAGTCTTGTTTGAATAGACCAGTATCATATGAGGTGATGTCGTTGTAATCGATAGTTGAGTGATCATTGTATCATCCTTTGATTGATGTTGTTGCTGTTGCTGGTGGCCATCAAACATATCGTTCAATATTTGTAACATTGGAGTGATACCAGTTCCACCTGCAATGCCAATGATGTATGGTTTGCTGTAGGTGTGTAGATTGAACGAATCATTGGTCTCGATTGGTCCCTTGATCTGTAGACTATCACCTACATTCATCTGAGTGATACTCTTTGAAACATCACCTGATTCATATCCCTGTGTATTGTTGTTGAATAGATGGGTTCAGTCAATGAGCCATTCCCAACTAACAACAACATAGTCAGTTGTCCTGTCATTATTACCTTGATCATGAATTGTAGATAGTATTCGTTCTTGAGCTCTGTAGTCGATTCGATCCTACAACCAATTGGCGTGTAGCTGCGAAACTCTTCGTCGTTCAACCTTGCCAGTGATACATGTGTCAATGGTCTCATCCAATCATCACTCTTGAGTGTTCCAGGAGGCTTCATTTCAATCATATATGTATCGCTAGTAATCTGTTTCTTTGTCACGATTGACGTTGTCGCAAGCATAACAGATGGTCGTTTGGTTTGTGTTATTGTTACTGTTGCTGCTGTTACTGTTGTAACTGGCTGAGGTGTTGTTTGTGTTGGTGTTATAATGGTCTTGACGCTATTGTTGTTGTTACTGCTGCTACTGGTTGTGTTTGATTGAACACTCCGCAGAGGTTGTGCAGATGGTTTGAGAAATGGTTGTTTGAAGGGCACTGACGATGTAGGTGCCAATGTTGAGGATGAAGAGGAAGGCGCAATTGAACCAGGTGCCACACGTCCAATGCAGAAACACTCTAGAATGAGCTTTGCATTCTTGCTGTGATACATGGCCTCAAAGTCAGCAGTGGCATTGGCTCCAGCACATCTGAACAGGAAGTTGAAGCCGCCAGGATGCATCATCAAGTATGCAGTGAGATCATAGACATAACCATTGACCACTGTCCAAAAGTCATCACGTTGATTATGATTTGCAATCTCCTCCCAAGTGTATGAGCTTGGTATCTTGCCCTGATACTTCTCCAAGGCCTGTTGAGCGATGCCTCGTATCTTTTCACTAACTGTATTCCTATACATATATATATAATAATATTACAATGTTGTTGTATTGTGTGGTTTGTGTTTGTGTCAAATGACACTCGGTTTCACAAACCTCCTCGATCTCATTTGACAAACAATACGTCATCATTGGCGTGTCCAATGTTTTTTTTATTCAAAATATTCGATTTCTGATATGTTACATACAACAACAATTACGATGATTATCACCGTTGATATGATTGTCATACACCATCATCTCATTAGTTACTCCAAACAATGAGCAACCAATCTTGGACAACACTACCCATTAATTCGATGTTTCGGGTGGTTTCAAAACTAAAGAAAATAAAATAACAAATTAAATGGGAAACGTGGGTGAAAGAAGAAWTGAAATGGAAGGTTGAGTCCAGTGAACTTGAACTCACATCTTGGACCAACATCGTTATCATCTCAAACCCCACCAACTATCATACACATTATATATATATATGTTTTAGACAGTTAGTATCTCTAGCTTCATCATCAATTAAATCAACAACCTTATCATCACCAACAACTAGATATTACTTTAGTGCATCAAGTGTAATAATGTCATTCGGAAGAGCATCAATCCCAAAGCCATACAATGAGCCAATGCTCAACTATGAGGTCGGTTCACATCAGAGACAGTTGTTGAAGGATGCCTGCAAGAGATTGAGAGAGCAGCCACCCATTGAGATCCCATGCATCGTCGGCAATGAGGAGATCAGAACCGGTGACATCCAGAAGCAGTTGACTTGCTCCGATCACAAGCACGTCGTGTGCACCTTCCACCAGGCCAACGCCGAGGTGCTCCAAAAGGCCGTTGATTCTGCCCTCGAGGCCAAGGTGCGCTGGGAGCAGCTGCCATTCGAGGATCGTGCCGCCATCTTCTTGAAGACTGCCGATCTGCTCAACACCAAGTATCGTTACGAGATCTTGGCCGCCACCATGCTCGGACAGGGCAAGACCGTGTGGCAGGCAGAGATCGACGCTGCCGCTGAGACCATCGACTTTTTGCGCTTCAACCCCAAGTACGCCGAGGAGATCTACTCTCAGCAGCCACCAGCCAACACCAACGGCTGCTGGAACCGTGTCGAGTACCGTCCATTGGAGGGCTACGTCGTCGCCATTTCCCCATTCAACTTCACCGCCATTGGCGCCAACCTGCCATCGTCACCCGCTTTGATGGGTAACGTCGTGCTGTGGAAGCCAGCTTCCACCGCCATCCTCTCAAACTACATCGTCTACAAGGCCTTCCGTGAGGCTGGTCTGCCAGCTGGTGTCATTCAATTCCTGCCAGGTAGTGGACGTCTCGTTGGAGACATCCTCATCAACAACAAGCACTTTGCCGGTCTGCACTTCACTGGATCCACTGGAGTCTTCAATGGAATCTATCAAAAGACTGCCGCCAATCTGGCATCCGGTCTCTACCGTGGCTACCCACGCATCGTCGGTGAGACTGGAGGCAAGGACTTCCACTTTTTGCACAAGACTGGTGAGGTTGACCACTTTGTCTTCAACACCCTGCGTGCCTCCTTTGAGTACCAGGGCCAGAAGTGCTCCGCTTGCTCTCGTGCCTACGTCCCAGCCTCGCTGTGGCCAGAGATCAAGGAGAAATTGATCGCCAACATCAAGGAGATGAAGCAGGGTCAGTCCGATGACTTCTCCGTCTTTGTCTCTGCCGTCATTGACAAGAACTCCTTCAACAACATCAAATCATACATTGACCACGCCAAGGCCAACCCAGCCGATGCTGAGATCATTGTTGGAGGTGGATGCGACGACTCTGTCGGATGGTTCGTTCAGCCAACAATCATCCACGCCAAGAAGCCCAACTACAAGTCGATGGAGGAGGAGATCTTTGGACCAGTCCTGACCATTTACGTATATGAGGATGATAAGTTTGAGGAGACTGTAAGTAATCAATCATTCAAATCAATCACAATATATATATATATATATATTTCTAACACTATTCGTACGCTCCTGTAGCTGAGACTTTGTGATACAACATCACCATACGCCCTCACTGGTGCCATCTTTGCCAGATGCAGATATGCCATTAACACTGCTAGCCAGATCCTTAGGGGCGCTGCTGGTAACTTCTACATCAACGACAAGTGCACTGGAGCCGTCGTTGGCCAACAACCATTTGGTGGTGCTCGTGCCTCTGGTACCAATGACAAGGCTGGTGCCTCTTTGAACCTCTTGCGATGGGTCTCTGCTCGTACCATCAAGGAGAACTTCATTCCATTGACCACCTGGAAGTACCCATACCTTGCACCAGAGAACTAAACATCCAAGTGACTTGGTGCCAATATTACTATTCAGTCCGCCAATAAACCCAGGTGCACTGGATGTTAGTGTTGTTGAACTTCTCATTTCAAGTTGTCATGACTTCTTGGAATGATGGATGATGTCTAACCTTAGACATGGACATAGTTTGAGGGCGGAATGGTTAGACAGAATACGGTCAACGTTGACAGGTGGTTGGATGTCGTTATACGTCGTTTCATCATCTTTCGGCATTAGTTCTCATTGCATGCAAATATCTTTTGGTCGACTGACTAACTATCGTGACACTTTTTTTGATTATGATAAGAAGATCGTCGCGCCCCATCATCTTAGACCCAAGCTTCAACCAATGGGTTGTTTGAAATAAATATCTAGAACGATCGAGTAAGGTTCTTTCATTGTGATCATACTAGGTTACATGTCTATTCGTCGTCAGACACTCCGATCAACGATGAACCAGTTTAAAACTGATGCTTGTCAGTCATATCAATGTCAAATTCATCTTTCAAACTGTCAATCTAACTTTCAAACATACAATAATGACATCTAACAAACAAATAATACTCTTTACTTTGGCCGCCACATTGATATTGGTGATCCAACACACATCGGCATTCAACCTTGCCGACTACCCCAATGCCAGTAACACTGGTGTTCCATTTGGCACAACTCTTAAAACAATCAATGCCTCCACAATCAAAAAGGCAGGCACAATCATTCAAGACAGTCTCATTATCGGTTGCCTCACCATCAAGGCAAACAACGTAACTGTCAGACGTTCAAAGATCATTGCTCAGGGAAGATGTGGCATTAACATTTGTCCAGATGGTGAGTGCGGCTTCCTCAAGGACATCCTGTTGGAGGACATCGAGGTCGATGGCAGCCAGGTCTCAATCGACGGACTACTAGTTGGTTCACAAGGCTACACCTGTCGTAGATGTAACATTCACCATGGCCGTACAGGACTCGGTCTGCAGTGGAACGTCACCATTGTTGACTCTTACATTCACGACACTGAGAGAAAGGATGTGAACAACACAGCGGTGCACATCACTGCGGCATCTGGTCATGGAGGTGGCAATCTCAACATCACACACAACACAATGATCTGTGATGCACCATCCGGTTGCTCATCAGCGCTGTCCCTCTACGGTAACTTTGAGAACCTGACCAACATCATCGTCCAGAACAATGTGATGTCTGCCCGCGCTTCCTACTGTACTTATGGTGGCTCATTAGGCGGAAAACCATACAAGGCTACAAACACTTCCTACATTGACAACTGGTTCCTGCAAACCTATTTCCCCAAGTGTGGCAGCTCTGGTGCCGTGGCAGGATTTGAAATTGCTAGAGGCAATGTCTGGGCCAACAACCGTTATGAGGATGGTACCATCGTCAACATTGTTTAGCCCTACCTACCTACTGACAACTCAAAAAATAACCTTGTCACCTCCTTGATATATATATTAGATATACATAATTATTATTTCCATTAATAATACATTGAATAAAAAAGTTTAGTTCCTTATGTGGTTGTTTTTGTTGTTGCTGGGTTGATACCTTCTCTAGTTCATTGTCTGAGAGCAACTTGACGGTCAACTCTAGTGGAACAAGTGAGTGCAAAATGGCGCACGACATTGTTTGATATCTTTTAAGTGGTCCATTCGTTCTGGTATGGCAAGGGTTTGGTGCAGGTGTTGGTATTAGTGTTGCTAGTCACTGGACATTTTTGAGTGTTTTGACCGTCAACTAGATAAGATCAGAGTGCCATCATCCGGTGTTTACAAGCCAGGTCCCAAGGGTTCAGCCACCAAACAGGATGCCAATGGACTGTACTGTTTCACTTTGGACAGTACTACGGCCACTGAAGGAGCAGGCAACAACGTGATGACCATTCACAGTGGATGGGTAAGTTAGTGAATACCTCTTCTTTTAAATGTCAAAATCAGTGTTTATTCTAACAATTTTATCCACTCTCTCCTCCTCACTATTATATAGGTCAGGGTATAAGGAAGGACAACATTCAGAGTTACCATCATCAATACAATCATCCAACAGATACTGTAACCCACACACTGAACCAATCTGGAATAAACACAAAACGACTGAATTGGATTGAAATAAGATACTTTGGTTGAACATGTGAATAGTTTTTAATTAATGAACGACGAGATGATAACATAATTTCAAAGAGATAATAATACTAGTATTATAAATATATTATATATATATAAGATATGGATGAGAACATTGGTATCATTTTGGATATGTTTCCATCGATGGCCATTGATGACATCAAATCATCATTGTCATTACATAACAATAATGTAGAGGATACCATCAATCACCTTTTGACCACACCTGTTGCTGTTGCTGACGACAACAACAATGAGCATGATGAGGACGACGACGAAGAGAAAAAGAATGAACAACTATTACGAGATATGCTTAAGGCTGAACAGGAACAACTAGATAAGGAACATCAATCAAAGACATACTACTGTAGCATCTGTTATGACGATCTCATGATTGACCAGTTCTACATCATTGATGAATGTGAGCATCGATTCTGCGTTGGCTGTCTAAGACACCACTACCAATCCCAGATCCAGATGCGATTTCCTTACATCAAATGCCCTCAGCTCACATGTCCTAGGAAGGTATCATATGTTGAGGTGAGTGATATCTATTCTATCCATACAACGATACAGCTCACCGCTCACTCACTAACTCACGCAACTTGACAGGTCAAACACATACTCTCTGATGAGGAATTTGTAAAGTATGATAAACTGTTGTTGGATTGCAGTCTCCAGAAGGACAAGAACTTGGTCTACTGTCCATATCCAGACTGTGGCAGTGCAATGATAGTTCCAACTGGTGAAGAGGGTCATGTCGAGTGCACCAACAATGAATGTGGCCATAACTTTTGTTTAAAGTGTCGCGATGAACACTATGGCTACACATGCCAGGAGATAGTTGATCTTCGAGAGTATATTAGAGAGAACACTTATGTGGCCAAGGTGAACGTAGCCTTGAACGATGGACACGCCATACAGAACCTGTTCTGGATGGGCAAGGGTCGCAAGTGGAAAAAGACAGTGATGAAGATCGACAAACGTCTTGGAAGCTACCTGGCTAACAACACACGAATGTGTCCTACATGTCATATCATCATCGAGAAGGATGGTGGCTGCAATGACATGGACTGTGCATTCTGTCACCACAGGTTTTGTTTCGGCTGTGGAATAGATGTAAGTTTACTACATTCTTTCAATCAATCAACCATTCATTCATACATTCATTCATTCATTCATTCTAACCTTCCAATCCAATACACGATCACAACAACACATGTTATTAGCGCCAACAACACAATGGAAAATATCCATGCCCAATCGTGCCAAGACAAAGGGTAAGCGTATATTAATAATATGAGTTGTCATTATAACTTTCATTGTCACTTGGGTCCTGTCCACTGGAACTATTGTTGTTGATGGTCGAAAGGTGGTGTGAACTCTCAAAGCAAACATACTTTTTATTCATTCTGCGAATACAAACATACAATTATTTATATATATCTTCATAAACAAATAAAGAATGTCACAAGAGATTGAGATCACTGATATGCAGGTACTATGATGACGACGGACTGACTGACAGACAGATATCGTCTTGTGTGTTGAATGAACTGATACTGACATGACTGCGAACATTACATCAACAATTCACGACCGACCAATCAATCAAACAATCAATCATATATGTTACAATATCATATATATATAGGAGTTTCAAAAGATTAGAGAGAAGCTCTTCAATCTAAATAGAAACTTGAATACTATTAAACAAAAGATACAGTACACAGATAAGGATAGACAAAGATGTTTGATCACTGTAAAGGATCTCGATTCACTGCCATCAAGTACAAAGACATACAAGTCTGTTGGAAAAATGTATGTCTATCATCATCACCATCATCATTCTTCAAAGGCTATCTAGATAAGAGATCATCAGTTGCGATATTAGTGATCACATGTAGCACGACAATGCTTCAGTTCAACAAAGTCTAACAATGAATGAAAACATACAGGTTCATAGTGGCCCCATTAGATACACTGAAGAAAGATTTGAAGAAACAAGCAGAGAAGGATGAAGAGGATGTCAAAGGACTAATGGTAATCAATCAGTTTGTTAAACTAACATCTATGCGCATATAGGTGGAGTAATTGGCAATCATTCTGACTAACAAAACAATAACAAATATATATTTAGAACCAAGGCAAATACTTAGATGCACAGATAACAGAGACAGAAAAGAGTCTTAAGGAACTGATGATCTCAAAGAAATAAATAAATAACTGTTCTGGGCATAAACGAAACGTCTTCTACGATCAGATCATTGATTGACCAAATCAAACCACTGACGGCACCCACATCGATGTGATATGTTTGTCCCCCCAAAAATGGAGTGTGGACACTTTTGATTTATTTTTTTTTGATGGATACGAGTGATGAGTGAGTGAGCCTTCTTCCATCATTCTAAGCACACTCAACATAACACCAACCAATCATACACATACATACACACACACATATAACCAAACAAACGGGAACACACTCAACACTGTATCATATCCATCGTAAAAGCGTCACGTGTAATACTATTATATATAATTATTGTTAGGAAACTATATCTCCCAAGAAGTGTCCTTCCCAGCTCACATCACTACTCCATCACCTCACACCACACCAACACACACAACACAGAAGAACTCGACCAGTATAGGACAAAGGAATAGATAGAGGACAACAAACAGATATATCGTACACACAATGGTATGCTTATGAGATAATATAATAGGTGATCACCTATAATATTCCATACCAACACAACATCAATATAGCAACAACAACAGGGAGTAGGCATCACAACGAACAGCCTCATCAAGGGAAGATGGACGGTGATTCGTAAGATTGGACAGGGCGCATTCGGAGAGATCTACTCGGGCAAGAACATCATCAACAATGAGATGGTGGCCATCAAGGTGGAGAAGATCGACACGAAGAAGCAAGTGCTCAAGCTCGAGGTGGCCGTGCTCAAGAAGCTGCAGGCCTGTCCATATGTATGTAGGTTCATCACATGTGGCAGACACAACGACTACAACTATATGGTGATGGAGCTACTGGGCGACAACCTCTCAGAGTTGAGACGACGTCAAGGCGATGGCAAGTTCTCAATGACCACCACTCTAAAGTTGGGCATCCAAATGATTCAATCATTGGAGGCTGTTCATGATCTTGGATATCTACATAGAGATGTAAAGCCTGTATGTATTATTACATTCGTCAATCAATCACATCACATCACATCACATCACATCACTTACTCACATCAATCAATCATAACATTAGTCAAACTTCACTATTGGATTGGGTAACAACAAGAGACATATAACATATTTGATCGACTTTGGATTGGCAAGAAGATATGTATTGTCCAGCGGAGAAGTCCGTCAAGCTAGAGATCAGACAGGCTTCAGAGGAACAGCCCGTTATGCATCGATAAACTCCCATCTCTCAAAGGACTTGGGCAGACGCGATGACCTCTGGTCGATTCTGTACGTGCTGATTGAGTTTGCGCTGGGTCAGCTGCCATGGCGCAAGCTGAAGGACAAGGATCAGATCGGCGACATGAAGATCAAGTACAACACACAGGACCTCGTCAAGGACCTGCCCAGACAGTTCGAACTGTTTATGCGCCATCTCAAGACACTCTCCTACGAGGAGCGACCAAACTATGCAAGTCTTCAGTCGCTGCTGACTGAGTGCTACCACGAGCATGGAGGCACCGATGCCACCCTCTTTGACTGGGAGGTTGCCGCTCAGAACAACAACTTTATCAACTCTAGTCATTCACAGCTACCAAGAGTGTAAGTCCATTCATTCAATGATCATACTCAATATCACACTTACTCATTCTCTTCTTCTTCATCTTCTTTTGTTACAAATAGTACTGTACCATCACCTTCAACTGTGGATGTTGAAGCAAGCAGGGACAATGACTCAAAGCCCTACAGGGACTCACCTATTGAGAATGAGTTGTCGCCACAGGCACCTCATCGTAAGGACTCGGCCAGTGCGTCTGTGATTGCAGCATCATCGGACAATGGCGAGAAGTCTGGCTCATGGAACCAGAAGAGTATCAATAAGCGACCAGAGGAGTTGCTACCAACTGGCACGGACGATACGATGGCCAATACACCTACCAAGATCAAACCACTGTCTCCAACGGTCCAGCAGCCACAACAACTCCAACAACAACAACAACAATCAAACTCTAAACTAGCCTTTAACAACACCAGCAACACCAACAACAACAACAACTACACGACGGCCAACAACCATCCCAAGACCAAAGGCAGATGTTGTACAATCATGTAATACTATACTATAGCACCACCACCAATCACCTAATGGAGAGGCTTACACAACAACAAACACCATTCATTCATTCATTCATTCATACTCCTCCTCCCAAGCACGCATGTCCATTCGCGCGTGCATTGAAGGTGGACCTCACCTTACCATCAATCGCCACTCTTTACACTAACAGACAATATTGTTGTTCCTTTGTATTACCTAGCTACCCTACCCCTTACAACTACTAAACTCCCATCATCATTCATCAACTTATGCAACTTGCGCACGAATAATCCTTCTTTCACTCCCTTCCTACTTCTTCTTTTCCATCTAATCATACATACATACATCATTGCTCATTAATGAGAGCCGGCTCCATCCCTCCTCCCCACAACAACAACAACAACAACAACACGACACTCTAGCATACCTACAATAAAGGTAGCATGTTTGAATCAGAATTGACTATTAGACCTTGATATCCATCATTGGTGATGGTAGTTGGTTATGATTTTTGGTCATTTTATTGGGTTTCCAACATACATACTAATCATTCTCGGCATCCACCTGGAAACAAAACAAACAAACTCAATTCCAACCTAGCATATATATATTGTCTGTCCACTTATTACTATTATTATTATTATTATTATTATTATTATTACTTTTTTGATCAACATCACCACACTGACAGCCAGACAGACATAGAGTCAACCACTACTTGATCAACAGACAACGGTACCATTACCAATTTACACATATTCAAAACCATTAATGAATCGTTATTCTAACAGAGGAGGTGCTTGACCTTATCATCGTCCAATCCCTGACGTTCTTCATCAGAGTGTGTGAGTATGTGGTTTGTGTGAGTTGTTAGATTGGGGTGTGATTGATTGATTGATTGATGGGGTAGGAATGATGATTCGTTGTGAGAGGTCAATGAACAGAGAGATATATGAACGATCACAGGTCATACCTATTCAATTTGGTAAGTGTGGGTGATGTAGCGCCATTCGGTTATTGATTGGTAATATAATAAATTAATAATACATTTTTGTCCTTGTCCAAGTCAATCATGGGTTACAAATATTAATTAAATGTATTACACAATATTCAAAATATTATTTATTATTTAAATAATTAACAAACACAGGTGAATCCATTATCAATTAATTAATTAAATTTCCAGGATGCAAATAATCCAAACTAAATATATAAAGTCAGTTTTAATATTAGTGACCATGATGATGATATTGTCATCATTGATGGTCGTGATTGCAGAGGAGGATATGGTCCATGATAATGATGACAGAGATAGAACTGATGAATATGCTTACCAGAATGAGATAAAATGTAATACAAGCGAAGAAGCAGAAGCATGTCTCAAGATAATGGATAGATTGCCATCTGGAAAAATAGAAGGTTACTTTTTCAAAGTCAACAGATATCAAGGGTTGAATACAGTGTACTTTGGATTCTTCAGATCCAATGACCTATGTTCATATGGACATGATCTCTTCAAGAACTGTGCCTCTAACTGTACCTACAAATGTTATGAACCATCATACTGGCATAAACAAAAGACTCAACCATCAACTCAACCATAATTATTTATATATATCCAAATATGTATATTATTGTTAAAAATAAATCTGTGTATCTATCTGTCTATTTTCATCATCCAACCCAGCAACTGTCTGTCATCTTTTTTTTGCAGATCTTTGAAAAAGGTTTGGGTGTTGTTTGAAATAAATCAAAATAAATTAATTTAAAAGAGTGATGATCAATCTAGCTTTGGTTGTGATCTGTTCTTATTAATATCACAGTCAACATATATATATTTATAAAGATAAAATGTCAACATTAACACAAAGAGCATTAAGGTCAACTACAAGGTTCACAAATATCAATACACAGAGATGTCTGTTCAATCAACGTTCAAGATTCTATTCAAACAACAACAACAATAACTTTAAGAATACATCATCGTCATCAAGGATTGGATGGATTGTTGGTGCAGGTATCGTTGTAGCTGCCACTACATCCGTGGCCATTGCTGCTGATGAGCAATCATCATTCGACAAGTCACAGACATTGAGAGAGAAGATCGTCAACAGATACCAAGACAAGATCAGAGAGTACAGCACCCCAGAGAAGATCTTCCAAACCTTTGCCTCTGTCAAAAAGAATGGTAATCATCATCTCAAGTCCATCATGAGACTGTAGACATCACTCACTCACTCACTCACTCACTCACTCAATCATTCACACTCTCTACAACAATAGGCGAGTCATTCATGACATTGGATGACTTTGTAAGAGCCATCTTGCCAAGCCAGTTCAGAGAGTCAACACAGACATCACTCAAGGGACTGCCGTTGAATGTTAGGAATGTGCCACTGTCGTTCCAGATCGCAGATATTGATGGAGATGGACTCATTTCATTCAGTGAGTTCATCTTCTTCTCCACACTGCTCTCGATCCCCGAGAAGAGTGTAGAGATCGCCTTCCAGATTATGGACGTCAACCACGACAACTCGATCGATGTCAACGAGTTCACCAAGATATTCAAGCTGCTCAAGAACCAGAGTGCCTTTGCCTCGACCTCCACCTCGAGCAAGGCACTACTCTCACAGGGCTGGGTCAACTATCTCTTTGGCAAGCATGGCGACAACTCGCTGTCAGTGGAGAGGTTCAAGCTGCTGCTGGACCAGGTCAGACGTGATGTGCTCCAGCTCGAGTTCAACATGTACGATACCACAGGTTCTGGCTTCATCTCTCAGCGTGACTTTGGTCGTCTGATCGCCTCCTACAGCAACTTTGGCCAGAGGGATCAATACCTAAAGGCCATTACCTCATTGCCTGCCACTGTAACAACTCAGAACAAGGGTATTTCCTTTGATCAGTTTGTTTCATTCAACAAGTATGTATACTATAGTACACATGGGAATCATTCCATCAACTAAACACTGACCTCCTCATCCCCTCAAACAAAATAGGATCCTTAACAAGCTTGATGAAGTTGGACTCTCGATCGACTTGTACAAGGGCATCAACCAGCCATTCACCAAGAATGAGTTCAAGTATGTGTCTAAGGTGATCGCATCGTTTGAGCCATCCAAGGAGATGGTGGACACTATCTACACCATATTCGACTCGGACAACAATGGTGACCTGTCCAAGGATGAGTTTGTCGAGGTGATGAAGCGCAGAAAGTACAGAGGTTTGGAGAATAATCGTGACTCTGGATTCATTGCCAGACTTGAAAAGGTCTACCAAGTAATCATTGGTAAACTCTAATGATGTGATGGCATCAATCAAAGAATCACGCGCATCCATCCATCTATCCAACCATCAATCATCCAAACAACCAAACAAGTTAACTTGGAAGTAAGTGTATTAGACCATATTTGGACACAGGACACAAGGTGCTAATGTCTGTCCATCCCATAGCCACTCATAGGGAACTAGTTGAAGAAGAATAAAACATGTAATGTAATGTAATAGCCTATGCGACTTCGCTGTCTGTCACACACTCGCACACACACACCATCAATCAATCATTCATTGTCTTTGTGTCACGTGACCATCACACACATACAAACACAAACTCACACACACATATAATATTATCGAATTTTCCAGTCCGACTGGATAACTCTTGATTATAAACAAGGTAGAATGCTCAACCATGGTCACTACTACTTAGTAATATTACATTGTTATCCAGATCTCTAAGACAACAACCTCAAATATATTCAATCATGAAAATATTATTACTTTTATTTATTTTTTTTAATATTTATATTATATTATGTAATGCAACAGTACAAACATCATTGGAGAACTTAAACTTATATAGAATTACACATGGTGGAAATCAGAATATACTCAAATATATCTCTACCAATCAGGACAAGTTCATTTTCGATCATCGACGTACTAATATGGACTTGGAGGCATACTTCAACGAGGAGACACTGTTTGACCTGGTGGATAAGTTCGATGACCAGGTCGTACAACCAATTGTCAACACCAAGTATGATGATTCCTTGAACAATGCCAACACACCAGCGCCAAAGTTCTCAAGATCAGGTTTGGTCCAATACAACAAATATCTCACCAATGATGAGTTGACTACCTTCCTAAGAACAGTGGCCAAACTATATCCAACTCTAACCAAACTCTACAGTATTGGTAAATCTGTAGAGGGTAGGGATTTATGGGCAATGGTAAGTTATTATTCTTGCATTCAATCAAGAAATCTAACTAACAAACTTGGTAATCTTTAATTTTAGGATTTGACAACCAATGCAGGGTTTGATGATATGAAGCCACAAGTAAAGTTGGTTGGTAATATGCATGGTGATGAGATTGTTGGAAGACATCTACTCGTATACTTTATAGACTACCTCACCTCAAACTACAAGTCCAATTCTAAAATTGAGGATTTGTTATCCGATATCAAGATATCCATTATTCCATCAATGAATCCGGATGGTTATCAAAAAGTTCAAAGAGGCAATGCCTTTAATATTGGTGAGTGATCAAAATGTAGTGTATCCACCACTTTCAAGTTATAACTAATTATCGATATTATCAATCTAGACCTTAATAGGGACTTCCCTCAAGGAGGTGCACGTCAAACAATGAAAGAGCAACCTGAAACACAGGCAGTGATGAAGTGGACCAAGGAGAATAGATTCGTTCTCAGTGCTAATCTACATGGTGGTGCAGAGGTTGCAAACTACCCATATGACTCGGCCAGGGGAAAAAGTCAGTACGAGACTGGATATTATAGTGTGGCACCAGACGATAGCACATTTAGAAAGATTGCACTCACCTATTCACTCAATCACAAGTCCATGCATGGATCAGAGGAGTTCTTTGCTGGCATTACCAATGGTGCAAATTGGTACGTGTTGGATGGTGGAATGCAGGATTGGAACTATGATAATCTCAATGACTTTGAGATTACCATCGAGGTGTCCAATGACAAACAACCTAATCCAGAGATGTTGCCTTCATACTGGGAGGATAATCGTCAAGCACTATTATCATTCGTCACACTACCAACTACGATGGGAGTTTATGGAAAGGTATCCAATACCAATGGTCAACCATTACAAGCCAAGGTATGTTCTCACAATGCTATAATCAAGATATTTAATCTATTACTGACTTAATCTATTCAGATACAAATACTTGGTATCAATCATCATATTAATTCATTTGCCAAGTTTGGAGGTATGTCAATGGTCATAGACAGGTTGAATGAATATTATACTAACTTGATTCCAATCTTCACAATGAACTTAGATTATTATCGTCTACTTGACTCTGGTATCTTTACAATGGTTGTTAGCTCCCCTGGTTACAAGTCGCACAAACAGGTGATCCGTGTGGCCAATGGACAGAGGACAAAGGTGGATGTTGTACTTGAGGAGGGACAAGACGATGTCAACAACAAAGTACTTGTTCCAAAGGTGGATTGTGAAAGTGATATAATTGACAGACCAGTGGATAAGACTGTCGTCAGTATTATCCACAGCAAGAAGGATATCTTCCGCTACAAGAAGGTGGTGGTCTCATCATTCATCATCTTTATGTCCAACATTGGTATGGGCATCGGTATATATGTCTACCTAACAAGACGAAGAAACCAAGCACTCCAACGAAGGAACTACTCTGCTGTGGCAGGCGACTCATAAGTGCGTGAACTGAATAAACATCGACATGGCCTTGGGTCCAAATGACTTGTTGATCAAATATTATTTAATGTTACATTCCCATTGATGTTGTTGTTGTTGCTGTTGACGATGTTGTATGTATGTAGTAATTGAGTGAATGAGTGAGTCAATGCCTTTTAAGCCTTTGGCTGAGACTCGGCTGTTTGAACGCTGGCGGTGGTGTTGGTGGCCTGGACATCAAATGGATAGTCGATAGTGTTGAGTGAGTATGAGGATATTTCTGTGAGCTGAGCGAGCTCCTGTTGTCTCTTGGCCAACAGAGCATGGAGTCTGTTGTACTCCTCGATTGGGAAGCTCTGTCTCTTGAACAACTTGGCCTGCTTGCCCTTGAACAGATGGTTCCTCAGCGCCTCAAAAGTGTACTCTGTCTTTGTGATCGAGAAGTAAGTGTATCCAAGGAGTACAGTTCCAAACGATACAAAGTATGTGATTGGCTCTACAATATCCCATGACAGTTCCCACTAAAGATTGATTGATTGATTGAATGATTGGTTAGTACATTGTCCAAAGATCATTCTTCCAAGTGTGTCTGATCAATGCATACCCAGGTCAATCTTCCAAGGAAAACACCTTGCAACACAAGGTATCCGAGACCTCCCCAAATGACGCGATGGGCACCTCTCATTGCCTTGCCATCGATTGTAAGCTTGATTGCCTCGAGTGGTCTCAAACTATCCTCAATAACCTTTATCTCATTGTTCTTGATCTCGATCAGTCTCTCAAGACCAACACCCTTGTTTTCAATATCTAGGATGCTATAAAAGAGTGAGTGATGATGATGACGGCGATTAGTTTCCATCAGGTATCTCAATCATTAACTACTTACTGATACAATGATTGATAGACGTGGTTTGGCTTGATAAAGACGGAGCCAGAGAGGGTTGGTGCGGTGGAGGTGGGGAGATGGAGGATGTTTCCAGACTCGGTCAAGGCGGAGGATAGACGCTCAACCTCTGACTCCTGGAATCCAGCACTGACACACAATGCCTTGAACTCATCGTATGGGATCTTTGTACGTGGATCAAGGCTAAGTCTCTGACGAAGCTTAGTTGCATTAGCTGATTTCAAAATAATGCTAAAGTCCTGATGTCTGGAAGCAATATCTGATGGATCTGATTGATTGTTTGATTAGTCAGTGCTATGTTGCTTTGTGTAAGTGAGTGAGTCCAAACCACTTAACATACTCTTTGTTGCAGTGCAGAACAATCTGGATGTGGCAGGTCTGTTGACAACACCTCTGAATGCAACAGAGGTTGCAGAGTTAACTAGAATGCCTCTCTTTAAAATGTTGGAGAATGCTGGATTCATCATCTATTGTTTAATGTTGTTGACGACTTATATAAATATATTATATATCTTAATAGATCTTTAAGTGACTTGAAGAGAGAGGTAGCGTGATTGATTGTTACGTTCTTGATCATCATCAATCAGAAATTTTGAGTGTCAAAAATTAAATTAAAATTAAAAAAAGTCCAAAAACAGATCTATTTTCGATGAATGTATCCTCCTCAAGGTCTTGGGTCGTGATTGAAGGATTGTTTATTGATGGCAGGGTCTGGCAACGCGTTGTTGCCAAGCATTACGGAAGAGGAGGTAATTGGTAGATCATGTTGTTGATATGATTGATTGTTATTGATTGATTGATGATATATTTCGTGTTAAACTACAAAGCTGCTGGTTGCCATTATTATTATTATTATTGGTAAGATATCGACTTGGTTTGGTAGGTATGATGTGCTTTACATAATTGAGTGTGATGGATTAAGGGATGGAGGGATGTGGCTGGGTAATGGTTGAGTTGGTGATTTATGGAACGCGGGATGATGACACTGGAATAACCTTATCTCTTAAGGGTCTCGATGATCTGTGCAATTAAACTGTGAGTGATGCCTGGCTTGGCCTTCTCGGCATTGTCAAAGGCCATCTTGAGCTGAGCCAACGAGTTGATGACGTTCTCATCCTGAGTGCTCTTGAGCAGCTTGGACAGAACTGGGTAGATGACAGAGGTGAGAGCACTGGCTCTCTGTGGCTGGCCAACAGCGGAGCCGTTCTGAGCGCCGCCGGAGGTGGTCTGTGTTGGTGCGGCAGCGACCACTGGTGCAACTGCCACGGGTGCTGGCTGAGCCACTGGCTTTGGCACTGAAACTTGAGGCTGTTGTACGACTGGAGCCACGGCTGGTGTGCTGGAGGTTGTTCTTGGCTTGGGCTCCTCGACTCTTGGTGCTGGTGTGCTGACTGGTTGTGGCGTTGGAGTTGGTGTGACGACTGGTGCTGGTTTGGCGACGACTGGTGCGACGACTGGCGCAGCAGCCACTGGTGACTTGGCAGCCTTGATTGTGGGGAAGTCCCATCCGTCGTCCTCGTCCGCTCGACCCTGTCCGTCTCTGTCCTCATCCTCGTCGTCGTCGATACCACCACCGCCGTTCATCTGTAGCCACTTCTGGCGACGCTCAATGAGCTCGGTCAGACAGCTGGTCTTCTTGGCAGCCTTGATAAACTTGTTCTTTAGCAGCTCTTTTGCAGTTGGACGCAGGTTTGGATCCTTGTTCAGACACATCGCGCAGAACTCCTTGAAGCCCTTTGAGAAGTTGCCCTCGAGCGTTGGTGCTGGGTCCTTTGGGATCAAGAACAGGGCTCTCATTGGATGCAGGTCAGCTCTAGGTGGCTCACCCTTTGCCATTTCCAGTGCAGTGATACCCATACTCCAAATATCAGCTTTAGAATCATATCCTGTTTGTTTAATAACTTCCTATAATAGTTTGATTGATTGATTAAGCTGTGTTAGTAACACTGATTGATTGATTGAATGTATGATCAATCGATCGATGACTTACTGGAGCCATCCAAAATGGTGTTCCAACGAATGTATTCCTCTTTGTCATTTGATCGGTCAACTGTCCACTGACACCAAAGTCAGCAAGCTTGACATCACCGTTGGCGGCCAGAAGGATGTTGGCAGCCTTTATATCTCTGTGAATCTTGCCCTCAGAGTGGAGGTACTCAAGACCCTTGAGCAACTCCCTCAGGATGATGGCGATGAAGCCCTCGTCAATGAGAGCGGGCTTCATCAGATCGAGTACGGAGCCTCCGGCCAAGAACTCCATGATAATCCACAGCTTTGTGCCCTTCAAATAAGAACCAAAGTATTTCGTAACGAATGGACTCTCGCACTGTGACAACACATTGATCTCCTGCTGAATGTCCTCAATCTCATCCTCTGCATCTTCCAAATCGATGATCTTGATGGCTATAACCTCATTGGTCTTCTTATTTATACTATATTAATCATTCATTGATTGAATTGAGTGTTAGACTTGATCGATTGATTGATTGATTGATTGAACAGTCTAGACGTACCCTTTGAACACCTCACCGAATGAACCCTTTCCGATCTTCTCTTGCTTGAGGTATAACTCTTCTGGATCTCCCTTTTTGCTCATTCTCTGTCAACTTTGTTTATGATATGATTTACAATGATTGATTGATTGATCGATTGAATGAATTATGTTTTTGATTAATGATACAACTGTATAGCACAACAACAACAACAACAACAATCTCTATTATTATTATATATTATTGTTATTTATATTATATATATATATATATTATTATTATTATTTAGATGGTCAAATGTACTCTGAGATGACTCTATTTGTGAATGTGTGTGTGTATGTGTGTGTGTGTGTGTGTGTTGGTGTTTATGTGTTTGGTAGTAGTGTGTGTGTCTATGTATGCTTATGGTGGTGCTTGTCAACGAAGAGAGTGATGTGTGAGATTAGTGTGTGATTGGATTGAAAAAAAAAAGATTAAAATAAATAATCAAAAAAAATCGATCTCACTCTCCAAATCAAAAAAACACACCCTTCCCCTTTGTTTTTGTTCTGTTCACTTTACAGTCGGCAACATGGTCGATATCATATCAGGGACAAGTGCAATCAATTATCCATGTAGACGACAGACATTGAAGCGCTCACCACCTCCTTGGGCTGCCATCTACATCAATGGAATTCCAAAGTATAATGATCCTCGTGTTGGTGGCTGGCATGCCTGAAACGTACAGATTTGTGATTCCATGGAATCGATCTTCAGATTCTTTGAAGGGATTAGAAAGTCCTATCTTCATTCTCACTATTGCCAATGTCCTTGTATGGTAGATTGATTGATTGATTGATTGATAGAATGTCTACGTCTATGTGTTTGAATGGTATTCAAAATAAGATTGCTGTAACCAAAGTTGCAAATTACGATGAATGATGCAGACCCGTCGTCATTCAGATCACAACCTGCGACAACACAACAACTAAACACAACTTCAGACCCCCCCATGAGCTCACTTTTTGCAACTATTATCTCTGTTTGACAAAACAATAATCAGATTCCTTCCTTTGCAGACAGGAACATTCATGTTCCTTTATCCGAACAACCAAACAAATACATAACAACTACAATTATATATCAATATATATTCTTATAATCTCATCATTCAAAATAGAATAGTAGAATATCTATAAAGAATGTTCGAGTCAATTGTAACGGATATCATTGCAAAATATATTGGAGAGTATATAAAGAACTTATCATCTGAGCAGCTAAAGGTGAACATATTCTCTGGCAATGTCATCCTACGTAATCTTGAGATCAAAGGCGAGGCCCTACAATCATTCAAGCTGCCACTACACGTTCAAAAGGGCATCATTGGCACTCTAGAGCTTAAGATCCCATGGACTGTATGTTGTTGAAACATTGTTTGAATGATTGAATGAATGAGTTAGTGATTGGAATATGACCCTGACGCGCATGACACCAACCTTGAAACAACAACAGAACTTAAAGTCAATGCCAGTGATTTTGGAAATAGATTCGATATGCTTGTACGCCATTCCACAGACTGGCTTTGAATATAATGAACAGGAGGAGCGAAGGAAGATGCAGGAGGATAAACAGAAGAAGTTGGACAAGTATGAGTTGGTGCGCAGTTGGAAGGAGGGCGGCCAGGGTGCGTCGGACGCGCCCTCAGCCCAGCAGCAAGACACGTTTATGTCGAATGTCATGTCCAAGATCCTGAACAACATCGAGATCAAGATCAACACATTCCATCTGCGATACGAGGAGGTGCGCAACGGCAAGGTTTACTCGCTGGGCATGTCGTTTGGCTCGCTGTCGGCCTACTCCACTGATGGAAAGTTCGCCCGCCGCAAGTTCCACGAGGGCGGCGCCATCAGCAACGAGACAGTCTACAAGTTTGTCGAGCTGTCCGACTTTTCCATATATCTCAACAGCGACGACACGTCCGTCTCCACTCTGTCCAACGACGAGATGCAGCGATACCTCAAGAGTCGCACGGGCAGCAGCGGGGTGGCGCTGGGCGAGCATCGTTACATCCTCAAACCCATCACAGTGACACTGCGCATCGAAATCAACAAGAACCTCAGCATGGACACGGCTGTGCCCAAGATGAAGATACAGTGCCAGTTCGAGGAGGTGTCGTTCTACCTCGAGGAGAACCAATACCAGACCATCCTCAAGCTACTGTCCACGATCAACAGCTACACACAGGAGCTCAAGTATCTCAAGTACCGGCCAAAGCTGCGACCCAAGCAGGATCCAAAGGCATGGTGGAGGTACTGCGCACAGGTGTATCGCGAGTCGATTCGCGAGCGTATTCAACAGCGATCGTGGAGTTTCATTCAGAAGCGTCGACAGAACAGGAAGGAGTACGTCAGTCTATTCAAGAAGCTACAAGGGGTTGAGTGGATCGACCCCATCACAGAGAAGGAGACAAAGAGGCTACAAGAGATGGAAGAGTCATTAAGCTTTGAAGATATAGTGTAGTACGTACATTGCTCACATGACACATGTGGAACTATTCCCAATCACTCACACTCACTCGATCAATCAAACAGTTTTAGATCATTAGCAAGAAGAGAGTTGGCAAAGGAACAAGCCATTGCAGACTCAAAGAAGGGAGAGTTCTATAGCTCAGTGAACAGGACAAGGTTCTTTGGCTTTTGGAACAAGGCTAACGAGCCAAAGATGAGCATCCAACTTACCAAGGAGCAACAAGATGAGATATACAAATCCATCGAGTACGACGAGATTGCCCTCGGTGCAACGATTGAGATGCCTCCAGAGGTATGTCCAACATCCATACCTACATCCACATCACATCATCTAACAATCAATCACTCATAGTATATACAAAACATACTGGAGGTCAAGGTGGAGGCCATTGTATTCACAGTGATTGGTGGACGAAAGGGCGAGGGTAACCTGTTGAAGTCCTACCTGAACAATATAACATTCAAGATGTCACAAAGAGCGCAGGGTGTGAGGTTAGACCTCGACTTGGAGTCATTCAACGTCATTGATCATTTCAATGCCGACAGTCTCTTCCCTTATGTAATCACCTCATCACCACGCTTCAAGAACAACCGCAGCATCAGTGGCAACAACAGTCCAATCAAAGACAACAAGGACAACAACAACATCAACAAGCATGAACATCTATTCAACATTGTGATGGAGACCAACCCGATATCAAGCACATATGACTATCGACTCAGCCTTCAATTGAATATGTTGGAGATCATTGTCAACAAGACACAGATCGAGCGATTGATTGACTTTGCCACGCCTAAGGACAATGTTAATCTGTTCTCTTTGTCGTCCGTGGCAATGGAGGAGTTGATAATGCTCAAGGAGATGACCATCTTTCAGATGTGGGACGCAGTCAATCATCACAAGACAATAGATCTCCACGTGGATGCCAAGGCTCCAACGGTCATCATCCCTGAACACTTCAATCGCCAGGACACCTCACTGTTGGTCATCGATCTGGGCAACTGCCTAATGTACAGCGATGTCAGCCAGAAGACTGTCAAGACAAAGAAGACTGCGCCACGCCCAGACCTGGGCGCGCCTCTTCTGCAACAGTTGGCCAGCAGCGGCGACCAGAGCGAGTTGGAGAATGGTCTAAAGGAATCGGACCTTTATGATTACTATCGAGTGGAGCTCTCATCAATCAGAGTTCTGCTGGCGCGCAATGATCAAGAGTGGTGGCGAGTTCCGTCCGGTCCGAGTGGCGAGCGGGGCGTGCCCTTCCCGTTGGTCGAAGAGATGGCCATCAGCATGAACATTCAGAACTGCATAGAGCCGAACGAGTTGTCACTGGCCATCTTCAAGGTGAGCGGCACACTGCCTGAAGTGAAGATCAACATCTCCGACGCCACCTACCTCCAGCTCTACCAGATGGCCAGGACGCTGACCACTGAGTCCTCGCATACCACCCACGCCTACAATCAACTCATGGACACATTGTCCTCGTCAAGGCCCTCTGAAACATTTGTCGACGTCAGTCAGATGGAGATCAAGCTGTCTGATGCCTATCGCCAGGTGTTGGTGCGACGCAAGCTATTCGATGGCGACTTCACCCTCCAGCGCGTCTTGGTCGATGTGTACAGCAGTCGAACTACTATTGGGGCACAGACAACAACACGCCAGCTCATCCAATTGCGTGTCCACGAGCTACAGCTTCAGGTGAAGAAGAGGACTTATGATTATTCAGGATCACTACTGCTTGGCAAGATGGAGATTGACGATTGCTTGGAGCAGCACAGCAGGTTCTCACATTTGGTGACATCACAATCACGACTTGAGGACCAGGTCACCAAAGACCTGATATCAATCACGATTGGCATGATCGAGAAGCAATCACCAGAGTATACAGGTGTCGATGTGTTTGTCGACTTTAACTTTGGCGAGTTGAACATCAACTACAATCCCAAGTCAATCGGACATGTCATGACCTACCTCGACTACTGTCTCGAGGAGACCTATCGACTGCAAGAGGAGATGTTGGAGAATGGCCTGTCGCCCAACATACCAATCGCCACCTCCCCCTCACCTTCGCCCACAAAGGCACCTTTGGCAAGCTCATCAACAACATCCCTCCTGGCTCAAAGTAGTGGGACAATGGTCAACAACAACAGCAGCAACAACAGTGCATCGAGTGGCTTGAGTGTTATACAAGCCAAGGCAACAGTACACTCATTGTCAATCTCATTGAATGATGAGGGCGTGGAGATTGGAATGTTCTCAATCAATAGGTTCATGGTCAAGGAATGCACGGTCAATGGAAGAGAGTTCGACATTGAGGGCCATCTGGACAGCATCACCGTGGAGTCATTTGTTGATCAGTGCGCCGATGGACAATCATTCAAGATGCTGACGCCAAAGAATCTGGATGTGTCCATGGCCACGTTCAAGTACCGTTCATTCAATGGTCACCGCGGTGCCACTGTCAAGCGTGACTTTGACTCTGAGGTCACACTCAATCTGCGGTCCATCCACGTCACCGTCCTCGTTGACTTTATTCTTCGCACCAAACACTTGATCCAGCTTCCATTCAAGACGCTCAAGTATGCCACCATATACAGCAACACCAACAACAGCAACTTAGCAGAGGACAACGTAGATAGTGGCACAGTGGCCACACCACAGAGGCCATCAATCATTTCCAAGGTTAGCAAGACGAACTACACCATTCAACTCGAGTCACCTCAGATTGTGCTGTTGAGTAGTGACCATCTCGCGACTAGTGACGACAGGATCATCTCTGAATTGGGCTCAATTGAGATATCCACAGTTCTCAAACGTTGTGTGGAGCCAGGTGTTGGTGAGGAGGTGGAGTGGGAGGTCATCCAGGCAACCCTGCGTGATATGAACATCAAAACATTAAGAGCAGGTCGCCATCATCAGGTCCTGCACGATCTGTCCATTGGAGCAACGATCGAGACCATGCTCTGTTCCACCAAGACTCAGTTGCCCATCCCATCCAGTGTAGTAGCAGTCCAAAAGCGAACACATATCGATATCAAAGAGATTGCGTTGCAGTTTGAGGACCTGGAGCATTCACTCATTGTCGGCGTCGTCAAGGATGTATTGGAAAAGGTGTCATCATCATCACAGCAACAGAGCCAGAGGAAGCTCAATGCGTCCAGTGGCACAGCCTTGAAGAAGCCTCTGCAAGTCGACGACCGTGCTCACCAGATAAGTGTGGACCTACAACAATTCACTCTGCTGCTCCAATTGGATGAACATCATGATTTTGGTCAGATTGCATTGAACAAGTTTAATGTCCGATCCGAGTCAAACAGCTTGTCCACCTCCACATTCATCGGATCACTCCAATCACTCACTCTGCGAGACATGCGACCAGATGCCAAAGGTACCCGCATGTTTGAGACAGTGCTGGCACCCCTCGCGTCCAACGATGCCCAACTATCATTCAAGTTCACCACATTCAACGACCCTTCGCAATCACCTATGGATGGCTGGAATAGTTGTCTCGCACTTGACATGTCGCCCACATGCATCACAGCATCTGCAGGCTTCCTACTTGGTCTGAAGGACTTCTTCTTGTTGCCATTCACAAGCAGACTGACCGATGAGATGAGGGCGCATCCAATGTCATTCAACATCCCCTTGTTGGCAGACATTCAAACACCGTCCAGGATGAAGTTGGACATCAATGTGCGTCAGCCTAAAGTCTTGCTGCCCGTGTCACCATTCTCCAGCGATCACATCATGATGTCACTTGATCACATCTCAATCACCAACTCATTCGTTGATTGGTCGATTGGTGAGCATGAGACAACATTTCCAGTTGAGTCGATCGTCATTCACATTGCCGATGTCACGCTCAGTGCACAGGTTGGTACTGAGACCACACTCACTCGCCAACCATTTGACATCAAGATTGATTACCAGGCTATACAAGCATCATTTGTCAACACACTCGAGGTACTTGCACGCCAAGCGCAGCCCACCACTGTTGGTCTGATGGTATCGCCCCTGGTCTTGGACATGGACGAGAGCAACTATATCCAGTTTACAGATATGGTGGCACAGGTCTTCCGATCACTGGATGATGTGCCACCACTCAAGCTCAGAAGTGCCAATCCCGGAATGCTCGACCTCATTATGCTTCAGGCCACACCAGACGTCGTGGCCAAGCTGCCAGACATATTTGGAATGCGTATCAATGTCACACTGGAGCAGATCAAGCTTGAGCTGCGATCACACCTCGAGCACTCGGACCCTTTTGCCAACGTGTGGATACATGATGTACAGCTGGCCGTTGACATGGCCACTGTTCCACGACCCAAGAAGATGTATGTCAAGGGCAGTGTACAGCAATTGGAGGTCTTTGATCGTCGCATTCACTTCAATCATGATGCCATCAATCATAATGATCGCGCATTCTGCTGTCGTGACCCTATGATCAAGATGATGGAGTTCACCTACCTCTCGTTGGACCCAAAGTCAGCAGCGGCAAAAGATCACACATCAGACCTGGTATTCAACATGAATGGGCTACTCACACAGGCCTATCCCGCATTCTTGTTGCGCGTCTGGGACTCTGTGGCCATATCTTTGACCTCTGTGTTTGGCACCTATTCCACAGACAAGTACAGACCAGCCAACGCTATCCATCTGTCGCCCGTCAAGCCAGTAGCAGACAGCAGGATGCGTATGAACGTTCGCTTTGACAGACCATTAATCAAGCTGTGTCAGGGCTATCAACATCAAGATCACTGTCAGATGTTCCTCGAGCCAGACCACATCATTCTGATCAACAAGTTCACTGAGTTGTCGAAGGCCGAGGCTGTACAACGAGGTAGCACCCATTCGACATCAATGCACATTCATATCGATGATGTCTCGATTACGCTGGTTGACCACACCAAGGACAACAGGGCAAGGATTGCGTCCAGTCTCAACCTTGATGTCACGATGGAGGGTGGCAGTGGTGAGCCGCAACACTTCTCAATCCTCACCAATGCCCTTAGACTGTCACTTGATCAACATCAATTCTCCAGCCTCTACAACTGCACAAACCATGCATTGGAGTGTCACTATCAGCTTGCTCATCAGAGCCAGGCTGGCTTCCTTCGTCCAGGCCCGACACCTAAACAAACAGACATGTTTGTCAATCTTGAGATGGAGTCATTTACAATGGAGCTCATTGATACTGTCACCGCCGCCACGCCATTTGCAACACTCTCCCTACAGCATCTCAATGTCGACACATCGATGCTTGGCACGGGCGGCATGGTGGTCAATGGCTCACTCGCAGACTTTACCCTCCAGGACATCCGCGACGCTCAGCCGACCAGATTCATCGTCGCTCAACATGGCGCTCAGCCTTCATCAGTGTCCTTTGCGTACAAGTCGCATAAGGAACGCAATGCAGATGGATGGGACTCAGAGGTGGAGGCCACTGTCAAGCATTTCGAGCTCTCGCCATTCCCCCTGGACATATTGTTGGCAGTCAAATCTTTCCTGCTCAATCCAGTCACGGCCAACCCCATTGCACAGAGTCCTAGTTCTAAAGGCGGAGATGATAATCACATGAGGTTGGCATTGGTGTGTCAGCACTCACGAGCCTTGCTAAGCAGCCCATCCATTCCGAATGATCATGTGGTGATCTCTGTGGACAGCTTGGAGATGCATAACATGCTGATCAATGATGCATCTTATGAGCTCGAGAGATGGATCTACGACGTTGCATCACTATGTGTTGACATTGAACGACTGGGTATGAGAACAAAGCTTCTCACTGACCTGGACCTACGAGCCAACACCGACACGATCAAGCACTACGATCAATTCCTGTCGTCTCTCAACGACCAACACACAGCGCCACCTCACTCCAAGACCCAGCTTGCGCTCAAGGATCTAAATATCTCACTCTCACAGTCCAACTATCAATTCCTTCATCAGCTCTACACATCCTTTGCAAGCCCAGCCCAACCAACAACAAGCACAACTGCTACCACTGCCACAGAGACAAGATCCTACGCCTATGTAATATCTACCAAGATATCAACATTCCAGTTGCTGCTAATTGATGGACACAATCATAGACTAGCCACAGTGTCATTGGATGGCCTTGAGTCCAATGTGGTGCTGTCCGATGCACCTGGTGATGGCGAGGTGCAGGTGATTGGATCACTGCATACTCTTCGACTGGAGGATTCACGACACGAGATGTCTCGATCAAGATTCCCTACAATCTTTGGTATCAACAAGCAGGTCCAACCTGGCATATCATTCAAGTACCAGCAGTTGGGACAATCAAAGAGAGCCAGCGTGGACATTGAGAACGCCAATATTGTACCAATATTTGATCTGTTCACTGCCATTCAACAATACTTCCAACCGACTTCATCTGACATGGTAGTTGCTCATGATGCCCCAAAGACAAGCATGCTACAGTACACAATGACACTCAAGTCCTCCAACATTGTGATGCCATATAGCAATTATGAGTTGCCGGAGCATTTATCGTGTCATGTTGGTCTTGTAACAATCAACAACGGTGATGATGAACTTGCCCATGACATCGATCAGATACTCATGAGGATTTGGTCCATGTCAATCACTCCACGTTCATTCCATGGAGAGATCGGACCAAAGATATTAATGGACATGGATGTCGATATCAACATGCAATCACTCGTTCACAATCAATCACAACTGCTTGACAAGCCCATAACAAGCATCACTGTCAACGTTGGCACCATTAAGATGGCATTGGATGCACAGCAATATCTATTCCTGTACAACACACTGAATGCCAATCTCAAGCGTTACTACGAGTTCAAGCATGGTCCCTATCCATTGCAGCCATTGGTCGCTCAGCCTCTTCCCCAGCAGGACAATGATGTTGATGCAGTACAGCTTGACATGAGGGTCGTGTTCAACATCCAGTCACTGGCTATGGAGATGTGCTTTGCACACTTCTCACCAACATTCCTCACATTGAACCAGCTCTCAATGGACATCGATATGACCTCCCGCAAGATGGTCGTCCAAGGAACTGCCAACGATCTGATAATCAGCAATGGCAACCCTTACAACTGCGTACACAATCAGTTGCTCACAAAGGACAATCAACAACAGGATGTCTTTGTGTTCACTTTTATCTTGCATGCAGCGACACAGCCTGTTGACTATGACTCTGAGTTCGAGATGGAGTTGCGCTCAATCCAGTTGGTGTCAATGTTGGGCGCACTCATCAGGGTCAAGGACTTCCTCATGGAGCCTTTGTCCGTCCCGGTTGTATCCCCGCCCAACGCACTCACAAGAGGACGCCCATCCAGAATGAAGCAGACAATCAATATGGCCCCATGGACCCTGCTCATCCCTGCCACTGACTCCAGCCACGACGCTGTCTTGATCAACTTTGGCACCACGCACATATCCAATCTTTATCGGGACTGTTGCATCAGTGGCGACATTGTTCAACCTGTCGAGGTGATGCAGATCGTCATCAGCCAGCTATCACTATTCACTAGTCGCGATGGCATCAAGCGGGCCATATCCAACAGTATCGAGTGCAGCATTGACATTGAGAAGCTGTTTACAGTGCACGAGGTATTGTGCGAGGATCAGAGAATGGCCGTGTCCATCCCCAAGCTGGAGCTCATACTCAATCAAGACGATTATCGATTCTTCTACTTTGTGTTCACATCTGATTGGATGCGATTTGGCGCGCCCAATGATCGACCAGTCGTCGTGCCACCACCCTTTGCACCGCCACTGCCTCAGCTGCTCAATCACAGATTCGTCTACATCCCGCCCGAGCACAGTGAGCAGATGCGAGTCTCAGAGAACCAGTTCTCATCGCCACTGGGCTTTGTGCACATTGCCAACGACTCACCTCGTCGCATGAAGGTATCATGCGAGATTGGCCGATTGTCAATGGCCGTCAGCCACACCGACAGCAACGTGGACCCTATCGCCTCATTGGAGATCAACCAGGTCAGTGTCAACTATCATCAACTACGCAACAATGACAACAAGATTGAGATGATGGTGCGATCTGTGCAGCTGGTCGACGAGCGAACTGATGCTCCATCAGTTTTCAAGGAGATCCTCACAAGGAAGACACGAGCCAATCAAGGCCCGCCACATCTCTATATCGAGTCCCTGATTGACGCACAGAAGAATCGCAACTATGTCTCAATCAACTGTGACCACCCATTGTTGTTCGTCTCACCCGACTCCATCCTGCCCATCATGGAGTTCTTCACATCGATCAAGAACCCATTGACCAAGTACCAGGTGGCGCCCCCACAGCCCAGCACACGTCCAGACAATCATTTCAGATTCTACCTCAAGGTAATCAAACCCAAGTTGTTGCTGGTGGAGAACGAGACACAACAGAACACGAGAGCATTGGTCGTGAAGATGCCCATTGAGTTCCATTATAGCTTCACGCCCGAGAAGAACTTGACGATGGAGCTCAAGGCCTCGAGGTGTCAGGTGTTCAGGACGACGCCATTCTCAGACACTGAGGGTATCTCCTCCACGCCACTGACCAACAGCTTTGCCTTTGACTTCATATTCATTCACTTTGCCGAGAATGATCAGCGTACGATCAACATCCGATTCCAGGCGCTCAATATCTTCCTGTCATACAAGGACATGATGTTGATCAATCGAATCTTTAGCAATCTGTCACTGCCCCCTGGTACCGCTCCCGGTGGTGCCAGCGCACCGCTACCAGCATCCGCCCCCAATTCACAGCAGTCCAAGTCGCTAAATTCACCTATACGCCCCGAGGACTCATTCAAGCTGATGCACAAGACACGCATTAAGTTGGACTTTGTGGGCCGCGTCAACTTGACCCTGTTGGACGAGGCACAGTCTGTCACCCTCCAAGATATACCATTCCTGCAGTTGACAATGGGTGACCTGTCCAGCAACTTCTGGGGCTGGTCAGACTACAGCTTCACGACGACTAGCTGCATGCTCAAGGTGGAGGTGTTCAATCACAAGCATATGGCATTCGACTCCCTCGTCGAGCAGTTCCCGCTCACAGTCCAGCTACTTAGTGCCGACGATCCCAAGACCAAGATATCGATCAGGACAGAGGACTTGGTCAACATCAACTTGTCGCACCCATTCATCTCCTCCTTGGCTCGCTTCTATGAGAACATTCAAATCACCAACGACAAGGAGAACCGACAGCAACATCAACAGCAGCAACAACAGCAGCAGGAACAGCAGGAGCAACTCCAGAGATGTAGCTCAAACATCAATATTGTGGTCGATGACACCAGCGAGCACTCATCAGACTCATCGACTCCATCGTCCTATGAGCCAAAGTCCTCGTCGCCATCACTCAAGCCCTTCACACCTCCATTGCGACACTCATTCTCACCGATAGGATCATACTCGTCTCTGCGAGATCTTGAAGCAGCAGCGTCATCATCGTCACCGTCAGTCGTTCCCTGGAAGAGTAGAGACTCTCCATCACTGATGTCCTCATTGGAGGACCCCAAGCAAACTCTGTCCGCATCGATCATTGCACACACCAAGCGTGATTCCACCAAGTCATCAGTTATCCTCACACACTTCCACAACAAACATCGAAGAACCATGTCCAACTCGATCAACTCGCAGCAGCTCTTCAACACAGTTGGCCAGAACCTCATATGGATTGTCAACCTCACAGGAAAGGACATCCAATTCTATGTTGAGGAGCTCCAACTCATACAGCCAGCATCCGCCCAGGAGCCTGGCATGCGTCGCAACGATGGAAGTTGGGGCAGTAACATGAAGCTGTCACCCTCGGCATCATCCGCATCAATGGCACCTGACGCAGTGGACTCTGACGACGAGGATGATCTGTCCAGCTCAGCAAGGACTAAGATCAACAGACAGGTGTACCATCTGAAGAACAGAGAGAAGCGACCAATTGAGCTCAGCTCTGTGTTGTTCAAGAGTCGTGACTTCCGTACCCTGGGCTCACTCAACGCTCACATTGCACTAAAGTTCACCGACTCGGACAAAGATGAGCAGTGGATATCGGGCGTGTCGATCAACATGATTGGAGATAACTACTACTTCCCGCCCTCGAACCAAGGCACCAACATCATTGTGTGTGAGGTAGGCTGGAATGAGTCCAACGAGAACAAGATCGCCACGTTGCGCTCCCCGATCATCGTGCGCAACTCCACCACGGTTCCCATCGACATTCTCATTCTCTCGGGCAAACAAGACCGACATGTATTTGGACCTGTGGCCGTAGACGACAACTTCTACATCCCTGTAGAGTACTTCAACTACAACAGCTTCATCACCATTCGTCCATCAGACATTGACCTCTCCTTCGATATGGACAACGCTCTTGATCTTGTCGACTCATCATCATGGCCAGCATCACATCTCTTTTCCCCATTCAAGGTTGCGTCTGCCCCTGTCGCGTCCACTTCCAACCTCAACAACTCCAACAACCCCAACAACAACAACCACTCCAGCAACAACATCGGTAGTAGCCCGGGCATCAACAGAAGCCAATCGATATCACGAGCCCTACCATTGGACAGGTTCCACCTTGCCCTTCTCTCACAGCCAGGCATACGATGCGAGAAGACAGGACTCATTTCAAACACCCTGGTCATATGCCCGCCGTTGATCATTGAGAACTCGCTCTACTGTGACATTGAGATACGCATTCACAATCACAGCGAGGTCAAGCGTGGCAGCAGGACAGACTACAATCGATCACTCCAACAACGTCCGCCCACATTCCTCTTGTCGGGTAAGCAGACACCCTTCTACACTCAGTGTCGCGACGACGTTGGCATGACCCTATGTCTACGAGGTGTGGGCAAAGAGGTGTATTTCCATCTCTACTACATGCTTGAGGGCACAGGCTCTGGCAGTGGCTTCATCCAAAGGACACCAATGGCGTCAGACAACGAAGGATCGGGCACCTCCTTCACACAGGACCTGTCATACCAATGTCTGGACAATGGCTACACGATGCAACTCAAGGTAGACCACAGATTCGAAGGTGGATGCCACATTGCCACTATCTACACGACAAACGCAGTGAGCAATCATACGATGATTCCCTTTGTGTTGCGTCCCTCTATTCCTGGCCTCAAGTCTGCTCCCCATGTCACACTTCAGAGTAACGAGACACCTATCATGTTGTCGCACGACAAGTTCACGCTATCCCATCCGTCGTTCCCCGAGATCACATCCAAGGAGTTTGACATCATTCTGGGCAAGGAGGACATCATCGAGATCCAGTTGCATGGTCGAGACACGATGAAGCTGCAGTTCAGGGTGTTTGTCAACATATCCAACGCGAGCAAGGTGTTCTTCCGTACTCGTATCGTCGACATCTACCCTCGCTTCTGCCTTGTCAATAGACTACCCCTGACTCTGTCCTACACACAGTTCTCCCGCGACATGGTCAAGATGGCCAGCGACAGTCTCGAACTGGCCCCCGACGCTCAGATCCCATTCCATTGGTTCAACGGCATGTCCGAGCAGCTGATCGCAGTCACAATGTCAAGCAGCGAGTCAGCGCACTGGGGCTGGTCCTCTGGTGCGCGCATCGACATGGTGGGCACACATTACATCAAGTTGCTACATTCACAGGACAGCAGCATCGAGCAGATCATCAAGGTAGATGTGGTGGACACGAACGAGTCGATAATGGTAGTGTTCCATCCAGCCGACCCAATCTCACTTCCGTTCCATCTAAAGAACGACACCAATGTCAGCATGACCTTTGTACAGAAAGCACCAGGTTCCAAACGCTATCAACTGTTGCCCAACGATCATATCTACTTTACATGGGACCATCCCACCGCCGAGCAGAAGATACTCGTCTACCTTGATTCCAATCCGAATGCAGTGGAGATCAACTTGAACAAGATCAAGAACTTCAAGACCATCAAGTATAATGTATGTATTATTCCATCAACGTTCTGTTCAATCACTCATACTAATACAACTCTACATAACAATCAGGGCCAAGTTATATACCCAGTGTCACAGGCTGTCAATGGTGTCACAAGAGAGCTCACATTCTCATACCATCATGAGGAGGTCAAGGTCGTTGACGTAAGTATCCATCCATCCATCAAATCAATCCAACGCTCACATACTCATACACATCCACATCCAGTTGATTGAGTTTGCAGTTGAGTTATCATTCGAGAAGATTGGAATTTCGATCATCAATGACGTTCCAGAGGAACTCATCTACATCTTGCTCAAGGACACATCACTATGGTACAGCTCCTCCAACATTACGCAAACATTATGGGTCACGATCGACGACATCCAAATCGACAATCAAAAGACAGACACTGATTATCCCGTACTCCTATACTGTGAGAAGAAGCTCAATGGCAAGAGTCTGCCATTCCTTGAGTTCTCGGCCATCAAGTTGAACAAGGGTAACATAGTCCACCACATCACCTAATCGACATGTTGACTAACACCATCACATTCCAGAGAACTTTGATTACTACGACTTGATTGCTTTGTACCTCAATGAGATATATGTTCAGATTGATGACATCACATTGATCAATCTTTACTCATTCTACTCCAAGTTGCCGCTGGACAAGTTTTGGTCAAGTTCCAAAGGTGCTGCTGTTGCCAATGTTGAGCAGCCAAGCATGTTCTATATCAAATGGTTGATCATTGCAGAGATCCAACTCTACTTGACATTCAGTATCACCAGAGATGGTATACTCAGTAACTACAAGTATGTATACTCGATATCCTCCACTCCACTGTTCGATGCTAACTCCATTCATAAACAGCAAACTCCCTGCACTTAGATTGCTCGTTCCTTCATTGGGCAAGTCATTGGGACAGTTGGAGAACGCACCACTCAAGATCAACTCGCTTGGCATTAAGAATGTGTTTACGACCCAGCACAACCTTCAAGAGCACCTCTATTCACATTACAACAAACAGATGAAGAGACAGGTAAGCATGACATTCAATCCATGATACTCAACCATGCTAACCATCAACAAACAGATACATATTATATTAGGATCATCTAATATATTTGGTAGTCCAGTGGTGTTATTCAATACGATCAGTACTGGAATGACAGAGGCGATTGAGGAGCCAATCAAAGGATCAATCGTGTTGATGAAGAGAATATTGTATGCGACGGCCAACAGCTCAACCAAACTCTTTGGTGCCATTTCAAATGGATTTGCAGTATGGTCCATGGATGAGACTTACCTTAGGCGAAGAGACGCAGAGGAAAGGATCAAGGCCAAGAACATTGGACAGGGTCTACTCATGGGCACCAAAGGTCTGGCAATTGGCATCTTTGATGGCATCACTGGCATTGTGACCCAACCCGCCAAAGGTGCCATCGAGGAAGGTCCACTCGGATTCCTCAAGGGCATTGGCAAGGGTATAGCAGGAGTAGCAATCAAACCAGTAACTGGTGTTTTGGACTTTGCCTCGAGGACATCAGAGGGCATCAGGAACAACACCAACATCAAGCCTGAGCGACATAGAACACGTGTGCCACGCTACATCAACCCAAGAGAGCCAATCAGAGAGTACGTGAACGTTGAGTCCGAGGGCAACTACTTGCTGCGTCAGAACCAATCCAAGATCATCAAGCAGCAGTTGGCCAAGCGACTAGACTACAAGTTCCACATGCTCCTCTCGGACTGCATCATTCTGCTGACGTCATTGTCGCTGGTGTGTCTCTCCAAGAAGGGCCAGTACCAATGGTCGTTCCCTCTCACAGAGATTGCCCGCATTGGCCATCCCAAGACCACGGGCAAGACCTACCTCAACATCCATCTGAAGCGACACGTCAAGTTTGGTCTGTTTGGTCCCAACAAGAACAAGGTGGCGATCAATTGTCCGAACGAGTCAGTACTGGTGCAGCTCGACAGTAAGATCAGATCATGTCTTTTCAAGTCCTATGACATTGACCTCAACTCTGATGATCAGGATATAGTAGATGAGAGAGATAAATCAATTACAATAAAGTATTAACATGTTTGTTGATGATGTTATTGATTGTGTACAGTTGTCTTTGCACCATCCTCGTTGTCATTCTCGTAGACCACCTTGTTTCGCTCGTCCATCTCCTCTACATTCTCATACTTGTACTGAGCATACAGTCTCTTCTGTGGCAGCAGTCTCACTGCCAATATATCCACGAATATAGTCGACACTGTTACCAATCCAATACCAGACACGAACTAAATGGTGTGATTGATTGAGTTAGTATGATGTATATATGTGATTGAGTGTTGGAATGATTCCAGGGAAACTTACAGTTAGTAACATTGTTTGGAAATCAAATTTGCCAATTGATCCAGTTTGAATGAATAACATCTTGACGCCGTGACGATCAAAGACGTAACGATTGTTGACATCAGTTGTGAAGATTGGCTCTTCAGCCTTGAACTTGGTGTCCTTGATCACTTTGAACTGATAGGTATACCTAAAGTTGTTGGTGTTGTACGTGTATGTGTTGGAGTAGGTGATGAAAACCAACAGTATCACTCCATCATCTCGCATGCTGCGCGAAGCATTGCTCAGACTGGGTCCGTCCAGATTGTAGATGCCGGCCGCAGCCAGACAAGTGCCGACGGTCATGATGTCGTACTGGCTCTGCACGCCAACGACGTTGGGCGCAGGTGGCGTCCAGACATGGCCAGAAGAGTTTAGCAGACGACCTGGCAACTGTCGGGCATTATACTGGATGCCCAGATTGGGTGCAGAGACTGTGTGATCCAGCATGATGGTGAAGTTCTCAATGTCTGGAATGTAGAACAATGATTGATTGTACGTGGCATAAGTGCACGTGGGACTGGTGAACTGGCAATTGTTCACAGTCTTTTGTATCTCTGACTCGACTCGTGTCGAGATGAACATTGATGTGTCTGAAGTCGATGGATAAAGTACAAGTGATTCATCCCAATATTCGCATTCATATGTTGGATATCCATTATAAGTTGAATTTCCAGAACTTGTACAATATGGAGGTGTAGGATTTCTATACTTTGGCTGGAATTGTTGTGATGTGTTCGTGAGTGAGTGTGATTGTCATTCAATCAATCATAAATATGATTCGTCATGACTACATACAGCCAACAAAGTAGCACGTATTGAACCAATTGGATTCTCTGTGGCAAGGTATCGCTTTTGTAATATGATTGTTCCAACAATGATGTAAATGACAATGCCCAACATAAATAGTAAATGCAATATTCCAAGTCTTTTGTCTCTGATCTTGACAACCTTGACTGTCTGATACTCTAGAAGCTTGTCTAAACAAAGTTTGATTGATTGATTGATTGATTGAGTGAGTGAGTTAGTGAGTAAGAGGCATTAGTGAATGAATAAGTGAGTGATACAACATACCCCAATCAATAGCCATCTTTATCTATATTTATATATATATGTATATCTATTCGTTTCAAAATGAATATGATATTCTTTTAGGGTCCTGATCAAGTGTTTATGAATACTGTAGTCATAATACTGTTTGATGATGGTGATGACGTTATTGGTATGGCTGTGAGAAACACTTGGTTTCAAGAGACAGTATTATAATAGGAATTCATATAATCAGCTGATGTCCTTTGGTCGGAAACTCGGGTCAAACAACTGTTTTTGTGATCACAACAACATCTTTTTCAAAAATAAATAATTAACAGCAAACAGATAATAACACAATGAACACACACACTCACACAATACACATCGCAACTTAAACCAAAGGACTCACTCCACAATCACACATTCCTTCACTCATTGATCCACATGTCTTACTCACACAAACATAAAACCATACAGATCACTTACAAATAGAATGATGAGTGAATGATAAATCATGTGTGTGATGGGCAAAGCATTGATGACAATACATGTGTGTGTACTATACTCTCCCTCCCATTCCATCTCTCGATAATGTACAAATTCAAATGGGTTAGTGATATGTGTTTGTGGAGTGTATGTAGAGATGTAAGGAATTGCTGGATCACAGTAATATGTGGCTTGGCTGGCTAGCTTCCTGATCAGCTTTGGTAATGTGACCATTTCCAAACTCATTCAAACAAATATTTTATATAATATATAATGATTATTAAAAATCATTTCCTACTTTTATTTTGTTTGGTGTCCTTTACTTTCCAATCAAGGCCAATGTGTAAGTAGCTGACGAGATCCATTTTTGAAAGAATATCCTAACACACATATCAATAGATGGCAACAATGATAATGAATGTGTTGGAATACAATGTGGCTTTGGGATGGTATGCTGTCAACCACTACCTACATTGAAGCCTGCATGTATCCCTGCCTGTTCCTTCCTCAAATGTCCATCTCCAACCGTTTGTTCAACTGATCAACTTGGTCGACCAATATGTGTTGAGGCACCAATCCCTCCACCAACAACAACAACCACAACACCATCAACTACCTCCACTCCATCAACAACATCCTCTCCATCAACTACCTCAACTCCATCAACCACATCCACTCCGTCCACGGCCAGGTATTCAATAACAGGCTACACATTCTTGGATGTAAATTCCGATGGCATGAAAGAGGACACGGAGAGATGGTTGGGCGGTATCCAAGTGTCACTGTCGCTGGATGATGGATCAAACAACAAGAGGAGGAGACGTGCTGTTCAAGATGAAATTGGGTCAACATTCACGGACGCATCCAAGACTGTTCAGGGCTTCATGTTCACCGACCTTGAATCAGGTCGTTACTGTCTACACTTCACAGACCCATCTGGAATCTACACATCACAACTACCCAATGATCAAATCTGTTTTGATCTTCAACAAGACATCACATTATTGCCAGTCCCCTACAATGTTCCCAATGTCCCCGAGCCCACCTTCTCAATCCGTGGAACCACCTTCTTTGGAGTTGATCAGGTATGTCATCATCATCACCAAACTGGGACTATTCCAATATCTAACCCAATCAATCAATTTAGGATAATGTTACTGCTCCTGGTAGTATAATGGCCACATTGTATAATATTGATGGTAATTTGATCAGGGAGTTTGAGACCAAGCCAAAGAATGGTAGTGGCTTTGTTTTGGACGGTCTACAAAATGGTGGCTATTGTATAAAGTTGGACCAATCAGTGTTGGCAAAGTTATCACCAATCGAGGACAACCCTTTCAACTCAAGTGGAGTGTACTGCTTCTCTCTTGATGCACACACAGCACCCTCAGACCCTGCTGACTACACCCTACGTATATTCGCCCAATTCCTATGCAATGATGCGAATGATTGTCCAGCAAACAATGCAGATGATAGCTCAGCCAGTGGTAGTAGTAGTAGTATGAGCCACAGCTCAGACTCTAGCGGTGTTGGACCAACATCATCAGAGGATGGATCATCAGATTTCCCTCCAGAGTCCAGCTCGTCAACCGAGCAGGAAACAACTGGTACTACATCGCCGGTGACCTCTACTGGCTCATCATCATCATCAACAACCTCTCCAACAACCTCAACACCATCGTCCTCATCATCTCCAACAACATCTTCAACATCCACACCTACCTCATCAACCCCAACTTCATCAACACCAGTTACATCATCCTCCCCAGCTCCAACTTCATCAGGACCATCATCAACTGTTACAACATCCACTCCACAAACTACTGGTGATTCCACCTCCACTGATATCTCCGCTACATCACCATCGACTGGCTCGCCATCGACTGGCTCGCCATCAACTGGCTCACCATCAACAACAGAGGTCCCAGGTACCTCTTCCATTACTTCCTCGCCACAAACCACTAGTACTCCCGGAACATCTTCGTCACCAACAACTGGCTCATCGCCAACAACAAATGTCCCAGGTACCTCCTCCATTACCTCCTCACTACCATCGACAACTACTACGGAAACATCTTCGGCGCAATCAACTGGCTCATCGCCAACAACAGATGTCCCAGGTACCTCCTCCACTACCTCCCCTGGTACATCCGCAACACCAACGACTACTTCTTCACCGCAACCCACAAGTACAACCGAATCATCTTCATCACCATCAACAACATTAATCCCCGGTACCTCATCCACTACCTCCCCACCACAAACATCAAGTACAACGGAATCACCATCAACAACAACAGATGTCCCCGGTACCTTCCCTGGTACATCCGCAACACCAACGACTACTGATCAACCAACTTCAACGTCCGCCTCTAGTACAGTGACACCGACCACCGACCAAACATCTTCCACATCTGCAACATCAGCCACAACTGATCAAACACCACCCACGACGGCAACATCGGCAACATCATCTACGACTACTATGCGTGTCGGTGAACGTCTTCGCCGGACTCTACTGGTGGAAGTTGATCTGGTGGACGAAGAGTGATACTGGTTGCCAGGCTCACCTCCTCCGGCTTCTGTGGTGTCCAATTGGCAGTGGGCACATAGATGTCCACTTTGGGATCGCGATTGGCCAGGACCAGTTTCCTATTGCCAGTTGAATCTTTGGCTTTGATCATCAACAAAGTGTCTCTCTTGCCAACCAAATGAAGCGTGTTGTCTTTGATGTCCTTGGTGGACCAGGTCAGCCCCTCGGGAGGGATTACATGGGACTGAGCGAGTTGTGCTGTGAAAGGAATGGGTGGTGGAGGTGGTGTTGGAGTTGGTGTATCTGTTGGAGTTGGGGTTGGTGTATCTGTTGGAGTTGGGGTTGGTGTTTCCGCTGGAGTACCAGTTGTGGAGTCTCCAGTGTTTGTAGTGCCGGTAGATTGAGCCATGGTAGCAATAGGGGTTTTTGTTGTTTGGTCAGTTGTGGCTGAGGTTGCTGGGTCCGATCAGCGCTCAATGGGCGAGATTTGTGAAGAGTGGCCTTTAACATCGTGCAAGATCATGTTCCACGCACTCAAGAGGTTATCTTGGAACAAACTAGTGATCAAACCACTGAATGACAGACAGGCCTACACCATTACCGGCAACGCTCAGAAGAAGGACTCGTTCGATATTATGAAGACGACGATCGATATTCTCAAGGCTGTCGTTGCGGCCAATGGAGAGAGCCCATTGGACTCTTTGATTTATGGACCAATCATAGCACTCAACCAAATTGAAGAGCCACACAGCTATCAGCATCCAGGAGGTGGATACGGTTCAGGCAAAGCAGGAGTTGGTGATCAACAAATATCCGGTATATTCATCCATGAGATGGGTCATTCCTTGGATCTTCAGGTAAGACCTCAATCACCTATGCAATCAATCATGTGGAACTATTCCAATCAATCACTTTACTAACATTGACATTACTATAGCATTCCGCTGAATTCCCTAATAGGTACCCATATCCAAAGGGTAGTTTACTGGGAAGTGCACCTGGATTCAATGTGATTCATAATGAGTTCCTCGAGACAATATTCCGCCAACAGCAAAGCTCTACCCTGGTTGTCAGGGCAAATCGGACTTTCAAAAGCAAGATGGCGAGTGTGTCAAGCAGGATGTGATGCAAGGTGGCGCCGGATGTCAGTCGCCAGGCTACCCATTCACCATGTTCTCAGACTTTAATGTCGGTTTCATGCAACGCTTCTTTGAAGGCAAGACCAGTTTGGCCGACAATGGCAAGGACCACAACTATGATGGAGGAGTGCTCCGCTACGACGACTCGAGCAACTCCTACCAGAGATGGGACTCTCTTCACCTCAAGTGGACGGACTTTGCTCCAACCAACTCCACCGGAAGCTTTGACAGTGGACTGCCAATTATCCGTGGCGTAGACGTCTACACCATCATCATGCACTACTACAACACTGCAGAGGAGAATACAGACTGCAAGGACTGCTCAATGATCTACCCCATTCTCAAGGCCAAAGGCAACCTACTGCGCTATGTCGATCCCAACATTGATGCACAACGTGATGAGATCACGCCAGACACTGGCAAGTTCCCAACGTTCTGCAATCCAAGTGGCTGTGACTTTACGCTTAGGGTCACGTACAAGGATGGCTCCACTCGCTCAAAGATTCTTCAAAAGGGCAAGCGATACCCTGACTACCCAACATGGAAGGAGTTTGAATATGATGCCAATGTTCCAAACAGTCTGTACGTCTTTGCTGAGAATGTACCTGCCGATCGAGTCCTAGCCAAAGTGGAGCTACTCGAGACACCATACGCTTGGCAAGCAAAGACTGCCCAAGATGCCAAGGTCCTACTTTCGAATATCTAATCATCCTTGCAATAAATAACATCAATTAGAATGATTGATTGATTGATTGAGTGCATCTATTTCTTGTCTTTAATTGAACCTTGAGGTCTGGTGAAACTCAGTGTCGGCCACTCAGGAGCTTGATTGATTGGCTCAGGTCCACTCTGTTTGAATGCTTCCTTTGTCTCCTCGTCCTCTGTTGTTATCGTGTGTACATTAGTATTGATGCTCCCCTCATCATGTCGACCCTATGACTTACCTTCGATGGCCTTGGTCATCATTGGCATCAGGAATGCAAGCAGACCAGTGACACCCATCATGATCACCATTGGACTTGTTAACAGGTTCCAAATTCTAAAAGGAGCACGTCTCTCAAAGAAGTTGAGCATGGCTACTGGTCTTAAAGACAACGGTGTCTGCACCAACGTATCATTATCATTCTTTACACGCACCTGTTTACCATTGACCTCCAATCTGAATTGTCTAAACATCAGCTGTTTACTATCAACATCGAATGTATAATATCCTGTTGGTATGTTATAACTAATATACATATATTTGTCATCGTGGTCATGTCAGTACTGATGCTCTCTGTCTCTCTGTCTCTGTCTATCTGCCATAGTAGGTAACATACAAAGTGAACTCTCCATCAGAGTTTGGTAGCTGTTCTAATACATTTGATGGGTCAACACTATCTGTCAACCTCAGTCTAAGTTGTGGCTCATTTGAGCTTATGTCAAGACCTACAATGAGATAATAAGTTAGTATCATTCGACTTCATATTGTCAATCAATCAATCATTACCATTCAATCCAATGAATAGTTTGCCATCTAGTCTATTGATATAGTTTGATTGAACAGCTGCATTAGATACACTAATCAATATAAATAGACAACATATAGTAAGAGTAAGTAAGCTAGGCATTATAATTATTATAAGTATATATATATGTACACACGAATGATTGAAAGAATGAATGAATCAATGAAGTCAAAGTTGTGAACTTCTACAAGACTAGCGTGTGTGAGAGTGTGTGAGTGATTGGCGACCAATCAAACAAAGATGAAGAGATTGATTGATTAATGGAACAATGTCTAATAGGCTGACGTATCCTAACTAATGAATGGGATTGAATGAATGAGTTGATTTGATGATTTATTTGGTCAATTCCTTGTGGAGAGACAGCTTGGTGAGGCTACCACCACAGAAGGTGGCCAGTTGATCGCAGTAGTTGTTGATCTGGCTGGTGTACAACAGACTGGTGAGCTTGGATGGTGCGTGCAGGGGCTTGTTGAAGAGCGAGGCAATGTGTGCCTGGATCTCCTCCTCCTCCACCTTGACGCCCTCGCCGGCCTTCTTCTGGATGAAGTTGTTGCGTGCAAACTGCTGTGACTGGAAGTTGCGCTGGTAGGAGGCCAGCTTGTTCATCTCCTGCGACAGAGAGTCGACGCACTCGGTCATGCCCTCGACGACACGCTCCAAATAGATGTTGTTGCCAATGTTGAGACGGTCAAAGTTGGAGATGGCGTCGGACGACACGTCGTCCAGCTCGTAGAGCAGCGCGTTGATCAGTTGGGTGTTGTGAATCTTGATGGGAATCTGCTCAAAGATGTCGTTGAACGACAGGTTGGCGCTGTCCAGGGTGTCGCGGCTGTAAGGCTGCTCGCGGAACAGCGACATGAACGTCTGGGTCAGACGGTAGCAGCGCAGCGAGAGCGTTCCCTGCGACGTCTTGACTGGGTCGTAGACGATCAGCACGCACTTTTGGTTGATGGCTGACTGATACTTGAATTGTGTTTCGATGACGTTCTCATTGAAGAACGAGTTGAGATAGGTGGGCGTGTACCAGCCGACCGTGTTGGAGTCGGTGTTGACCTCGCGCAGACAACGCATCATCTCCAACTGGTACTCCTGGTTGCTCTGCTCGTTGGCGTCCTCATCAGAGTCGCGCAGGTTTGGCAGTGGGAAGCAGGATGACACCTCCAAGCTGGTGCCAATGTCGAGGCCTAGCAGCTGGCCTGGCACAAGCTCAGGCAGATGCTCCTTAACATTCTTTATAATCTTCATCACGACGATTCCGTCAATCTGGACAACATCCAAACGTGGGTTGTTATAATCTGCAACTATCTGTTCTTCGATATTCATCTTTAATAATATACAATGTTTATGTATGTATGTGTGATAAATATAATGTTGAAGTTTAATGAAGGTTGATGTTGTTGAGCGAAAGACGATCAGTGGGGATGGAGATGGCAACAAAGTGGAGTTCAAGAGATGAACCTGAGAACTTGTTGAAAAAAATACAAAAAAAACAACACAATCCAAACCCTCATTCCAACCCTCGCTTACACTACCCTCGCCAACTTGTTCAAATCAAAGTTGAAACCAACAACAAAAGAGAGATGTTAATAACATGTATATAATATGAATGGAAGAAGAAGAAGAAGGAGGAGGAGGAGAAATACTTAGAGATGACCATTCAGAGTGATGATTGATAATGCACACAACATAACACAAATACTTTGAAGATACGATAGGAGTAGTTGAAAGTTGTAGTTGACTCTTGGGTACGAGTCAAACATGTTGGACGAGTGATGTTCTTGACACTATTATTTATGATAAAGTTTAGTGTCAATGCGTCATCATGTTGCTACGACATGTCGTCCTTCATGTTGACTGACTGCAGCTAACTATGTTGTATACAAACACAAACATAGCAGTGTGCGCGCGACTCCATTAATGTAACGTAACGAACAACTCATCAACTCATCAACTCATCAATTCATCAACAGCAGACAAGACAGCAGCAGCAAACTTGTCAAACACTTGTCTTGGTAGTTTCCAAATGAAAGAGAGCGAGCCATTACATTAATCGATCGACAATTGCTTTGAATCAAGTCACAATGTGGTCAGCCAAAGTGGAAGCATGTGGTGTAGTAAGGGAAAGGAAGGGAAGGGAAAGTCGTTGTTATTGTCCTGTCCCTCAGCCACAAACACACACCACACACTTGATGATCAAGTCGACTCGTCAGTTGTCCGCCTGATTAATGACACACAAATGTCAAACAAACCAAGTTCAACTGATCATCATTACTTTAATCACAAAGTCAATACTTTATACATTGTATGATTGAAGTGAAGTGGAAGGGAAGGATTTGAATGAAGGCAGCCCATTCCATCCATTGGATACTATTATTAATAACTCACGCACTCACTCACTTCATCACTCATTATCACTCAATCAATCAAATAACCAATCAATCACTGTTACTGTCATATGACACAACACACTCATACACACACACTCATATGCTTACCACTACACCATCAACATCAACAACACATCACATCAAACTATCATCAGGCGCACACTCACTCACTCACTCACTCACACATCCAACTCCAACTCCGATGACACTGATTCCTCTAAACTCTGAAACTACGCATTGTTGGTGTTGTGTCCGTCCATGCATCCATCCATCAGCTACCCATAATCAAACTACCACTTAACACGCCCATGTCCTCCTCCTTGGTTGCCTGGCAGACAGCGTGTCCGCATGGATGATGCGGTCGCCTCTACAACACTGACATCTCCAATCAGAAAGTCAACTAATAACTGCCCGCAATCGTCCATCGCTTCTTAAAGGTTACTCTTAATTCTGGGTTGGTTTGTGGAGGAGGACGTGATGTCGTGTGTGTGAGTGTCTGTGTGTTACTTGATTGAGAGTAGTGCACATCATGATGCTCGCCCACCCATCCATCCGTCCATCCATCCATCCATCCCAATCCATCCATCCAATCCAGGCTTTATTTAATCCAGTGCCCGGTGGCTTGTTTGGAAGTATTCTTGTTTCCGTCAACAAATCATCCACACGTCAAACACCTTACATTGCCATCAATCAATCAATCAATTCAATCAATCAATCCAAGTGTTTAAAATATCTCTTAGCCAACTCACTTCACTAAACACACCTCATCACTTCTCCTCAACCTTTGGACCGACTCTCGGCACCTTCCAACTGGTTCATTCGACGGCGACTATATCATCAAATCGTTTGTCACCAGTATAATATCCATCAATCAATCCATCCATACTTTATATATATTTATTATCCTATATCCATCCATCCAACAACAATCAATCAATCATTGGTCATTCATTGTTATACAATATACAATATATAATATATTATATATAACATATTTATAAATTATTTAAATATGCAAAGGATCAATTTACAAATAATAACAATTGTTGTTATGTTTATGTTGTGTTTGGAACTTGGACAATCAATCCAGTTAACATATGATTATATTATTATTGGATCAGGTTCATCTGGTAGTATTGTTGCTTCAAGATTGGCAGATAATGGAAGCTCTGTACTCGTCTTGGAAGCAGGTGGAGGTTCAAGCTTTGCCCTTGGCAATAGAGATGTAGTTGCCACACAAGGTAACATGGGTGCCAACGGGGCATACACACCAACAGTAAGTGATCAACGCACTATCACTCATTCAATCAATCATACATCATAACTCACTAACTCACTCAATCAATCAATCAATCATATTAGTCTGTTTATACAAAGTATGAAGTACCTCTTTATTGGTCAAGTTCATATTTGACAGGTCCAAACTGGGATATTGCAGGCGCTGGTGTGGCTAAGGTCACTGGAGGTTGTGGCAATCATAATGGAATGGTGTTTAATAGAGGTACCAGCACGGATTATGACGGCTGGAATGTGAATGGATGGAACGCTGCATCGATGTTGCCCTACTTTATCAAGTCTGAGACCATCCTGGACCCACCTTTGGCCGCCTCCACCCTGCACGGCCACTCTGGCCCCATCAATGTTGGCACGCACCCATTCGATTCGGAGGGCGCCGACTTTATCAGCTCGTGTAATGCTGCCGGCCTGCCATTCAACGCCGACTTCCAGAATGACACTCGTGATGGATGTGGATACTTCCAGTTCAACATCGATCCCAATGGAATTCGCTCGTCGCCCTTTGAGAAGTACTTGAAGCCCAAGCTCAACAAGCCAAATCTAACACTGCTGACTGGTATACATGTGTTGAGGATCAACTTTATCCAACCAATACTTAATCCAACTCCCATCGCCAGTAGTGTGTTGGCGCACAATGTGTCCACTGGCGTCTCGACAACATTCACTGCACTGAAGGAGGTTATTCTGGCAGCAGGCGCACTCAACACTCCAAAGATATTGCTCAACTCTGGTGTGGGCGATGCAAGTTACCTGGCCACCTACTCGTCAAAGATACCTTATGTGTACTCCAACCGCACGGGCGTAGGCAAGAACCTCCAGAATCACTTCCTGGCGCTGACCGTCTGGAGCTACAACGCCACGTCCAACCGACCCACCTTCTACGACATGTTCTCCCAGAGCCTGCTCTTCCAGACAGGCGGTGGAGGTATCCTGGGCACGCCCGGCTTCTCGGTTGGCGCATGGCTGCGACCCAACGCCTCGGCCACAGGTGTCTCGGAGAATGTGATGCTCATACTCCCAGGCGTGCTGGGCAGCTCGACCCCCTTCCAGTCAATGTCAGTCGGAGTGTCAATCAGTCAGCCAGCGCCAAACAATCATTCAATCGTCCTGGGCAGCAATACTGCGCTGTCGGCGGTGGACTTTTACCTGCAGGCACCCAAGCTCAACTTCAACATGTTTAGCAACCAGGCCGACGTCGACACGATTGTCCGCGGCATCATGGAAACACGACGTATCATGTCGTTCCCACCGATGAACAACCGAGCCACGCCAGTCAACCCTCCCAGCACGCTGAGCACCAGCGAGCTCGGTGACTGGGTGCGCAACTCGTCGATTGCCCACCAGCACTGGTGCGGCACCGCCAAGATGGGCAACACCAACGATCCCACGGCAGTTGTCGACAGTAGACTAAAGGTTATTGGTGTCAATAACCTAAGGATTGTGGACGCCTCGATTATCCCCACAATCCCCAACTCCCTGATGCATGCCACTGTCATTGCCATTGCCGAGAAGGCTGCCGACTTGATCATCCAGGACAAGTACTCCTGAAACGCGGCTCCCTTAATATCAATCTTATAATAAACCTGTACATTGTATTTAAGTTATCTCTAATTGATTGATTGTGTTGATTGATTGAGTGATTGGAATAGTTCCAGTGATTGATTGAATGAGTGCACAGTTGTTACTCCTCGAATCCCTTGACAATGATCTTTCCCATGTTGGCATTGGCCTCCATGTGTGATGTTGCCTCTTTGATCTGGTCGACCGTGTAGACAGAGTCGACGACAGCCTTTAGGGTACCATTGTCAAAGTGTGGCGAGCATGCTTTGTCAAACTGCTCAATCAGGTCTGCCTTGTACTCGAGTGATCTGGACCTGAGAGTTGATCCTCTGATCACCAGTCTCTTCTGAAGGATCGTTCCGATGTTGGCGTTCTCCTTGACGACGGCGCCAGACATCGTGCCCTGGATGACCATTGTGCCGTCCATCGCCAGCGACTTGAGATTGTCATTCCAATAGTTGGCGCCGACATAGTCAAACACCATATCCACGCCCTTCTTCTCGGTGATGGTCTCAATCTCGGTCGCGAAAGAAGGTGTCTCCTTGTAGTTGATTGTATGCGTGCAGCCAAGGTCACGAACAAACTTGGCCTTGTCCTCAGATCCAACCGTGCCGATGATCTTTGATGCTCCACCAACCTTGGCTAGCTGAATGAGTGCCGTGCCGACGCCGCTCGCCGCTGCATGGATCAGAACGGTGAGGCCACGCTTGAAGTTGCCGACGAGATACATCGCTTGGAAGGCGGTGAGCCAAGCCTCTGGCAGCGCGCTGGCGTTGACAAAGTCCAGGTGTGCGGGGATGTGCAGGGCGTTCGAGGAATGGATGGTGCAGAACTGGCCGTAGGCGCCACCGCCCACCAGTCCGTACACACGGTCGCCGACCTTGAAGCGACCAGAATGTCCTTCGCCAATCTTCTCGACGACACCGGCCATCTCCAGACCAAGGATCTCGCTCTCTCCTGCCGGTGGATTATAACGACCTAGTCTCTGCAATATATCAGCTCTGTTCAAACCGAATGCCTTGACACGTACAAGCAATTCATTATTCTTTGGCACGGGCAATGCTGTTGTTCCCAATATCAAGTTCTCCACTGGTCCAAACTGTTTAATAAGTACTGATCTCATCATCCTTGTTCTATTCCTCTAAAATAATATATAATTATTATTTGTTATGATGATTAAAGAGTGAATGAATGAATGAATGTGTGATGTTCGTGCGTGGGCAAGACAAAGGTGGATGAATATGTGATGTTCACACGCTCGCTCTCGCTTTCATTACGTTGAAACTTCCACTGCAATACTCATCGAAGCAACTTCGATTCGATTCAATCGATGATTATTCGAGTTGATTGATTGATTGATTAACTTGTTAACCTTATTCCAGAGTGGAACTTCATGAAAGTGATCTATACTGTATCCTTGTGAACAACAAGATATTCCATCTTGTAAATGAGACACTCGACACTTGATTGTGAAACTTGAGTACTTGTTTCCCAATGCAAACAACTTGCAACTTGTATATTCATTGCTACATTGTCTGTCTGGGGACACGAATAGTTATAACAATAATAGGTAGGAAGAATCTATTCTTCAAATAATAACTAACAATGTTATTCAATTATTTACTACGAGGTGCAACAATACTCTTTGATGGCGTCAGAAGTATGAATGTATTTGCAAAGAAAGACGACTTTTCACGTAATATCAAAAAAATAACAAAAGGTACTAATAGTTTGATGGGTCACGTGATTGATCAGTGGGTGTGTGGACCTCCGATTGATAACATCATTAGCAACAATCAAAGGGGTGTGTTGTTGGTGATGGAATGTTAGTGAGTGAGTGTGGGGTAATACCAAGGATTATCAATGTATCCCATCACCACATTCACACTGCAGTAAACACACACACACTCAGTCCATCAATCACTTCACTGAGAGATATATCTTGGAGGGAGGTGGTGCTGAACATTCACATAACGGAGAAATCGAGGTGATAATTATATATACATATATATACATATATACATATACATTAGATAGATATATAGATACATTTAGAAATAGAGATATTTTAAACTTATATTATAAGACAAGACATCTACAGAGAGATAAAGTAAAGAAGAAAAAGAAGAAGAAGGATGACAAGCACACAACATGATGACAGTAGTGGAGCACCACCGCATGTTTGTGCTGTGTGTGAATCCACCAATGTCCAAGTGTGCACTGGTTGTCTATCCGTGTACTATTGTGGTGCTGAGCATCAGATGCAACACTGGCCAACACACAAGACTCAATGTGCATTGCTCAACAACCGGTCCGATCTTGTAGGTCGCGCCGAGAAGTCAAAGCTAGTACGCAAGCAGTTTGAGTCACGTGTAGTCATATCGCCACAGGTTCAGCAACAGATACAAGCTCAACAACTCCAACAACAGCAACAGCAACAGCAACAACAGGTTCAGCAACAACTTCAAGCTCAACAGCAGCAACAGCAGCAACAACAGCAACAACCACAAATATCACCTCCGCCACAAAAGAGACAGATACAGCCTCCGCCTGCTTCAGCCGTGCCACCCTCACCCGCCAGCGGCGCGCCAATCTTTGGCGCGTCAAAGTCTTCGCCGGCTACACCCTCACCCTCACCCTCGCCCTCACAGACACCCTCACAGACACAGCAGACACAGCAGACACAGACACAGCCAAGTAGTATTAGGAGTATGAATAGGACAGCTGGCAATAGTAATAACAATAATGAGTTGTCGGAGAAGGAGAAGATGGATAGGAAGTTGGAGAGAGAGAAGTTTATGACGAGGGGCGTGCTGCCGCAACTGCAACAACAACAGCAATTGAAACAACAACAGATACAACGTGAGAAGGATGCTCGTGATAATAAGGATGCATTCATTCAACAACATCAGTTGTTGTCGCGATCAGCTGGAACGGTGCCAAATTCAAGACCACAGGTGGCGACCAGTCCAAGTCCGCCACAGAGCGCGCCAAACACTGCGCCTCTCCCCAAGAAGCCTGGACCGCCACAGGCGTCACAATCTCCGGCCGCCAGCTCCGCGCTGTCCGAGTCGTCAGGAAGCACCAGCAGCAGTCTCAACTCTTCAACGTCAAGCACAACGTCCATGACTTCAGGAGGCGGCGGTGGCAATCTGAGCGGAAGTCTCAGCGGGTCATTCAGGGAGAGGCTTATGATGTCGGGGGCATCAGCTATCCCCTCGCCGCCCAGCGCCAGCAACTCACCATCAACATCAATGTCCAATCTACAGCCTGGCGACAGTCCAACCTCAATAACTCAATCACAACAACAACAGTCACAGTCACAGCAACAACAATCATTACCAAACCAACAGATGATCACATCACCTCCGACTTCAACAACAGACAATGTAAAGAGCATTCAAAGCCGATTGAACCAGCTCAACCTGACCATGCCAAGTGGGGGTGGTCCTCCACCTGGCTATCGTCGCTCAGTCATCCCGACCGCTGCAATGGCCGAGCAGCAACAGCAACAGCAGCAGACTACTGGCACATCGATGAGTGCCCCTCAAACACCACCTGGCACCTCGATGGCCTCTGTGGACGCCATGCTCATGCAGCTTCAGATGGGCAACAATGCCGCGACCACCAGCAGCGCGACACAGCAGCAGTCATCGGCCACGCCAGCCAACTCACCTCAGACCACCACGACCACGGTGGTAGTGGCGGCGCCGAGCTCGAATGTATCGACTTCAATCGCGTCTTCGGCCTTTCCAACAGTTCCGGCCAACTCAAATGCGCCAAAACCCACTTCATCCGCAGCGCCAGGCGGACCGGCCAGCACGTTTGTGCCACAGTCCAAGGTGGTGCGATCGCACAAGAAGAATCAGTCGATGCCAGATATATCGCAGACTTTGGTGACCGCACGTGTAGACGACGATGACAGCGACGATGAACATGGCAGCTCGGATGATGTCGTGCAATTTAAAGAGCGTCACCGACCACGAGGTCTGCGCTACAAGGACGTCGACTTTGAATCGACGACAGGACAAGTGGAGTACAAGCCTCGCGAGTTTGATGGAACCTACACCTACAGTGAACCAACCCGACCAATAATTACACCAATCACAACATTGCCGATATCATCATATTCAACATCATCACAATCATCACAATCATCACAATCATCGACTTTCCAGGAGGCAGCACCGCTTGGAACAACACAGCGATCAGAATACACACCCTTGGTTGATCAACCGCAACAACAACAACAGGGCAATGCTTTGAACCCAGATGGCGAGGCGCCCACCTCTGGCTCACGTATCGCCGGAACATTCAGCATCATCAAGAAGAAGGCGGGTGTCGTCTCAGCCATGACAAAGAACAAAGTGTCCGAAGTGGCACAAAAGGCCAAGAAGTCACTCAACAAGGATGAGAATGGTATGTTGTGTCAACAGCCAACGAGCCCATGACACAATTGATTAACACCGCCACACTTACAGCCACAGCGACTACAACAACAACTCCAGCTAACAATACCTCGGCTGCTTCGAATAATGCGGCCACATCGGATACAAAGATATTTGGACAACCTCTGAGAGTTGGTGTGCAGCGATCGGCCCGAGCACATCCATTGATGCCCGATCTGATATTCAAGTCATTGGAGTATCTTCGTGAGAAGGGCACTCAGGAGGAGGGCCTGTTCCGTATCAGTGGTAGTGCGGCAGCAATCTCCAAGACCAGGGAGGAGTTTGACAGTGGCCAGGACGTCGACCTGAACGCCCAGCTCGACCCGCACGTCGTCACGGGCATCCTCAAGCTGTACCTGCGACAGATACCTGAGACGGTGTTCACCGAGGACTTCCCCGACGAGTTGGACAATTTGCGAGAGGGCGGCAACTCGCCCGACGCCATATCGATGCGTATCAGTGGAATCACGGCCATTCTAAAGCTGCTGCCCGAGGCCAACCGTTGTATACTGCATCATCTGTGCTCACTGCTGAACCTTGTGGCGTTTGAGCCCACTACCAAGATGACCACCGTCAATCTGGCCATCATCTTTGCACCAACCCTTGGATGTCCTGTCGAAGTAATGACCGTCATGATCGACTACTATGAGCCAATATTCTCCAAACAGACATATGGATACATCAACTCATAGTCAACCATAACAACATAACATAACATTGGATTGTGTCCAACCGACTGACCTTGGACTGAATGATACCACACAACAATCCAACAACTCCCTCCACTCCTTTATTTATTCGAAACTACTACCATACCAACAATGTACACAAGGACAAGATAATAAACAAATGCTTATTATCTCTCTATCCATGCCGCACATGCGGAAAGAAGTCAGCATTGATTCGCGGGACTGTCGAAGTGAAGTTGAAATTACGTGGTTGTTGAAGTTGGTCGCACGACAATGAATGAATGAATGTCATTCTCTCTCAATACTTGTCATCAAGTCATAAATAATGTCAGAAGCTGAACAACCTCAATCTACTTCTACTACTACAAATACATCCGCTGCTGCTCCTGCACCTAACAATGACAAGTCAGCAACAGCAACAACACCAACGACATCAACAACTTCATCATCATCATCAACATCAACACTATCAATAGGATGTATTAATATAATCAATAAGAAGGCTAATGCAATTAGAAGACAGTTGGCAACGGTAACTCCTATAACGGTGTGGTCGGCATTGTCTTTGAAGCATGATAATATAGATCATCTGTTGGACGATCAGTTGCTACAGGCCATTCAATCATTGCACCCTGTCACCTTGGCTCAGGTTGGCAAGCGCACCTCCGACACTACCACTGCTTCACAACAAAAGGCAATCGATTCGACAACATCACTTCAAGGCTCATCAGCTACTATATCATCGACGCTAACTGCTCACACATCGGACGACACCCTTGAGACGGGCAAGGCATCACGCAAGGCCATTGCGGCAAACGTTGATACACTGGTCAACACATTACAAGGTCTACTGCCACTGTACACTGCTGGTGGCAACTCCAGTGCCAACCCGATATACCAACAGGGTCGTCGCAGGGGCAAGGGCAAGAACAGACGCGCGCGCTACGACCCCTCAGTGACCTACAAGGTGGGCAAGCACTTTGTGCTGGCCAACGTGCTGGTGGACCAGCTGCAAGTTCTACTCGACTACCTCTTTGTGTGCTCGCTGCACATTGAGAAGCTGCGTGACTACTGGGAGAGCAAGAACAACAACCCTTCATGGTATATCTTGGAGAAGTCGCCTCTGTTTTGGCTGCGCTACTGGAATCAAGAGTTGGTGAAGCGCGCCAGGTTCGAGAAGACCCTTCAGCGACTGCACAAAGCATCCAACTACACATCCCCATTCATTACACTCAACAACAAACTCAATCGTATCAAGCGAAAGGTCATCAGATTGTTTAACAATGCCACTGGTCTGGCCTCGGGCGAACAACAACAAGACGACGCCAACACCAGCGACAACAACAACATCAGTGATGACGAGGACATCAGTCCAAACATCAGTGACACCGAGTCATCACCAATCTCATCCGATGATGAGGGCGGTGAGAAGCAGCAAGTGCCAGGCAGCAGCAACGCTAGAACAACAACAAAGGAGACTGAAGAGATTCTGCACCCAACAAAGGAGTTGGAGCGACATCTGTTGTTGCTAGAGAAGATGCAGAAACTGGTGGCCACTGCCATTGGCCGACTTACCTACTTCCTTGGCGACATGCAGCAGTTTGAGACACTGGCCGAGTTCGCAGTCATCAGCTCACAGGCACTAATTCTCTTCCACGACACCATGGTCATGTTCTTTGCCAATCTCGATCATGCCGATGCGACAGGTGCTGACAGCAACAACGAAACAATCAACTATCATATCAATCAGCTGGTGGAGATGAGCAAGCTGATACAACAGTTGCTGAGCAGTGATGACGACTTTGACCTGTCGACGGCGGCGCCCTCGGGCAAAGCCCGAGTTGACGTGGATGTCTTGGTACAACGCGACATTGAGAAGTATCAAGAGTCACTCTACTACATGGCCACTGAGAATAGCAAGAGAATGAAACAGTTCATTGTGTTTATGGACAAGAAGATCAAGGACGAACAGCCACCAAACGCCCTCGTCAGGAACTGGGCGCGTATCACTATTGGCGCAGTCGTGTTGACACTGGCCGTCAAGTATTCCTACGACAACTTTGGCGAATTTAAAGCATCCGTGATCGACTACTACAACGCCTGGCTGCGATTCTCTAAGGAACACATTGAACTGCCCCTGCGCAACATCTGGAACGTCATTCGCTATGATAAGAAGACGCTGAATGTTTCGGATCCCGTCTCATTCCAGACATCCCTCGAGTCTCTACAAAGAATGGTTGTTGACTACAGCAAGAAAAATTCAACATTATCAAAGGACGAGGTGCAACATCTGGTTGAAATGGTGGCGCGTGGCGATATCTCCTCTGTGATGAAGCCCTATGAAGCCAACATTGAGGCGCCCCTTCGCAACCTGGTCTTTGGAGACCTGGTCCAACTTCTGCTCATCCAAGTCCAAAAGGAGAAGGTGGATGTGGACAAGGCAATGCTGGCCATCGACAAGCTGCTCCAATCAAACGAACTCAACTTCCAGCTGATGGCCGCCATCCCATCGGTGCTCATTCTTGGTGGCTTGTTCTATCAGATCAACAAACTGATCCGTGTCGACAACAAGTCTGCACGTGTACTTCGCGCACAGACCAACATATTGTCCACGCTGCGTGGCATGCATCGTCAGCTCACATTGGGCATGAACTATGTGCTGCCAGGCTACTTGTCGCCCCTGGTCATTGCATCGCCGGCCACATACTTCAAGACCTTCTATCCAGGCCTGATGACTACATTGGCACTTGGAATCAACGAAAATGGACCATTGGCATCGGAGGAGGAGTTGAGACGCCAGTGCATACCATTTGAGCAGTATGGCACACTGTTGCTCTCGGCCAACAAGCTAAAGCAACATGTTCAGAACCTCAAGAGCAGCACAACCGAGAATCAGTGGCTGTTGGAGGACCTTCAAGATCTCGAATCAGACAGTCTGAGCAACAAACAAAAGATACTCAGCATTCAGCGTATGTTCAGCACCTACTCCTTCCTCAAATAAAGCTTTACCAATCAAGTAAATGGATTAGTGAGTGATTACAAGTTGTCCACTGATTTACTCTGATGTTGATCAAAGCCCATCAATGTCCATGAGTTCTCCAATGCCTCTGGAAGTGGTGCCACGATGTCCATGAGCTTGTTGGTCACTGGATGACTGAACTGCACCCTTCTAGCATGTAAATGTAAAGGTATCTTACGTCCAAGCAATGTCTAAATATGTGGATAATGATACGTGTCAGTGGGTGCACTCCATCAATCAATCAATCAATCAATCAATTATACAACATACCTGGAACTTGCCCAAATGATTGCCTCCATATTTTGTATCGCCAATGATTGGTGCGCCAAGAATGGATGCGCAGTGGACTCTAAGTTGATGTGTTCTGCCAGTCTCTGGCCAGAGGGTGACGAATGATGTGTCGGCAACAGTGCTCTCCATGACCTTGTACTCTGTGATTGCTAGTTTAGCGCCGTCGCCCGTTTTGGTAGTGGCTACGACCTTCTCCTCACCATTCTCAATGATCTTCTTGAGAGGTGCGCGTATACGCCCCTCCTTTGGCGAGGGCACGCCCTTGAGTAGCGCCCAATATGTCTTTCTAATGATGTTCTCCTCTTTGATCTCGTCCTCAACTGACTTATCGCCGCCAGCAGTATTTCCAGTGCTAGATGATGTCTGCTTCTTTTTCGTTGTCGCCTCGTTGTCACGCTCCTGTCTTGTGTTCCTGCGCTTCAACTTGGCCTCGAACTTCTCCGCCATTGCCGAGGCTGCCTTGCGAGTGCGTGCGAGTATCAGAATGCCACTAGTACTGCGATCCAGTCGATGGCAGAGTCTAGGTGGCTCGTCATAGTCAAATTTGAGATGCGCCATCATCATGTCCAAATGCTTCTTGAGGCCTGTGCCGCCCTGCACAGACAAACCTTGTGGCTTGTTGAGCACAATCAAATGATCGTCCTTGAACAGCACGCTGTCCTTGATGGTCTGGATCTCTGTATCAGACAGTCTGAGATACTTCTCTGGCTGCTCCTTGTCAACCTTCTTCTGCTCGCGTGCAGCCTTTGTTGGCACGAATATCCAGTCGCCTCCCGCCAGTCTTGTGTTGAGCTCGGTGGGCTGTCGCTCGCCCTCCAGTGTGGTGGCTCGCGTTATCTTGCCCTTGCGTGTCCACTTGCACACCAATGAATGAGTGAGCACGGGATAATGATTGGCCATCCATCTATCTACTCGCATGTCATCCAAGTCTGCTGTCACCTTTGTTGCCACGGTCTTGCCATCGTCCACAAATATCATCTCGCTCTCGCTCTTCCTCTGCTCGATCAACTGCTCCATTTCGCCCTCGGTCATATCACTGCCCGTTGTCTTGGCTTGTGTCTTGGCTTGTGACTTTGCTCCAGCGGGTCGCTCCACCACTGTGCTATCAATGATGACCTCATCCTTTGAACGATTGACCTTCTCCTTCTTCTTCTTCAACTTCTTTGGCTGCAGCTCGGGGGTGGCCGCGACAACATGTTCCGTCTGGTGAGTGTATGTTTCAGTATGTGTCTTTGCGTGTTCGTATGCCTGCGTTTGCTCTCGTGCCCACTCCTGGTCGTTGGGCTCCTCTGCGTCGAGGTCGAATGAGAGTGACACTTTGCCAGAGGTGCCCTTCTTGCGCGGTCGTGGCGGGAGTAATCTGCGCTTCTTTTGTTTGTCCTTCTGCCTCATCTTGACCTCTTGTTGCTCCATTTGCTTCTCCATGGCGACTTGCTGATGCTCGAGCGATCGCGAGACCCTCATCGACTGCATCTTTGGCATTGTCTTTGGTTGGCGCTTGGCGCCACGATCCCTATTATTATCATCGCTCTTTATCTTGTTCAATGATCTCTTTGACTCTTTCACTCTGAAGGCATAAGATCGAATGCTGCCTCCCGTATTCAACATTGTCGTCGCGGCTGGAGATGACAAAGAACTTCCGCCGATGCCAACGCCACACTGAAGTGTCGACCACAACAGTGGCGACCATGATGCTGGTTGTAATCGGTACGATGATGTCGATAGCAACCTTGTGAGCATGGACATTGTATGTGTATATGTATGAATGTATATCTATTAATTGTAATAATGATTAATTACCGACTTGTCGTTTTTTCGATCTTGCAAAGCGAGTCGTCATTCAACACTCGACACGACAATGATTGGGTGGTGGACAGAGGATATCCGGATGGATGGATGATGTTGAGAATGATGATGGTCGTTTATTCATTGTTTGTGTGATGGCTTGATCAAACCAAGTCGCTGACCTGACGACCCAACCTTGATCTTGCTCAATCTATTATTATATCTATATACTATCCAACAAAGGTTTTGATGCAACTGATGATGATGATGATGTTCAAATGTGAACTGATGTGCTGTGCTGTGCTGTGTTGCTATGTTGCTAATCGATGTGCTGCCTGCCCTCTTGCTCAGACATTGAACTCGCCACTGTGTCTTAAGCTGCTTACTTGACCCAGAGAGTGCGGACTGCTGCACCCAGACCAGTCTTCTTAGCAATCAATACAATACCAGCCAAGATAACACCTGAGCATCCAATGATCAGTGCCTTTGACAAGACTATTATGATTGAGGTGAGTGAGTGAGTGAGGTGATCAATCAATCAATCAATCAACTTGATACTTACACAGTGGAACCTTGGAGTAGACGTAGTCATTGATGACAGAGTTCATGCCAATGTAGAAGTGAGCTGGGATGATCAGACCGAGAGCACAGTCGGTGATAAGGGTGATCTCGGAGGTGGGCAGCAAAAGGGACACGGGGAGCAAAGCAACGAGTCCGATGGAGCTGTAGTGATAGATCTTGCTCTGCTGGATGGCGCCCTGTGGGTCGGGGATCTTGCCAGTGGCTGGGGCGGCAGCCGACGATGCCATGCGGGAGCCTGGAACACCAGCATTGCCAGCAGTGCGCACTGTCACTGGCACCATGGCAGATCGTGGCATGTAACCACCGTACAATGGCGACAAAGTCGACGATGGGATATTCTGGAAGAGTCTAGCTGATCTCAACATCTCTGTATCTGTCTTTGTTATATTAATATATTAGTATGTATGTATGTATTGCTACTGTGCTGTGTTATGCTTCTTTGTTGTTGTGTTGTTCTGTTCAACTACTTGTTGTTGCCAAAACACACAACCTCTTCATTTTATTTTTTTGAACAATGGAAGTTCAAAACAGTCAATTACCTTGTTATCACAATAGATGTCTATTATTCACAATACTAACTAGTACTATGACCAATTGATTGATGGTAATCATTCAAATACAACCTCTGGACATGGTGGATGTTCACCCGAAACAGACCCACAATGTCCAGTAACTCCAAATGGTGGATTCCGTCACAACTGTGACATCAATCGATGATGATTCTTCAATCAATCGATTGAGAATAGGCCCAGACCGAGTCCATCAGCTGCTACCCGATACTGCAGTGAATTCACAGTCCACCAATGGTCGCCCACCAACAACTAGACTGAGCTTAGTGGTCGACTGTGTTTGCATGCTATCGCCGCTAGATCTCGAGAGTGGAAGGAGGAGAAGGTGGACGCCTGCCTGGAGGAGGAGGAGATATGATGATTGTTTTTCCCTATACTTAACACTGTATTTATTGGATCGCGGACTACCATAGAGTGGGAGCAGTGGACATGACATCGTCGACAGATGTGTGCATGTGCGCTTATTCGCTCTCTTGGCTTCTCAATCTAGCGTTGGCGTTGGTGACCTTGATGTCAAGCTCGCGAGCACGCTCGACGATGGCCTTTCTGGACTGAGCAGAGACACCGTGGTAGATCTCGGCAGCGTAACGTCTGTTGTGCATGAGGAGGACCTCGAGCTCCTTGATGTTTCTGATGACAAAGTGCTTGTATCCGTCTGGGCAGACGTTCTTGGTGGAGTTGTCCGAACCATAACCAACGGATGGCATTGGGCGGGCGCCAGAGAATCTTCTTCTGACACGATTGTCAATACCTCTTGGCTTTCTCCATGATGGCTTGACTCTGGCAAAGAGATCAGACTGGAAACGAACGAATCTAGCTGTTCTCTTCTTGACGATCTTGGTTCTGACGACTGGGGATGGCATTGTATCTATATATTCGTTCGTCAATCGTTAATATCCTTCCTCTTCGTCGTCATGCTAACCTATCCTCGATACGATTCATCGCTCATTTATCATTCATTCTGTCATTCCTGTCGATTGTTCGTTCGCGATTGATGTTTGTTGACGATGATGTTGTGATGATTGATGATTGAATGATGATGTGGTGATAGATTGATTATTGATTGCTTGATGGGTGTTGTATGAATGGCTGGTTGAATGATATGTCGATGCTTGAGTTGTCGGTTTCATGTGAATGATCGTGTCGTATCATATCGCATCTCGTAGAGCTCGTAAGGTATCGATTCGAGGATAGGATTGTCAATCTATGTCATATGCACATACATCAGAGTTGTGATAGGGAACACTGGTGAGTATTGACAATGCGGATATCTTGGCTCTTTGTCAAGGTGCGTGCATCCCCATCCTCGCTCACTCGCCAGACACACACGAGTCGTTGTGGAACTTTGAAAATTAATCTTCAAAAAATAAAATCAAATCAAAGAGTTGAATCAACTTGGAAGTTCGTCATAATACTAACAAGAATGAGTTTATTCGTCTACCTATCTATCTCCTGTCACCACTGCTTCCACTGCTACCACTACCAGGTGGTTTACCACTACCACTACCACTGCCACTGTAGCCACCGGATGGTTGTTGTCCATGTGATCGGTAGGGTGGTTGGCCTTGGGGAGGAGGTTGATGATGACCACCAGCGCCAGGATGCATTGGCTGCTGTTGAGGCAGATAACTGCTGCGCGAATGTGTTTGTGAAGGTTGATGATGCGCCGATGGATAGCTCTGACGTGGCATGCCGCTGCCACCTCCGCCACTGTGCGACGGGTTGGGCATCGTTGATTGAGGTGGGCCACGAGGTGGACCGCTCTGTGGCATTGGCTTGGAGCCATATTGATAGTTTGGTGGTGGCGCCTGTGAATGATAGTTGTCGACTCGTTGCTTTTTGTTTGGGTCGTTTGGGTTGGAGCCATGACCTTGTTGCTGTTGTTGCTGCTGTTGATGCATCATCTGTCTCTTCTTCTTTGTGTTATACTCATGACATGATGGATATTTAGGTAGACTGGTGCGTGTTAGAATGGGATTGAGCATGAGGTCCAACCAACTACATTGATACCTACTGACTTGGATCACATGGCAGTGGCTTGGTCCAGAAGTATGCGCTGTCAAGTGCCTCCGTGGCCGATATTCTCTGCTTTGGATCCAGACACAACAGTCTGTCCAGCAAGTCCAACGCCTCGGACGTAATGTGATTGTCGCTAAATGAATGAGCGGAGGGTCAGTTTCCATGGCGGCCATGCGCAATCAATCAATCAAATAGACACATACGGGTTCTTGAGTAGTTCCTCACGAAGTATGCGCTTCTGCTCCTTCTTGGGCTTGAGAGTGTCCCACCATTGCAGCTCGTGAACACCTGGCCAGTTCTCCTCGGTTGGAGTGCCACAGTAGTGGAAGATCTTATCCAATTGATCGATTGGGTTGCGGCCAGGGAACAGTGTCTTCCTTGTGAGCAGCTCGGCCATTATACAGCCCACCGACCACATATCGATCTCGGGTCCATAGTTCACCGAGCCAAGTATCAGTTCAGGTGGTCGATACCAAAGAGTGATGACACGGTTGGTCAACTGTTTGTTCTGGTCCGAGTTGTTATTTGGTCGCGCTAATCCAAAGTCTAATTAATGGACCAGGGGAGGGTGTCTGTCAGCGCACTCGTTCACTCACTCAATCAATCAATCATACATACCTGCAAGCTTCAATATTCCTTCATTGTTGAGCAATAGGTTCGAGCCTTTGATGTCGCGATGTAGGATGTTGTTGCGGTGGCAGTACTCGAGACCTTCGAGCAGCTGCTTTAGATAGCATTTGATCTGATCGGGCTTGAAACATTTGAATGCTGGACTGTCCATCAGACCATTCAGGTCGTGGTCCATGAATTCAAAGACCATATACACGCTGCCCTTGCCTTGATTGGCTTGTGATGCCTTTGACACTGCTATCTCCTTCAACTTGACCACATTCATATGATTCAATTCCTTTAGAATCTTGATCTCTCTTATCGCAGTGATTGGGAACTATAGCATGATTAGTATATTCGATTGAATGATTGATTGATAGAGTGAGTGACTGACACATACTCCTTCGCTTTCATTCTCCATCAATACTCGCTTCAGAGCTACAATCTCATCTGTCATCTTGTTCTTTGCTTTATACACGGCACTGAGGATGATGACGTCGACAACATGCATGAGGTTAGAGTATGTACATATATGAGTGAGTGAGTACGATTGTGATGCGATGTGATGTGAAGCAGCAGACAGACACATACCCAAAGGTACCTTCACCAATCTGTTCAATCTTCTCAAAGATGTCTACACTCCTTGCGCCCCAACCAGCATAGCCAGGTGGGTTGTTTACATTATTATTATTACTATTATTATTATTATTATTGTTATTATTGTTGTAACCGCTACTACTATTGCTACTGCTACTGCTATTCTTTGGGTTATGATATTGATACTGCTGTTGTTGTTTTGAGGCAGAAGTTGATGTTGATGTTGAGGAGGTTGAGGCTATAGGATCATCCATATTATTATTGTACTCTATAAATATAATATTATATAATAAATGTGTCTATCTCTATCTATCTCTGTATTCTAACAACAAACTAGTTCAATCTTTTTCATTTCAAATTCATTCAATATTGAAGAAAATCCAGATGGGAACACATCTCCTTTCAAATTTTAATGTTGAAGTTACCTTTGTTTATTAATGAATCAATATTACAAGTAAAATTTTTTATTATTGTTRGATAATTGATTGGATTGATTAWTTTGTTTGATTGATTAAGATTGATTGATTGAGATAGGTTAGTTRGTTGGATTTGTCAATCACTTTCTCTGAGAACGAGATGCATTTGATTGGAACTCATGATCCTCCTCCTCCTCCTCCTCCTCCTCCATGACTCTGTCTTCTGGATGGTTGTGTAACAATGCCATAACACTCTTTCCCCTTGCAAGGTCCTTTAGTGTGTCCCTGATCTCAGAAAGAATGCCTCTCTCCATCTCCATCCGGACTCTGGTAACGTCCAACAATGCCTCCCTAAATGATGTTTCACGAGTGACCATATCAGTGAGCTTCTGGAGTCTCTCTGGATTCCAGTTATATTGAGATAGCTATTGCCAACGCCCCTTCCTCTCAAGCCATAGTCAATATGAATTTTGGAATCAATCCATTATTATGCATTATTCCCCAAATTTTGGACATTGACCGAGTTAGGAAAACAAAAATCAATGGAGGGCATTAATTATGAATAAAGAGAATCAGATACTTGAAGTGTACTTCTGAATTTAGTGATCAATACAATATTTATATATGATCAAGTCCCTTCTTATTTTGAGGTCTCTGAGAATACATGCATTGGAATAATACCGTTGTGATAATAACAGTTATCTAGTGCTCTCTGTAGATCATCACCACAGTAGAGGAAGTATGGCTGGTAGTTTGATTGTGCCCAACCATTTGGGAAGACAGCACTGCGTATGGCTTCGTCATTGTATTGCAGGTAGGTGATGGGCTCATTCTCGAATGGTGGCCTCACATTAGCATTGCCACTACTATTCACCCTGCAAAAGAACACGTTTAACCTGGTTCTGTCTTTGAGGGCTGTGTCCCTTCGTCTCCAACACTCATTGAGCTGGCTGGCAATGTGTTTCTGAAGCACCGATGACCTGGTCGTCCAGAATAGACGAAGTGTCCTGACCTTGGCCAAAGACGTGGGCGTGGACAAGAGATGGGAGAGCACTGACATCAGCACAGTGATGCCTGTGTTGGTAGCATAGAGACACAGGTCCACGGGATGTCTTGCCTCCAATATCCTTTGAATCATTGAGTTGCCAGATGAGACATAGGGTCCATGGATGGTCAATGGCTGATCATCCAATAAGTTGCGACATAATGAAGTTGTGAAGTGTCCCTCCTTGTTGATCCAAATGACAAAGTGGACGTGATCATTGTCCAACGAGTCCGCGACTGCTGTTGGCGGGCTTGTTGGGATCATTCCAGCTACCAAGTCCTGTTGAGCATTGATCCAAGGCCAGTGATAGCACGAGAATTGATGGCCATGTGCAAAGAATGTGTTCTTCAAGTAGATCGTGCAGTATGCGCCATATGTGTCGACGATGTCCCTTGTTGCCTTGATCTTGAACCACACAAAGTCGGCAAGTGCACTTGGAGGATCCGATCCAAACTGCTCCACCTTGGATGTCGTTGGCAGATAGACCAGGAAGTAGACGAGATAGAGCGTGCCAAAGACGATCGAGACGAGCAAGACCACTCGGTCACCGATGGGCGGTCCCAAGATCTGCGCGTATCCATGGAAGAAGAAGACAGAGACATTGAGTGTGACAAGGATGATATGTGTGTTGGCCAGTATGATGCCAAACCTGATGGACTTGCTCGATCGGAAACACCAGCCAGAGATGAGTGCCATGATGATGGTCAAGATCATCACGATGCCGGTGTAGATGGGGACACTGCTTGTGCCAGTCCACGAATATACACGCCTGCCATTGATCATCAGGTCGGGATATTGGTGCCAAGTGTAGACATGAGCCGATGCATGGATCAATGCTTCAACGGTCAGTGTGAGTGCCATGGTGAGATGGAAGTGCACCTTGTGGATCGAATGCGATGAGATACCCGAGTGGAAGTGGCGGTAGAATAGCTGGACGAGTGGAGAACAGATGGCAATCAAAAGGAATGAGTAGTCGATGAATGCCCAGAATGCACTGGCTCGTGCTATGATCAAGGACACGGGAGCTTCTGCAGAGGTGTTGCCAACGACGTAACATGTGGCCGTGATGTGCAATGTGACAATTATAAAGTGCAGGGACATCTTTACACGATCACGATGCATGTCATCCTGGACACCCTGTATCACAACCTCGGGCAACTGGTCACCGTCTCGAATACCATCATTGGTCTTGAGTAATTTGATGTTTGGGTCCTTCTTGAGATTCCAGAGGTGGAACAATATTGGAATGGCCTCAGTCAACATGTCCTTGGACAGATCAAAGAATGGATCAGAGTTGGCATCACTAAGATAGTCCATGATGTCAGTGCCCGTGAAGATCTGGTAGGCATCAATGGCAATGCGCAACGTCATGCCAAAGACCAACATCATTCCCAGCGGACCATTGGAGATGTGATCCTGCGAGTGAAGTACGGAACTGCGAATATGTACTGCACTGCACCAAATCAAGATGATTGATGCGGCGATGTTGGCCCACACAGCAGAGGTGATGAGTACCATCATGTAGAGAGTGCGCTCATACTTGACATCTTTGACCAGTACCAGTGTCAACAGGATGAATGCAACCTCGGTGATGCAAAGGAATACCAATGCCACAACTCGAAGCTTGGTGAGGGGAGTGTCGGTTCCCTTGAGTTGTTGATAGTAATCCCTGACGACCAAGTCGACAAAGACTATTGCCATGGAGAAGTCGACGCTGCCCATTATGGCCAGTACAGTGATCAACCAGGGGGGCATTGTGGTGGTAGAGTTGACGGGGTCCACTATATAGCCCTTGGTACGGAAGGCATTCTCCACACATCGTAGTATGCACAATGTGATCAAACAGACCATGGACGTAAGGAATCGTTTCGGACACGTGCATATGATTGAGTAGATGGCGAATAGAAACAGGAGTCCGAATACTCCAGAGATGAATGCAGATCCAACAACTTGGATCAAAGAGATCTCACCATAGATCCTGATCATTAGTGTACCGACCAAGGCAACGACAGAGATAAGGATATAAATCAATGGAAGGCATATCTTCTCACAAACGTGTTTCCAACCTTTTGGAGACCTATCCACTTTTAAAAGTGGAGTACTTTCACCTGCCTATTTGTTTGAATAATTGAATGATTGATTGAATAATTAGGTTGTGAATAATACTCGGACAATTTATGATCATACCTGATTGGAGGATGACGACGCTAAATCTTCTATTTCCATGATGGTTGGTTTCTTTTGAATGATGATGAATTGACTTGTATGAATGGAAGTGGATTATAAATAATCACTCATTCACCAGTTATCTTTGTCACCAGTGACCAAGTTGCCAACCCAAATCAACTTGTACTTCCAAGTGTGATTTGTGATTGGTACCAATCATTCGTTTGCCGAGGGGTACTTGTGTGATCATGTGTATGTGTTTGAATGGGATGATCTTCCAATATGCTTGTTATTGATCAAGCGCATATGTACCTATTGGTATCCAATAGTGATTGGTACCCAAGAGATACTAATGTCACTCATTTCATTCTTGAGTGAACTTTGTTTAAAAGAGTGTGATGATTTTGTCAGAGTCATACAACATCCTTGACCCATAGACAACTCTTCACTGAAGTTCTATACATAACAAGCTTATGAATGTGTAAGTCATTTATATTTGTTTGATTAAGATACATACAACGACTGACCAATCAACTATTCCGATCAAGTATCGATTGACTTGTCCTCCAATAACTTCATGCTTCTGAACACACTTAAGGTGATTGCCAAAAGTTCCATTGGTGGTGTGTAATGGTGGAACTTGTGTGCCAAACTAGATGCATCGTATGCGTCTTTGCTGATCAGTGGGCGATTGTTTTGTATTCAATCATTGTACAAAAGGCCGAAAAAAAAGGAGAGACTCAACATTGAGTGGTTTTTCTGATGAGGCCTATCCCACCTTGCAAAAAAAGTGACGCCCGACTGTTCTCCTGAAATTTCTAGGTGACTTGGAGTTCCTTGTTTGGGTCTACGAAACGCATCATCACACACCATGGCGGGAGCGTCCACTCAAATCCATCCAAGAAGACGGCCAGTGAAAAGTCGTCAAACTTTGTAAAGAAGAGACTCACGCCTATCTCCCTCCCTCTTTCACCTTCTCTTCCGCTGAGCTTAGCAGCATCCACTTATCCTCCTCCACTATCTCCATCCTCCCTTCTTCCTTCCTACATTGCCTACCTACCATTTAAGTCACCTTTGACATTCATTAATCACCTCCTTCTCACTTATCTGTACACATACATTATTATATACATACCGTACTTTATTGTACCTTACCTTACAGAAATATACATTACTTATTTATTTAAGAGAGATTGAGAGATAGATAGATAGAGATAAATACTTGTAGCATTACAACAAACAAATAGACAACAAATAGACAATACACATAATGAGCGACACTTATCCAAAGTCAACACAACATGCTGGCAAGAGAAAGTTCTTACAAGAAACACGTAGGTATCGCGTTACCACTACCACTCCAAGGTCATACATGGTCAACATGTACATATATGGCTAACATTACTTGATATAGCGAGCAACAATGATGATGATAATAATAATTTAGAGAGACAGGTCTATAAAGAGTTGGATGATCTTGTGTTGGCTGGCGAGAAGCAACGCCAACAACTACATCAACAACAGCAGCAACAACAGCAACAACAAATACATCATCAACAACAACAGCAACATCAGCAACAACAACAACAACAACAGAATGCATTCTTATCATTGTCATCACCAATGTTACCAAGATGGACAGACCTCACTTCAAGATTGATGTTCCCCTTCAACAATAACAGCGCGTTGGGCGCAACGACGCAGTTGGGAGGCGTCGTCACAATACTTAATCATGAGGACGATGATGATAAAGAGTTGCCCACATCACATCTGTCCACACGCTATAAGAAGTCCTCCCTCTCGCGCTCAGGCAGCAAGAGCAGCAGCGGCAGCTACGACAACTATAAAAACGTCAACAACAACACAAGCACAACTAACTCGCCCAATGGCTCGAGACATTACAGCTCATCGTACACTGCTGCCAGTGGTCTTCCACCGCCCTCTCAGACGCCACCAACTGTAACTCTAAACAACAATAGTAATAGTAATAGCGCCAACAGCTCAAACAGCAGCTTTGGCAACCTGAAAGGCCTCACCAACAGCCAACACAGCTCGAACAACAGCTTTGGAAACTACACGTCGGGCGTGTCCACATCCAACAGCTTTGATAACTTCAAGCCCACGACATCCAACAACAACTTGCTCAACGTCACAAACATAAACAGTGCCAATACGTCAAACAGCAGCTTTGGAAGCTACTCGACCGTGGTCGTGGGTGGCAACAACAACAACAACAACAATAAGGTGCATAACAACAGCGCCAACAACAGTTTTAACAGCTTCCCAAGACCATCCATTCAACCAGCCGCCATCAATGGATCACACTCGCCAAGCATGGACCAACAGCAGTCCAAGCACTTCTCGCCGTCATCCCTCATCACTCTATTGCAACAGACAGTAGAGGAGGAGTGCGCCACAAACAACAACAACAACAACAATCACATGAACAACACATACAACAGTAGTAATAGTAGTAGCACTGGCAACATTAGCCATAGCAATCAGAGCAGTATGAGCATCAATAACCTCATCAATCCCGACTCGACTGTGCCCGCGCCACAAGTCCTCGAAGACTTTGCCATGTCGCCACAGTCTACTCAATCGCTGCGGAGCAATAGCGACAGTCCGGACGAGAGTGACAGCGCCTCAGTTGTCTCCTCGTCCAGCAACGCCTACAGTAACAGCAACAGCAACGGCCATAGCAACACGGGTAGTGTGGTTAGCAGCCTCTACTCCAACGGCACGACCAGCAGCAGCTGGCGCCAGAGCAGCACCAGCCAGCAGAGCAGCCACCTGAGCAGCACGAGCCACATGAGCGTCAACAGTAACACCAGCTCGATGAATCTGGCCATGGACGCGATGAGCATCCGTGGCGCGCGCGGCCACATCAACCGCTCGCACTACAACAGCAACGCCAACTTTATGAACAGCATGGGCCACTCGGCGTCGTCGTCCAGCGGTCTGTCAAACATGATGAATGGATGGGTGTGGGTCAAGGACCATCACTCGATCCTCATCATCGGACCCAACGGTATTGGAAAGAGCTTCCTCATCAACACACTCCTGCAGACGACCTTTATGAACGCCACAAACAGCAATTGGCGTCCAGTGCTCGGCTCGCACAGGCTAAGGGCACAAGAACTCAATGGACACCCTCAGCCACAGCCACAACAACAACAACAACAACAAGCACAGTCAATGAATGAGGAGTATCCCAGCTCGATTGCATTGATGAACAAGCTAAGGACTCAGCTGAATCAGACGTCAAACTTGAAGATTGACAAGTGCGTCCAGCTGGATGAGCACTTCTTCCGCTCGGTCGACTGGGCAAGGGAGCGCGAGCTCGAGATGGAGGCCATCTACAAGACCAGCCAGTACATCCACGACAAGTCCACACCGATGATCAACGACAACCACACTTTCCTTCTGCCTCAAGGCCGTCTGGGGCCAGCACAACTGCTGCGCTTCAGCTACAGCTCTGTGTGCGAGCTCATTGTCGAGTTCATCTCGGAGACCGACCTGCGCCAGATCCTCTGGGAGCTGCATCAGTACGAGCAAGACCGCTCTATCCCAATGAACACGCGTCGTCTCGAGTTTCTCAAGTGGACATATGCCTCGGTCGTCGAGGGCGCCACGTCGTCATCGAGCGGCAGCCTGATCAACGTGCTCACCGAGGTCAAGAACTCATGGGACCTGCCCATCGTCGAGAACGTGCGCAACCTCTTTGGCAAGACGATCCAGTTCCGTGGCGCCGGCAAGGAGCACAACGTCGACAGGATCTTCATTCGCGAGAAGCTAAAGGAGATGTTGGCGTGCTACGGCTACATTACTGCCAGCATCCACTTCCGTCTGCCATGCAGCATTCTGCTGGGTAAGCGCGAGATCACTGTGCTCTCGGACGACACACGTCGTGGCAACGTGTCCAAGTTCAACGTGACACGTATCCTCAACGACGCCGAGCAGATCATCGTTGCGTTTGACTACCGCGGCCTCTCCGCAGACCTCGCCGACCTCTTCATTGGCTCCAACTTCATGCAGAAGCTGTCTGTCGAGGGACTGGTCCAGTTTGCCGAGTTGGGTGAGAAGTTCCAGAACAAGACCCAGTATCCCAAGGGCATCTTCAACTCCAAGGGACTCATGATCTCCCAACTCAAGAAGCTCTATCGTAATGCGCGCAACAATCTCAACTTTGATCAAGTACTCAACAACTTCAAGTTGATCCAGTTGATGGTATGTAATCAAAGTCCAATCACTCACTCGATCATTCACTAACTCATCCCAATCATTAGCCATTGCTTTACTCATCTGCCGAGTTCAACAAGACATTGCCATCGGGTTACTCAAGCGCCATTCGATCATTGCGACAGTTGAAGGACTACAGTAACATCCCCTTGTTGATCAAGACGATTCAGCAATCGACCAACTCGAGCTGGTCGCGCCAACACACACTGCTCGACAAGTTCAAGGAGAATGTCACTCGCAAGTCAACACTGATGGCCCACTACTTCAAGACCCAGCAGCAACAGCAACAGCTGATTCAGCAGCAACAGAATCACCTGAATCAGCAGTCCAAGATGCAGTCTCCTCACTCGCATCAACAGGCCAGCCGTGCTCCCAATCAGGAGCAGTCTGGCAACACCGGGTCATTCGAGATGTCGCCAGAGTCACCTCCACAGCGCCCACTCTCGCCCTCATCTATGGCCATCGAGGAGAACCTCTCAGACACTTTCACCAGTCTTCAGTTGTCCACAGCGGCCAACGGTGGAGCAATGTCCGCGGCCGTGCCCTCTCCATCAGCCCCAGGCATCAGAGGCAACAACTGGAGGAGCCAGTACCTGCAGTACAAGCATGTTGGCCCAGTCCCAGGCTCGCCAAGCGGCGGTGTCGAACGCATCAAGTCCACATTCCGCACACGTTTCGCCGGTTGGAAGCGCAAGCTTCTGGCCTACGTCAGCTCGGAGGCGTCCGAGTCTGTGTTCATGAACAAGGTGGCCGAGTGCGAATCATTTGCGCGCAGCGAATGGGATCGCTTCAGAATGTCCTCCAACTACATTGGCACGGTGGGCGAGATATGCTCGCTGCTCTACTCACAGTCCTCCACCACGCGAATGGCCAGCAACGGTGGCCACGCCTCCATTGACTTTTACAACAACTACACAAACAACCCAGTCGTGTTGCTCTGTCGCCACTTGATCGCCTGGATCCCCACGTTCTGGCGCGAGAATGTGGTCGACCGTATTCCATCACTTGAGGAGGAGATCATCTTCTTCTCGCGCAGTCTGCTCGGTGACATTAGCGCACTGATCGTGGGCAAGGTGACGATGGTGGCCGAGGAGAAGGCGCATCACACCAAGCTGCTACAGTACTGCCAGTCGGCCACGGACCGCAACGTTCACAACAAGATCCAGTACATCCAGAACTACTTTGTTGGCCAGAACCTCACCCAGCTCATCTACTCGATCTGTCTGGACACACTGTGTTCCGAGCTGACTTCCAAGGTGAAGGACCCCAAGGCCATTGTCAGCTGCCACGATCTCGTCGAGAAGTGCTTCCACAGCGCCCCACTCACCGCAACTTCGCGCATCCAGCAGCGTCTGCTGGAGATGCTCAACACTGCGCTGTCCTACCTCGATGCCATCGAGAAGCATTTGGAGCACACGATCCAATACCTGCTGAACTCGCCACACCGCATGAGACGTCAGCAGCCAGTGCGCCCCAGGATCAACTTCTCGCTCAACATTATCGAGAACTACATCAACCTGGTCGACCCGGTCGAGCCTGCCCCCGCTCTTGCCAACGGATCGCCCAACCCTAGACACACAGCTCGCATGTCACCCCAGGCTCATCCACATTCAAAGGGATCGACCCAACAGCGTCCACAACACATTCTCCAGTACCTCTCACAGAGTGTGCCAAGCAAGCCCAGCTTCCTCCAGCATCTTGAGCAGAAGTTCAACTTCAACATCAGCAACAACAGTGGCAGCGGCTCTCCCAGCCAAAGTGGCACCCTCTCCCAACAGCAACATCAACAGCAACAACAGCAACAACAGCATGATGCTATGGATGTCATGGATGTGGAGGAGGACAACGACGCCCCATACATCAAGCGCATTAAGAAGAAGACTAGCGATATGACCTCGTTGGTTAGTGGAGCCGCGACTGTATTCAGCCCCAAGACCCAGATGCATCCACCACAGACCCCCGCCACCTTGCTCCAACTTTGTGTGGCCAAGGTGTGCCAACAGATACACTCACTCCGTCTGGTTGCCATGCCCGAGGAGGTACTTCAACAGATAATCACCACGCTCATCAATCAAGATCGCGTGAAGAGTGGCTGTGTTGTCGGCGCAACATTGGACGATCTATTGCTCAGTCGTCTGATTGCCGCTGCTGCCTCACCCATCAAGTCGCTCGACCTCGAAGGCGCCAAGCTGCTCACAATCAAGGGTGTCTATGAGATTGGCTCAAAGTGCTCACAGCTCAAGAAACTCTCCCTGGCACACTGCACCAACGTCACCTCTGAGGCTCTGGCCGCGATTGGCGCAGGCTGCAAGCAGCTAGAGTCCATCAGTCTTAAGGGATGCCACCAGCTCAACAACAATGGCATTCTACTTATTGCCCGTGGCTGCATCAACCTGCGCTTCGTAGACTTCTCTGGCTGCACCAAGCTCACGGACATCACAGTGCACGAACTGCATCAGAACGCCAAGCAGCTGCAAGCACTCGACCTGCGCAAGTGTGCCACACTCACTGACGCTGCCTTCCAGGCCTTTGGCCTGACCACACTGCTCAGCATCGACCTGATCGAGTGCCACAACATCACCGACGCATCCATCATCAACATATGCAATAGCAGCCGCCAGCTCAACAGCATCAAGCTGAGCGGTAAGGGTGTGTCAGACCTGTCGCTCAAGCGCATTGCCTCGCGATGCTCCATGCTCACTCTGTTGGAGCTTGTCACCTGCGAGAACATCACCGACGCTGGCATCCAGGCCGTGTTCCGCGGCTGTCCCGAGCTAACCAACGTCAACCTGTGCTCGTCCAAGAACCTAACCACTGCCGCCTTCCAGATGGACGAGCCATTGAACAGCTCGGACAACATCAGCGAGTGCAGCAGCAGTGGATACAGCAGCCCATACAACAACAACATGATGATTGTGGACGCCGAGCCATCGATTTCCTCCTCATTCGACTCATTGGTGTCTCTGGCCGCCAACGAGCAATCACTCAAGAAGCTCACGCATCTCGATCTCAACCGCTGCATCTCGATCAATGACAGCTCGGTGCTCACGTTCACCGTGCACATGCCAATGCTCGAGACGATCAGTCTGGCCTATTGTGAGGACATCACGGACGAGGCGGTTATGACCATCGCTCAGCGTTGCCACATGCTCAAGAACCTCGACCTGACCAAGTGCAAGCTGGTGACCGACTCGTCCATCATAGAGATTGCCAAGAGCAAGGCGCAAGAGTTAAGTCGACTTGTGCTGTACTCTTGCAATCTTGTCACCGACATGTCCATCGTCGAGGTGGCCAAGCACTGCTCGTCGCTCATCCATCTTGACGTTAGCATGTGCGAGAAGATCACTGATATTAGCATCACCAAGATTGCGCATGGCCTTCCCCTGCTGCGGGTGCTTTGCATGGAGGAGTGCGTTATCACTGACGCTGGCGCTGCCTCACTTGGCGCCTTCTCCGAGGGCTACGGCTGCCAACACCTCGAGATCCTCAAGCTGGGCTACTGCCGCTTCATCTCAGACGCTACACTACTCAAGTTGAGTGTTGGCTGTCCAATGATGTCCAACATTGATCTGTCCTACTGCAGCAATCTGATCACTCCACGAGGCATCAGTATGGCACTCAACTCGTGGTCCCGTCTGCACACACTTCGTCTGCGAGGCTACAACGCACTCACCAACGAGATACTTGTTGATGGCGGTGCGCCACTGAAGCTGCGCTCAGTCAACCTGTCATGGTGTGTCAATCTGGAAGAGAGTGTCCTGCTCAAGTTTGCCAAGAGCTGTCCATCACTTGAGAACCTCGACATCTCTCGCTGTCCCAAGATCACTGACGGTGCATTGGAGAGCATCATTGACTCATGTCCATCACTACGCGTCATCAACGTCAGTGGCTGCAAGGAGATCACATCGTTCACAGTCCAAAAGTTGTCCACTACTTATGGCAAGTCAATCTACCGATAGTCAGTCATTCAGCCATACCAATCCTTCCTTCCATCCATTAATAAACCAAAGGACAACATCTGTCATCCAAATTTGTGAAATAATAATGTTCCAATAACCATAAGTGGCAATTATTATTTAGACCAAGTAAGAATTCATTCATTCATATATTAAATGAATGAATATATATATTAAAGATGGATGAAATACATAATAATAATATTAATTATAACAAAATAAAGATATATTATTTATCATATATCGGTGATCCCTATGTTAGAAGAGGAATTGAAGTTGAGAGAGTTGTTGATATGACATTCGATGACTTATATCCAATAATCAAAGAAAAGTTATTTACATCCCCAAAGAATCATCCTCATTCTTTAATAAATTTTCATCTTAACAAATTAGATCCAAACGTAATTCCAGACCCAACTGTGTGTGTGGCAGCTCTGGTCTGGTGCCCTCCAACAATCATTCCAATTTTCATTCTTCAATCAATACTCTACTATAGTATTATTTATTAAATTATTAATATTAATATTAATAATTATTTATTAATGGTTGGGTATTAAAAAAAAAGAGAGGGAGGGAAGGGAGGCATTGGTGAAGATATTTATAAAAATAATAAATAATAATAAAATACTCTTCACCAAGGACTCCCTGTCCTCCCTGGAACAAAAATGAAGGGAGAGGTATTAACCATCTGGAAATAATATTAATATTAAAAAAGTATTCACCATTTGATTGTCAAAGTCACCTGCACCCTCCCGCAGCTTGAAGAAGAAATCCGTTGTGGTGTACACCAACATGTTGGACAACTTGGCCAGAATCCTGGAGACTGAGGATCATGATTAGGAGTGAGCTCCTCATTGACAATATCAATTGACTTGTGACTAACTGTCCTCTTTGGTCGGCATCGATAAACAAAGGATGTGTTAAGCTGGCCGGAATTGAGGACTCTTGATCATTGTCTTGTGCGTATTGCCATCTTTTGCAATGGGATTGGCGATGTTCCATGGGAAGACATTCGATGGATTCCAACCAAGGTAGGAGAAGCGCAGAAAATCCACCGAGTCCAGGGGATAGTCCAACTTGCCCCTCACAACGTTGAACTTGTGGTCCTTGGCGTTCCAAGGCGACTGGCCTATTGCTGCAATGTTTGGAAAGTTTGGAAGGGTATGTTGTAGCCAGAGTCCCCTGCCGCGATCGTCCTGTTGTAGAACAATCAATGTTAAACAGATGCTTCTGGCATTTCATGGCAACAATGTGCTCACAAACATACCCATGCAACCATTCCTTTCTCGTGTGCTCCTTTGATCCTAGAGTAGTCACCCTTGGGTGGATAAGGAATGCTGCTACCCAAGTTCTTATCATAGAATCTGGACTGAGTCTTGGTAGGTGCCATCGTTGGAGCGGCAGTGGTCGTGTGCTCATTATTGTATCCAATGAAGCTGGTGTAGTCTTGGTTCATTGAGTTCAACGCCTGTCCAAGGGCACTGTACTCGGATCTAAGGAACAATCCAGTCTGGAGTTTACTTATCAGTAAGTTGGTGTAGGTGCACCAAACAACTGTAGTAGATTGCAATTACCTTGAACCCAGGCTCAGTCATTGATGAGTCGAAGTACAGATAGATGTCCCACCACATCCTATGAATTGATAAATACTTTGACAACGTGAATTAATTAATTCTGTACAGAAATCTCAATCATTGCCAACATTCACCATGTTGATACTACCACCTTATATTCTTCGCCATATTGTCTCATTTGTGAATGATGAGATTGATCGTATTTGCTTGCTGCTGGTCTGTCATCATTTCAAATCACAACTTGAGCACTCGATTCGCTTCAATAAGGTATCATCACAACGAAGAGATTCTTTCTTCCCAGAGTCCAATTGCAACGTAAACACGATTACCTGCCCATCAGTAGAGGATCTACAATCACTCATCATCAGCAGCAGTAGCAGCAGCAGCGACACTGCCCGGTCAAGATCTACTCCAAAATTGATCACATCATTGCGCCTCGATGGAAATGATCCCATTCCTGCCCGAGTCATTCCAGGCACTGTTCAGTACCTGACGCTTGGCGATTCGTTCAATCAGCCACTTGTACCTGGATCAATCCCCAACTCTGTCATCTCATTGATCATCGGAGAGTATCATTCACCCTTCAACCATCCTTTGGAGCCCCTGGCCATCCCGCACAATGTCACCTTCTTGAGTCTTGGCCGCAGCTACTCCCAAACACTGACTGCTGGCGTGCTGCCGCCCTCTCTCACCAAGCTCGTCCATGGCGGTGAGGCGTCATTTGCACCCGGATCCATTCCAACATCTCTCAGACACTTGGTGCTCGCCGGCACACTCTCCTCCACAAACACGACTGGTGATCCACACGGCCCTCGCAGAGCAGGTGGCCCACCGATCATTCCTCAACTGCTCCACTCGTTGTGGTTTGGATGTACACATCATATTACGCCTGTACAATGCTACTCGGCACTCTTCTGTTATCTCTTCTATCTCACCAAGCCTCCTGGAATGTCCAACATACATTATGTCAACTTGGTCCAGAATGGTGCGCCACCAAAGGCGTTCAAGGAGATATGCATTATCATGCCTCGACTCTTGGAATCGTGGGACGGATTCAAGGGAGATATGCAACGAAGATACTTTGACAAGCAGCCACCACTATCCAACCGAAATCGAATGTATCCCTCTGACCTTCTCCAGTTGATTCGATTGAGCGAGACATTGTTCATCATCGATGTCGAGTGTCCCGAGAGACACATTGCAATGCGCTTGATCGATCACTCCTCCAACTTAATCCTGTACACAAAGGTGGAAGCAGGTGCCATTAAATATTATTACTTCATGGTTGGACAATGAAGACAATGTTCAAGACAAATAGGAAACTGTTTTACATTCGTTGTTGTGGTTGGTTGAACATTATGAGTTCTCTATCTGCAGATCAATCACGTTGGTGCTCGTCAGTACTCCATCAACAAAGTAGTTCGTGCTATCCTGTTCGAAACCTAGATGATGGAAGAGGTCAGCATCGTTGAACTGCAATGCAACAGAGTCATTCTTAGCATCAGGGCATAAGAACATGTACTTGCCTGTGTTCGATGTTGGCCATGTGATTGAATAGGTCAATCCTGCTTGCGACGCAGCATTGAGCAGCCCTGTCAGTGTGTCTTGTAACGAGAGTCTGCTGTAGTTGCCAACAGGCACAGTGATCAAGACACTCTGTTCATATTCTACCAACGTAAATGTATTTCTATTCCTTGGCACAGTGTAGAATGACTTGGGAATGCATGCTTGCATCACAGCTACACGATCGAACTCGTCATATTCATAACACTTGTCGATGGTTTGATGAACAATGTTGCTCCCTTCATAAGTCACAAACCAAGTTCTTCGTGGCATTGCTTCAGTTGGTCCAGCATGGCTTCAATTGCGCCTACTGCACACAACCCATTCTCCCACAACAGAATGTCGTTCTCTCACACAACATGGGACATAATAACAACCTGGTCAGGAACAGACAGCAGTTTGGAGTTGATGAGGTCCTTAATGGCGACACCGCAGTGGCAACCTTTCAGTCATTGTTGGCCAAACATTATCTCTTCAGCATCATCCATACTCCTTGCAACCAGCGTCATTCTCAAGAGTGATCAGAAACAATTTAGGCGCCATCGCTGCAGTTAACATGAACATTCATGCGATAGTTGCTGGTGCAAGATCATTCTCCTATCGTTTCTCACCAGATGTCGCCAATAGATTGGTCGAATATTTCAACATTACCAATGAAGTCTTTATTGCCAGATTCATTCCCAACAACTGATAACAGTCCCACCATCCTCATCAAATAAACTCGCCGATCACTCGGTGCATCTTGTTAACAATACCATTATCACAGTAACCTTCATACCTTACATCTCCACACTCGGTTCCTAACTTTGGATAATCCAATGATGTCTATAATGATGATTGTTTCCATGGCTTTGTCATGCACCAACCGTCAGTGTGTGCGCGCATAACACAATCAATGTCGTCCTTGATGATAGTACCGATCATCTTGCGTCCTCGTGATATGATAAATGGCATGATGCGAGCCCAAGGAGTGTCGAACATGTCTGTATTGCTCACTCCCTTGACCATCACGTTGCCATTCGCTGTCGGTGTGATCTTATCGATTATGAAGTTGTCTGGAAGCTTGACATCGTACGTGGCTGTTGACTGCTCTTCGCTGATTGACTTGATGTGTTTTTTGATCTTGTTGCGCTTGGACAGCGCTCCCCAAAGACGTTGGTATAATTCCTTTGATCTTGGTACTCCTGCTTTGATCCATCCAAGCACTTGATCGATGTACTGTCCAAACAGTGTCACAGAGTAGATACGGCACTCTGGACCATAGAGCAGTGCGTTGGGCTTGTTGTCGATCTTGAGGCTGTACGTCAATCCGAGTTCTGTTGCCAATGCTAGATCATAGCTAGTGTAGTAGTTATGCTTGTTAGTCTTGAATGCTCGGTGTTCGCCAATGATGGTTGCTCGATAGATACCGAATGGTGGTGGCTTGATGTCGTCGTCTGCCAGCTGCTTGAACTCGCCACGCTTGATTGGGATCATGAAGTTACTGCTCTTGAGTATCGCTGCGTACATCTTGCATACGTCGTACTTGTAGAGAGGACCAGTGTAACCATCAACGGCGAACATCAGTGGAACTTGTGATGCTTTGGGTATCCACTCGCCTTCATCCTGTTGTATGTGATCTGGATACACTGCTTTGCTATACGAGAGGAAATGTGATGGCGGCCTTTTTAATGTTGTGGCCTGTGTAGTACATGTCGATGATTCCATTCGTACCTTGTTTGAGAGCATCAGCATCGGCGATGAATAATTGTAGTGTTTGTTCAAGTGTCTTTCCTTCCTCTGAATATATGAACTGATAATTGGACTCGAACTTGATCCTTCTCTTCTCTTTGATAAACTGTTCTCTGCTCATCGTGCTCTGAGTCGCACCATCATATATGATGACATGATCAACGTCGCTTGCGTATTTAAATGCTACAGGCTTCATCACTCTATCCTGCTTCTTGATCGCAACACCTTTGAGTTGGTATGTGTCTGTCTTGTCGAGTGTGTGGTGTCCATTGGTTTGTTTGAGTCTTATCTCGCGTGGATACTTCTTGGTCGATGTGAAGATGTGATCACCTCGAACATATATACGCACCTTGAACTTGTCTTCAACTGCCGACAGAATATTGATTGGGACAGGGTCCGTTGAATCCAGATTGAGGAACTTCTTCAGTCGAAGAGGTGCATTGCAAGTGTTGACAATGTCTGGGTAGCATTGTTTGATGCAGTGATATAGACAGTTGTTCCAGGACTTTTTGGCGCAAGTAGGCCTTGTGGCGCTCACGGAACTCCGGATCAGATTGGTATTTGATTTTGAATGAGGACATTATGTCAAATTACAATATTATTTTATTAAATATAATAAAATGTATTTTTTGATTCAATGTATACTCCAACCAGTACAAGTCTCGTATTAATAAATTGATAATAAATGGATAAAACAATCATAACTATACATTATATACCTTTTGTTGGAAGTAGAGATTTTAAATTAGTTGTTGAAAGAGTTGATGGGATTACTTATGATGATCTTGCTCCAAGTATAATAAGAGAATTATTTGTTCATCATCATTCATACAGTAAGATATTATATCATCCTAATCAACAAGATGCTGAACCAGTTAAAGAACCAAATACTCCAATTCCAGATGATATCAATCATATCTATATTACTGAACCTTATGGTATGTGTACATGAGTCTTATAAAGTTAACGTATACTTACATTTCATAGTAAGGGTATTCTTCAGAGATAGAGATAAACAACCTAGATTGTTGTTCATTCAGGGTATACCTTGGGAGACTGTTAGTACTGCTTTCGGTAAGAAGTATGGTGGATTAGCAGAGAGGATACCACCACCAACAACAGATGACAAACCAACATCAACATGGAAGAGGATACAACAACAATTCAAAAAGTTAGGATCTCCAACTCCACCAGTTGGTCCTACACTTGAAGAACCTTACGCAGCAGGAGATTATACATTAGTCAAGAAATCAGAACAATATCATCGATCCTTCATTTAGACAATAAAATGAGTTTAGATAGTTAGTTGGTTATTTGTTATATCTTTGAATGACATGGCGACAATAGTTGTGTTGAAATTGAGTGATAAAGTCAAAAGTAAGATGAAATCTTGAGTGAAGATGAAATTAATTAAAAAGGGTTGGAATTGAAAATATCTAATTTTGGGTCTGTTCTTCAAACACATGTGTGTGTTGTGACATTGAATTGTATTTGATAGAGATAAATACATAGAGAGATAAAAGAGATAAAAATAATGGCAACACTTATAGATAATAGATATGGAAAGGCAAAGGTTAGAGTGTTGAAGGTTAATAAGAATAAGGACTTTCATTCTGTTCTTGACCTTGACTGTTGTGTATTGCTTCAGGGTCAGTTTGAAGAAACCTATCTAACAGGTAATAATGAAAAGGTTGTGGCCACAGACTCGATGAAGAACACCGTCTACTTATTGGCACAGCGTGAGCATTTCAAATCGCCAGAGGAGCTTGGAATCATCCTGGGCAAGCATTTCCTCAACACCTACTCACATGTATCCCACGTGCATGTGACCATTCGCGAGAACGTTTGGGAGCGCATGAAGTCCACCTACGAGAAGAAGGAGCACGATCACTCCTTTGTGCGCGCCAGAGAGGTGCACACCGCCTCGGTCACGTCGATGCGCGGCAGACCGCCCCAGGTTAAGTCCGGCATCCAGGACCTGCTCATCATGAAGACCACTGGCAGTGGATTCGAGAACTTCTTGCGCGACAAATACACCACTCTGCCCGAGACCAAGGACCGTGTGTTCGCCACGGCCGTAACTGCCGAGTGGACCTACAATACCACCGAGAATGTCAACTATCCCAATGTCTACCAAGAGTTCAAAGGTGCCGTCTTTGATATATTCTCACTCCAATACTCCAAATCAGTTCAAGAAACATTGTACATCATTGGAAAGACTGCCATCGATAGAGTTAAGGAGATTGGTATGTATATCCATGCCCCTGGGACTATTCCAAACTACTTACTCAATCAATCATTCATTCATTCAAACAAACAAAGATGAAATCAACTTGTCACTTCCAAACAAACATGCTTTTGGCTTCGACTTTAACAAGCTTGGCACTAAGAATGAGAACACGGTATTCCAGCCTGTGGAGGAGCCATCAGGATTGATTGAGGGCACTGTCAAGAGATTGAATGCAAAGTACTAAGATGGAGAGAGTCACTTGCGCACGTGAATGATCGACCATCAAGGATGATGATTGCCACATGACATCAATTTTAGTTCGGCATCTGCAGCGACCAACTTGTCGCCGCAATAAACTGTTGAACTTATGAACATCTGCCTGACACTTGAAGGGGGTTTTATTCACAGCCCACCCTCCTAGGAAGGTCCTGACCTCGCAATAGCTTAACTTCGTCAATACGCTTGTTTGGCACGGTTTGCAGCAACTGCATCGTTGTTGCAGATTGATTATAATGTGACAATCTCTTTTGATGACTGCTCTCATCTATTTCCTCCTATCTCTTCGATCATAGTCATCTCTCTCGCGGTGTCTATCGTCATCACGATGATGTCTGCTTTCCCGCCTATCATACTCCTCGGCGCGATACCTTTCGTCCCTGCTACTGCTACTGGAATGATATCTCTCGCGCTCGTATCCACCTCTGTCTCTGTCACGTCTATCACGATCATACTCCTCGTGGTATCGATCGCGTCTATCGCGATCATAGTCGTCGTGATAACGGTCGCGTCTGTCATATTCGTCGCGGTATCGGTCGCGTCTATCTCGCTCACCTCCATGATAGAGCCTCTCTCTGTCGCGCTCTCTGTCTCGGTCGCGATCTCTGCGTTCATAGTCATCGCGATATCTCTCTCTGTCTCTTTCGCTTCTGTAGCGTTCGTCTCTAGGATGCTCTTCATGTTGATGTTCGCTTGACAGTCGCTGACTGCCTTCATCGGAGGCGGGGGCAACTGCTGCTGTGGAGGTGGAAGGAACATCGTTGGCATGGGGTCGTTCAACAACATCAAAACGTCTGTACTTCCTCTCTTTGTTATCAATATCATTATCACCTTCTTCTCCACCGCCACCTCGAGGCTTGACGTTGAGGCCGTACACGACATTGGTATTGGCAGTCACGGGGACAGGTGGAGGCATATCTGAAAAGCCCTTCTGAACAACGACCGTCGTTGGGACGGGCGCTGCTTCGGGCGCGGGAGCAGGCAGTAGTGGTGCAGTCGCTGCAGTCGCCTGTGATTGTTGTTGATCGAAGCGTGTGTCCACACGACTCATGTTACCCATCTTTTGTTGTGCTCGACTGATACCCTCTTGAATTCTGTTCTCCTCTGCCGCCACACTTGCCGACATCAGTTCCACATCCTTTAGGAACTCATCCGGTATGCCTGACACTGTGCTCTGAGCCTCCAGCAGTAGTCGCCACAGCTTGTCCATGAACCCATCAGTGTGTTCTGCGAGGAATCCTGTTATTTTGATCTGTATAGTCTTGGGATCAGGTGATGCCTAACGTCAATGTGATTAGTTAGTTAGCTATGATGAGGGGTGAGCGGGGTTTGATACTTACACCTTCGAGTAGTTCTATGATATAGTCAACGAGTACATCGTCGTCGTATGAGAGGACCTCCTCAAGCTCTTTGGTTATCCACTTTCTAAAGGAAGGCAAGTTGACTTTAGTCTTATCTACTTTTTGATTAAAGTGCGCTGGGAACTTCATTACTTTCAGCAACTTCTTCTCCTTGTCAGAGAATCGATTATCTTGTTCGGCTGACGTGCCCTACATTCATCGATCATCAATTTGTATTGGAATGATTGATTGATAGTTTGATTGTTTGTGTTTGATTGTTTGATTGATTGAGTTAGTTCGGTTGTAGTTGGGTCATGTTATGGTGATACATACACGGAAGTATCCTCCTCCATCCATTATATTATTATCTGTTTGTTGATTATTACTTTGACAAAGTAGAATGAATGAAATGAAATGGATTGTTTGAATTCGTGAATTGGATTTTCAAACATTCGGATTCAAACAAATCATAATAATAATCCTGGAACATCAACAAATAAATATATTTATTCATTATGGTTGTTGATGTCATGTATATAAGACAATCTATCTTTTCTTCTTTGTCTGCTGTTGTCCATCATTATTACCATTGTGGTTTCCATTTGTACCATTGCTATTGCTTACGTTATTGTTGTTGTTGTTGTTGCCACTCTGTTGCTTATGTATCAGCTTCAAGATGACATTGGTAAGTCCAAGTAAATTTACAGGTTTGGCAATGTGGTCATCAAAGCCACATGATTGGACTTTGAATCGATCAGAGATTGAGGCAGCGGCCGTCAGCGCAACGACTGGTGTGCGTGGCAGATTGTTACTGCTCTCCCACTGCCTGATCTTGGCGATGAACGAGTAGCCGTCTTCATTGGGCATGGTGAGATCGGAGAGGATGGCGTCAAATTTGGCGTCGCCCTTTTGCAGTGCCTCCATTGCGTCCTTGACCGTGACGTGCGTGGTGATCGACTTGGAGCCCTGCGTAGTGAGCATCTTGGCGATCAGTTGCACGGTCTCCTCGAGGTCGTCCACCACCATGAAGCGCAGACCGTTCAGCGTGTTGGTCTGCTCTAGTGTGCATGACTCCTCAAAGGTGGCGCGCGGACGCTTCAGGTTCTCCTGGTCCAGCGGCAGGAGGAGGGAGAACTGCGAGCCCATGCCCTCGCCCTTGCTGTGCGCATAAGCAATGCCGCCGTGAAGCTCGACGATGTTGCTGACGATCGATAGGCCCAGGCCGAGGCCGCCGTATGTGCGCGTGGAACTGCAGTCGGCCTGGCGGAAGCGGTCAAATACATGTGGTAAGAAGTCGGCAGAGATGCCCTTGCCAGTGTCGGTGATGGTCAGCAGAGACCAGGCCGTCTTGGCTTGGCCCAGCAGCTCGCGAGCCTTCTCAGCGGGCAGTGAGCACACGCCTGGAATGTTTGCTCCGTCAGAGCGCGTGAGCTTGACGCTAACGCTGCCACCCTCGCGTGAGAACTTGATGCCGTTGGACAGCATGTTCCACACGCACTGCTGGAGACGTACTGGGTCGCCGCGGATGTTGAGCGACTCGAGGTCGGTGCTGAGTGTGATCTTCTTGCTCTTGGCCTGCAGCTGCAGGGTCTCCACAGCGCTCGTGACCATCATGGACAGGTCGATATGCTCGGGCGATATCTGGAGCTTGCCGCCAATGATCAAGGACATGTCCAGCAGGTCGTTGACCAGCTGGTTCTGCGCGTGTGCGCATCGCTCGATGGCCTCCAGGCCGTGCTGCAGCTCCTTGATGTCGTGTTCGTAGCGCAGAACCTGGCTCCAGCCGAGGATTCCGTTGAGTGGCGTGCGTAGCTCGTGTGAGAGGTTCATCAGGAACTCGTCCTTGTGCTGGTTGGCCTTGTCCAGCAGCGCGCGCTCCTTCCCCAGCTCGACGACCAGCACCTGCAGCTCGCGCTTCTTGGTCGCCAGCTGGTTGACCAGCTCGCCCAGGTCGTTGTTGGCCGACTTGAGCTCCTCTTGCAGGAACTGCTTGGCCTTCTTCATGGCCATCGCATTGGAGACACGTGCCGTCAGCTCCTCCGAGCTGAATGGTTTGTTGATGTAGTCTGAGCAGCCATTGTTGAGCAGCCGTACGCGCATCGACTCGTCGGCCTTGGCCGTGAGCAGGATGATGGGGATGTTGTCGTACTCAGGCATTTCGCGGATCTTGCCCACCATCTCGTCACCGCTCATATTGGGCATCATGCAATCGGTGACGATGAGGTCTGGCGTGTGCTGCTTGAGCTTCTCCAGGCCCTCAAGTCCATCGAGCGCCGTGTATATCTTGTAGCGCGAAGCCAACAGCTCGGCGATGAACCTGTTCATCTCGACATTGTCCTCGACGACAAGCACGGTTGGCTTGGGCATGTGGTGGAGGTCCTCCATCTCCTCGTCAAAGTTCTCGATGAAGCCCTCACGCTGCTCCAGCTCCTCGGCTGCCTGTCTGGCGATCATTGACGCGTCAAACTTGCTACCCATCGACTGAAGGTGATTGACGCCGCCAGACTCTGCCGAGTCGTCTGGCTGGGACACGAGCGAAGAGACGTTCGAGTCGGACACGGTGGTCTTGTGGGCCATGGCCTCAATGTCGGGCGAGAGTGGCATGATCACAGAGAAGATTGCGCCCGTGCCCTCTTTGGGCGCCGAGATGGTCACAAAGCCCTTGTGAAGCTCGACAAACTCCTTGACGATTGACAGTCCCAGACCGGTGCCGCCGTGCTTCCTGGAGCTTGTGCCGTCCACCTGTCTGAAGCGATCAAAGATGATTGAGTGAAGGTGCTCGGGCACGCCAGGGCCAGTGTCGGCCACCATGACCTCGAAGCCTGGTGCACCGTTGGGCATGTCGGTGCGTTGCACACTGACGCGGATCTTGCCGCCGCGTGGCGTGAACTTGAATGCATTGGAGATGAGATTGGTGACGACGCGATTGATCTTGTCGGCGTCGATTGCGGCCATCAGCGCAGGTCCATCCTGCGACGGCGTGACAATGGTGTAGTCCAGATTGTTGTCCCTGGCAATGAGCTCGAAGCACGAGGCGATCAGATTGATCGTGCGTCCAATGTCCTCCATTGAGTACTGCACCGTCATCTTGCCAGCCTCGAGCTTGCTGATGTCCAGCAGATTGTTGACGTGCTTCAGCAGTCCTCTTGTGTTTCTCGCAATGACGTCCAAGTACTTCTTGGATGCCTGTGATATCGATGGGTCCTTCATCAGCATCTCTGTTGGATGCGTGATCAAAGTGAGAGGTGTTCTTAACTCGTGAGATACATTGGCACTATGTTTGGTTGAATGATTGGATTGAGTGATTGAGTAAGTGATAGGAATGATTCCATGATTGATTGAATGAATGATCCTTACAAGAACTGTGTCTTCAACTCATCCAACTCTTTGATCTTCTCGTATAGTTGTCTGAGCTCGTTGTTCTTGCGGGCAATCTCATCTTCGGCTATCTTCTTCTCTGTGATGTTCCTGCCCTCGGGCAGGATGAGCCACACCTTGCCATCCTCGTCGAATAGGGGCATGAGGGAGAAGTCGATCGTGATGGTCTCTGTGCCGGCCGACTTGCCAAAGATGTCGACCTCATAACGCACAAACTGTCCTTCGGCCGCTCGATACACCGCCTCCTTACAATCCTTCTGTGTCTTTTCTGATACGGCCCACCATCTACAGTCCCAAAATGGTATGCCCTCTATCTCTGAACGAATCATACCGCCTCCATGTAAAGCAGGTTCATTAACATCCAATAAGTTGCCCTGTTGATCCAACAATGCTACAAACTATATCATTTGATTGAGTTGTTTGAATGATTGAGTGAGTTGATTGATCGAGTCGAATGAATGATCTAGTTGAGTTGATGACATACTTGGTACATCTCATCCAACATGATTCTTGAGTTGCAGTTGGCTCTTGCCAACTTGCGCATTATCTCTAGCTCTTCAACGAGCTCCTCTCTTGTTTTATCCTCATCCTTCTTTGTAGATCTATACTTTAATATCTTCTCTGATATAGTGCTGCTCATTGTTGTTTTGTTCTCTCTCTATGTCTATGTTGGCTAATCCTTTTATAAATACACCTTCTCCTGCTGTACAATTCAATAGTCTAGATGATAGACTACTACTAAGTAGCCGTTGCCGTTGCCGTTGCTGTAGCCTTGTTGTGTTTTTGTATATTTATCAATCAGATGATCTGATACTGTCTGTCTTGGATTGGTGATTGGTGATTGATGATTGAAGATGATGATGAATGATTATTAGGTAGAAGAAGGAGTTGTTAGAATAGTTCTTGTGGTTGTGGCTGCAACTCTAATGTTGCTTGTTCTTGTTCTCTCTAGCTTAGATAAGCTAAGGTTGATGCTGGTTGAGTCGTGGTAGTCGTGGCAGTCGTAGTTGTGGTTGATGCACGTGTGTGTGAGTGTGGTAGTGGATGTTGTGGTGTGCTGCGTGTGTTGTGGTTGAGAGTTCCTGAGAGTGGTGTGGACCTCTTGAACTGTGAAGAGGTATAATGAATGAATGAATGAATGAATGTAAATGAGAATGTAAATGAATGAATGAAGATGAATGAATGAATGTTGTGATGTTCGTGATCAGAGGAAGTGGCAATAGTAAGTACGGGCCATCAAATGTAATGGGTGTAGTTGTAGTGTGTCAATAATAATGGTGAAAGATGATAATTATGATAGTGATCAAGCGAGAGTGGCACAAAGGGTATCTATCTGTTCAAACTTGTGCAACTTCACTTCGATTCAGTTCACTTGTAAATGCTACTGTTTGTTTGTTTGTTTGGTGGTATGATTTGATTGGGGTCGGGTTGACGGATTGACTAGGTTGTGGGTGATTGATTGATTGATTGATTAAGTGCGTGTGGTGGATGAAGTGTTTGTGGCACACACGATCGCATCGCGGATCGTAAATTAGCACACTTCCTACCTTCAAACCAGTTTCCTATCTATCACTCAATCCTTTTTATATCTTTAATTAATTAATTTAACAATACTATTGTGTATAACAAATAAATAATAATAAAGGTAACACAATAATGAGTGGAGTGTATGTATGTATGATATATATATATTGTTTGTAAGTAGTAGTTCTTATTGGTGATTGGATAATAGAAAAGGCAAATGCAACCTTGAAGTCATCATTGTTGTTGACCAATAAGGCAGAAGAAAAGGGAGACAGGCCAGAGATTTTAACATAAGTTGTTTGTTGTGTGAAAATGTACGATCGGGGTTAGTACTATCAGTGATATAATTTATTTATTAATAATTATAATCGAATTAATTAATTAATATGTTTGGGGTTGGGTGATGTGCCAGTTCAAGCCCAACAACTCCAATCAAAAACATCCACCTTTTGATAAAAAAGATTCGTGTACATCTGTGTTGTTTGTTGTCCATTCCACAAATAACATCTCCTCGTTCAGCGAGTAAGACTCATTTCACTTTCACACTATCTCAGAAGTAATAATAACTTATAGTATTTATAATTTAATTGATGGATTGAATGATTGGTTTGCGTGATTGATTGGTCAATGTATGATTTACACATAATAATAGTAGTCACAATGTTATGTGATTTGGACCATTGGACGAAAGTGATGGGTTGGTTGATTTGATAAAAAAACAATTTAAATGAAAAAAAATGTTTACAAGTTGGTGAGAGAGATAATTACAAAACCAAACTATGTTGTCTTGTGGAAGAAGTGGGTCGTCACGATGACTAGTGTTTGTGGACCACATTGATATCAATGTTAGCTTGTTGTTGTTGTAGTTATAATTGTATTTGTAATAATAGTAAATAATATATAGTAGATAGAATAGATAGAGATAATAATCGATGTTTGGTAATCTAATAAAAGGAATTAAAGGTGAAAAGGATAAGGAGAAGGATGGTTCGAAGGAGAGGGATAGGGCAAAGACAAGCTCGACTCCTTTGTCACCAAACTCTCAATCATCTGGTGGTGCCAAACCAACATCACCTTCATTGGTACCAGCAGGTATAACAGAGGAGGACTTGGCACAGCAGTTTGCCCACCTGCTCGAGGAGCTGGGCGTGCCCGACGCCAAGAAGGTCGAGATGATGTCGATGAGCAACGACAAGAAGTGGATACTGCTCATGGGTCAGAAGGACAAGATCAGGGACACCGAGGAGAAGGCCAAGCAGAATGGCAGTCTCTATGACACGCCACAATACTTCCTCTCGGTGTTGCGTGAGAATGCCGCCACTCACAAACTCATCTCTGAGCTTCGAGTCTGTCTAGGCAGCAACCCCATGTCATGGATCAACTCATTCCTTCAACTTGGTGGCTTTGGCGAGATTCTAAAGATCTTCCAAGCATACCAACTCAAACAAGAGTGAGTATAATCATCATCTGGAATCATTCCAATCACTCACTCAATCATTCAATCAATTTAGGAAGGACAAATCAGACTTTGCCATCATGTCAGATTGTGTATTATGTATCAAGTCATTGTTGAACAGCCAGGTTGGACTAAAGAGTGTGATGGCCACATCACACACATTCAAGTTGCTGATATTGTGTCTCGATTTGTCTTATCCTGCTGATCTCCGTTCGGCCATCCTCTCGCTGACTGGTGCCCTTGCCCTCGTGCCCCAGATTGGTCATCCATTCGTGATTGAAGCCCTCGAGAACTTTAGACAGTCATCACGTGAGAAGTCTCGCTTCTGGACCATCGTCGAGGGTGCCCGTCAAGTGGCCAAGACACAGCTTCAATATGAATACTGGGTATGTTGTTGTTGCTGTTGTCCTGTGATCAATGGCACGCACCCCAAGTATACTAACCTTACCCTACCCTCGATTAGACCTCCTTCATGACCTTTGTCAACTCAGTGGTCAACTCACCACCTGACCTCCAGACTCGTGTCACATTGCGATCAGAGTTCACAGCACTCGAGTTGATAGAGTTGGTCAACCCATCACGTGGCAAGCATCAGGAGTTGGACGTGCAGATTGACGTCTTCTTTGAGTGCCAGGATGAGGACAATCAAGAGATGGGCTCTGCCTACACCGACGTCAACATTCAGTCGCCCTCAGAGGTCAGCTCCAAACTCCACACTCTGTTGCAGCCCTCGCCTGCGCTACACCACCACTTCATGTCCATTCTGCGATGTCTCTACACACTGGCCTCCACCCAGCCCGACCTGGGTGGCAAGCAGTGGAATCTGCTGGATGAGGCCGTTGGCACACTGCTCAGCGATCCCACTCGTGAGTCGCAGGCATCCAGGATCGACTCGTTGAGCGAGGAGAACAGGAAGCTGAGTGAACAAGTGTCCAAGCTCAAGAGTGCTGCTGCCACAGCCGCCATCGCTGCGGCTCAGGTATCAGCGGCGACTCCAGCAACCATGCCACCACCAACTACGCCTCCAACAGTCAGACAAGAGGTAGACATCACACCTTACACCAACCAGATATCATCACTCAACAGCACACTGGAAGAGTCTAGGTCTGAGATTATACACCTTAGCTCCACGATCAAAACTCTTGAGAAGAACATTAAGGACTTGGATGCGCAGTTGGCTAAGTCTAAGGACTTGTCCTCACAGTTGACAGCAAAGAACTCAGAGCTTCAACAGCAACAGCAGCAGCGACCAGCCTCAACTGAGGCATCTCCATCTGTAGATCAACCAAGCGTTGACATCCCTGATGCACCAATGTCGGGTGGACCTCCTCCTCCACCACCACCACCTCCTCCACCTGGTGGCGCTGGTGGCCCTCCCCCTCCCCCACCTCCTCCTCCTGGTGGTGCTGGTGGCCCGCCACCTCCACCACCTCCCCCTGGCAGCAAGAAGGCTGGTGCACCCGCAGCTCCTGCTGGCCCAGTGCTGCCAACACGCAAGACCCCACCAGTCCCCTCTGTCAAGATGGTCGGTCTGCAGTGGAAGAAGGTGAACAACAACTCAATCGAGAGCTCAGTCTGGATGAACGTCAAGGAGTACAACCTCAACGATCAGTTCAAGACCTTGGAGGACCTGTTCGCGGCAAAGAAGCCCAGAGCTCCAGCTGCACCATCTGCTGGCGGCGCACCAAAGTCAGACAATCCGCTGAGCCCGGGCAAGGCAGCACCAGCCATCAGCATCCTCGACATAAAGCGATCGCAAGGTATCTCTATCATGCTGAGCAGGTTCAAGATGCCCCTGCCCGAGTTGGCCAAGGCCATCAACAACTTTGACGAGACCAAGCTGTCTCTTGAGGACGCCAAGTCGCTGTCCAAGTTCTGTCCAACCCCAGAGGAGATCGACATACTCAAGGAGGAGGACATTAGCATGCTTGGCAAGCCCGAGCAGTTTCTCTACGAGATGTCAAAGGTCTCTCGTCTCAGCGAGAAGCTCGACTGCTTCATCTTTAAGCAGAAGATGGCATCACAGATCGAGGAGATTCAACCGGATGCAGACGCGCTCCTCCGCTCATCACAGGTACTCAGGGAGAACAGAAGACTACAGCAGCTGCTCGAGATCATTCTATCACTCGGTAACTTTATCAATGGAGGCACACCGCGTGGCGATGTGTACGGATTCAAGCTGGACTCACTATTGTCACTGGGCGACGTGCGATCACCAACCGACAGCAAGCTCACCCTGCTCACCTGGCTCATCCAGTTCCTCGAGCAGAAGCACCCAGACCTGCTCAATGTCCACGAGGACATCGCCGTGGTCGACGAGGGCAAGCGTGTCTCTGTCCAGAACCTCAAGTCTGAGCTTGGTGGTCTGCGCAAGGGCATCAATCAGGTGAAGCAGGAGGTCGAGCTGGCCGAGGGCGTGTCAAAGAATGTCCTCAACAACTTCTTGTCCCAGGCTCAGGACCAGGTGACCGCACTCGAGAAGAAGGTCAACCAGGCTTGCGAGTCATTCACCGCTGCCGTCCAGCATTATGGCGAAGATACCAAGACCGCGACACCAGAGGAGTTCTTTGCAACGGTCGGTCGCTTCAGGGCCGAGTTCAAGAGATGCTATGAGCAGCTGCTAAAGGACCGCGAGAACGCCACAAAGATGGCCGCCAGGAAGCTCAATGCCCCATCGCCTCAGTCCCAGAAGCCAGCCGTGCCAGCCGGTGCCAAGCCCCAGCTGAAGCAGACGATGCCAATACCAATGCCCAACATCAACGTGCACGCCATCTCTGATGACGACGATGACAATCAGCCACACGGCCAATTCATGGACAGTCTGATGAGCTCGATGAAGGGTGGCCAGGCCATTAGAATCGCAAGACGCGCCAGTCAATACGTCGGCTCTCCCACCAAACTAAACCAAATGGGACCTTCAGGATTGGAAGCTTTGAACGCCGCGCTTAAGAACAAGGTGGCCAATAAAGAGTAGTCGTCATTGTCTACATTGTTAGTATTTATTCCTCCAATCATCCATGATCTCCTGCTTGCAGGGTATACTCCTTTACAAGTGTAAGAGTTGGTTGACATTTATTCCTCTATCTCTGCGAATGGTTGATCCTCGACATTGCCCCTGTTCTTCAGTACATAGATAACACCAACTATCAGCAGGATCACAATTAGATAGAACGTAAACTTGTTCTCCTGTTTAAACCTGATTGATTGATTGAATGAATGAGTGTCAGCAGACCTTATCATCGCCAACCATGTCCTGGCCAGTTAAGCTTACCTTATAATATTCTTTAGTAGTACACTCTTCTTGTTGTATTTGTCTTCTTCGTCATCCACCATGTTTGGCGTCAGTTGTTGAGAGACTTGGATGATTGTGTCGCTCTTGCCTTGTGTGGGCGCCTGTTGCTTGCGGATGGCCAGACCATAGGGATTGCTGTTGAGATGTGACAGAGGTGGAGTCTCCTCCAGCAGTGACGGGTTGATCTGACCTGTGAATGACATGATGTCGTGGCGATCGACGCCGCTGCCGTCCGAGCCCGGTGACAGCACCTGTGATGCAGTCTGTGAAGTCGATGGCATTGATGAATGTTTATGTGTCAAGCCCAAGAATGGCTCTGCCCATGAAGACACTGCAAACGTCTTCCTAATATTAACTGATAGAGCGTCCTGTCGCTCATTTGATGGTAGTATTGCTTTCTGTTTGATTGATTGATTGATTGGGTCAGCCAAGCCATCCATCACCTTGCTCGATAGCTCACACACATACGTTACAAGTTGGACATGCGTAGCCAGCCATTGCAGTTGTTGGTGGCAGTGAACAAGCATATACATCTATACATTCTGGATGGAATAGGTCTGTACCATTCATTCAATGTCTGTGTGTCAGTGCCGTGTCGTACCATGTCGTATCGCAGTTGGTTAAATCATACCATAACACATCAACCTGATACAGTTATCACTCTTTAGTTCTCCTTTGCATATTCCACATACAGGTTCCTCAAAGTCACTATCATTCAACCAGTCTACATATGATCCAACATGACACTAAGTATGTATTAACATCGATATCGATTGGTTGTCAGTACTGACTTTCTCTCTGTCTCTCTAACTGTTTGTTCATTTCAACTTACGACTGAATGATCAGTCACTACACAACCCTCGCAGATGAACTTCTTGTGTACAAAGCAAAAGTCGTCTGATCTCTTCTTGCATTTACATATACCCATATTATTGTTATTAATATACTATCTCTATATCTCTATCTATCTATCTATCTATAATTATGTGTAGTGAACACTTAGAGATAAAGATAAAACTATGTTGATTGGATGATGATGTGAACACACACCTCTCTCACCCAGGCTGCAGTGACTCTTTGGTTTTCAAAGATAGTCAACTACTTGTGTGTGTGCCACGAATGCAAAGGCACCTAGAGTCATGAGTCATTCATCCTATTCATTCACCAAAGTTAAAGAGATAGAACAAACATGCATGATAATATTATAACAAAGTCAACCAACAAATAACTACTTATTATCTGTTGACTTTAAGACCCATTACATTAACAGAGTCAAGGTCCCATTACTTTAGGTTGGCTTGATTTGGATCGATCGATGTTGATTGAATTGATAGTGAACCTATCCTACCCTGCCGTCCTCTTCAAGAGTTATAACTTCCTAAACCAACCCAATATATTTAATGTCATTCAACCTAATCTAGATTAATAATCCCATTCATCGATCCTTGGGGCTTTTTATTGGATGGACCAAATGAATAAGAAGTTCGACAACTGCATTTTGTGATTCAACTGATGGGGAATGCATCAGTTTTGTTGTTGGGATGATGCACTCACTCATGTTGTTGAATAAATAAAAATGATTTGTCAACCTTTCATTCATTCAGATCTACTTGGACAAACTTCTGTCTTGAATGAAAATCATTTCATATCACCATCGTTGTTATATCTTGTAAATATTTATTGTAATCCTATATATATTATATAATCTTTGTTAAACATGACTGAGACAAAGAAGACTTGGATTGATGTCCAAAAGAGGGTATGTTGTAATAATATATCTCATGATCAAGATTTATCTTGACCGTGATGATCACTCACACACAGTGTGTTGTGTTAATGAATGAATGAAAAGTCATAACTTGATCACTAACATATAATTATCTCTTTCTTCTTCTTCTTCTTTCATTCTCTCTCCATCTCATCCCATAATACCAGACCTTCACTGGTTGGGCCAACAACTATCTTAAGGAGCGTATCCTGAAGATTAATGACCTCGCCACAGACCTTGAGGACGGAGTCAAGTTGATTAACCTTCTCGAGATTATCTCGAGCAAGAAGATCCTCAAGTTCAACAAGCAGCCAAAGATCAGACTGCACAAGATCGAGAACAACAACTTGGCCGTCAACTTTATCAAGCAGGAGGGTCTCAAGCTGGTGGGCATTGGTGCTGAGGACATCGTCGATGGCCAACTGAAGCTCATCCTCGGTCTGATCTGGACCCTGATTCTGAGATACCAGATCCAGATGGCCGAGACCGACTCGCCCAAGGCCGCCCTTTTGGAGTGGGTGCGCAACCAAGTGAAGCCATACGGTGTCCGTGTGGACAACTTCACCGACTCGTGGAGAGACGGCAAGGTGCTGTCGGCCCTGACCGACTCGCTCAAGCCAGGCGTTCTCGACATGAACTCTCTGACCAACGACGCCCTGACCGACGTCGACCGTGCCATGGATGTCGCCCTCGAGCAGTACGAGATCCCCAAGATTATGGACCCATCTGACATGGTCAACCTGCCAGACGAGCTGTCCGTCATCACCTACGTTTCCTACTTCCGTGACTACGCCGTCAACAAGTGCAAGCGCGACAAGGAGGCCGCCGAAGCCCTCGAGCGCAAGAGACGCACCACCTCAGACGCCTCCCAGGTGCTCGCCTACGGACCAGGTCTGGAGGGCGGTTTCGTCAACCAGCGTGGAGATTTCACCATCAAGGCCATGAACTACTACGGTGAGCCATTGGCCAACGGCGGAGAGAACTTTGCCGTCACCGTCACCGGTGCCAACGGTGCCCAGATCCCAGTCCACTTGGTCGACAAGGCCAACGGAACCTACGAGGGCAACTACACCTCGGCCGAGCCACAAGACATCGTCATCCACATCAAGTTGGACGGCGTTGACATCAAGAACTCGCCATTCCACGTCAAGATCGACGGTGCTGACCACAACGAGTCCAACGCCTACGGCCCAGGTCTCGAGGGTGCCAAGGTTGGCGTCCCAGCCCCATTCAAGATCCAAGGTCGCAACAAGGCCGGCGAGCCAATGACCCGCGGAGGAGACGACTTCACCGTTAAGGTGACCGGCCCAGAGGGCAACGTCCCAGCCAACGTCCACGACAATGGCGACGGTTCCTACGACGTCGTCTACAACCCAACCAAGGGTGGTGATCACACCGTTGAGGTCTTCCTCCGCGGCACCCCATTGGCCCAGGGTCCAGTCCCAGTCCGTGTCTTGTCCGCCGACGAGAACAACTCCTTCTGTGACGGTCCAGGTTTCGATGCCGCCCAGGCTCGTCGCCCAACCCAGTTCACCATCCACTCTGTCGGTGCCAACGGCAAGCCATGCACTGATGGCGGTGACCCCTTCCAGGTCTCCATCTCTGGCCCACACCAGGTCGACGTCTCCATTGAGGACAACGGCGACGGAACCTACACCGTTGCTTACACCCCAGAGAAGCCAGGCGACTATGAGATCCTGGTCACTCTGAACGAGAAGCCAATCAAGGACATCCCCAAGAACATCCACATCAAGCCCGCCGCCGACGCCAACAACTCGTACGCTGAGGGTCCAGGTTTGGAGCACGGAGAGTGCTTCCAGCCATCCAAGTTCAAGATCCACGCCGTCGACCCAGACGGAGTTCACCGCAACGACGGTGGCGACGGATTCGTCGTCACTGTTGAGGGACCAGCCCCAGTCGAGCCAGTCATGGTCGACAACGGAGACGGTACCTACGACGTTGAGTTCGAGCCAAAGGTTCCAGGTGACTACACCATCAACCTCACCCTCGACGGCGAGAACGTCAACGGCTTCCCAAAGGTCGTCCGCGTCAAGCCAGCCCCATCTGCCAACCACTCCTACGCCAAGGGCCCAGGTTTGGTTGAGGCTTTCGACAATGCCGTCGCTGAGTTCACCATCTTTGCCATCGACACCAACGGACAAGCCAGAACCGACGGAGGAGACCCCTTCGCTGTTACCATCAACGGACCAAACGGTCTGGTCGTCGACCCAAAGGTCACCGACAACAACGACGGTACCTACGCCGTCCAGTACGAGCCAACCGTCGACGGAGACTACCAAATCAACGTCACCCTGCGCGACGTCCCCATCAAGGACATGCCAGTCAATGTCAAGTGCATTGAGGGAGCCGATGACGGATCGTCATTCGGTTCATTCACCTTCACTGTGGCCGCCAAGAACAAGAAGGGCGAGGCCAAGACCTACGGAGGCGACAAGTTCGAGGTTTCCATCACCGGACCAGCCGAGTACATCACTCTGGACGCCATCGACAACACCAACGGTACCTACACCGCCGCCTACTCGCTCCAGGGCAACGGAAGATTCTCGACCGCTGTCAAGTTGAACGGAAAGCACATTGAGGGCAGTCCATTCAAGCAAGTGTTGGGCAACCCAGGCAAGAAGAACCCAGATGTCAAGACCTTCACCACCACTGCCTCTGCCAACATCTAAATAAACATCTTGTTGTGATAATATATAATATACTCATTGGAATCATTCCAATCACTCATTCAATTATTGAACTATTCCAATCAATAACCTGGGTTCGATCAATCAATTTATTTAAATGGAAGACTCGAGGGTGATGATAAATGTACGGACATCCATGGGAGTAAGCTGGACGGTGAAGTTATCCAATGATCCATTGTTGGGGTACCATGTGCCAGTGTTGGTCTTCCAGCTCAAACGCTCAAAGCTGGATAGTTTGAGGGTGGCCGACAAGTTCATTTCGGTGATTGATGTCACAGAGTAGGTGGAGAACAGTGTGCTGGCGTCCAAAGTGATCAGTTGGGGATCAACAGTGTCCTGTCCATCCAGCTCATAGATGTTCTGGAGACGCAAGATGATGGATGTGTCTGAACCGTCCAGCCACTGCAGGGTGTGGACACGCACGCCAGCTGGGAGGTTGAGGGCCAGTGGGCTGTATGTGCCGCGGTACTGCGAGGACCAGACACTGGGGGACTGCTGGGTGGTGGTGAACACGGGGAACAATGGGTGATTGTGCTCCAGTGACAATGGACGGTACATAGACTGTGCGTCGTTGTTGATACCGTGGAAGACGATCTTGGTAGTTGTGACGATCTGTGTCGACTCGTTCATGGGCTCGCCCACACCACGACCATCATCGCGCAATGTCCTGCGGTGCAACATCATCTCGATCTCGCCATCGCTGAGTGAAGCACATGAGCGCGAACGATCGGTGACAAAAGTCAGTTGCTGGTTCTTGGTGGTATCCTGCAAGTATGTGATTGCGTTGACTGGCACGTAGTTGCCAGACACGGGCTGCACCACGGTGTAGTTCCATGAGTAGCGCTTGTTGAGCTCACGTTCCTGCATCTCCATGCCGTTGGCGTCCGAGTACCACAGGTTGTTGGTGTGCAGGTCGGTTGTGTAGCGAGAGATTACCTCCTTGCCCTTGTTGTCAGCGATGCTGATAGGACCGACGGTCTCCTCCAGCTCGAGGTAGTAGGCGTTGGCGTACAGACGGAATGTCTGGATCATGTTGGCGTTCCAATAGCGAGTAAGTGTGCTGACCATGCTGCCTGGGGCGTAGGTGACCTTGGGGTCGGTGGTGGTGTAGGTCGAGGGGGTCTGGCTGACGGGGCGGAAGATGTAGGCACCCGAGCACTGACCCGAGCTGTGGTCACCCGTTGATGGGTCGTACATCAAGTACTCCTGAGTGACTGCGATTGATGAGCCAGAGGTGACATTGGTGATGCTCTTGATGGCACCGGTCTTGCCATCAAAGCTCACAGAGATGAAAGCATTCTGCATCACTATGTCGCCTGCGGTGACCGCTGTGGCATGAGCCTCAGCGTGGACGGCCTCAGAGTCCTGTGGTGCGCTGGTCGAGAGCACGTAAGAGGCGAAACCAAAGGGTGGGACCTCAGCAGTGAACGAGAGGGAGATAGTGCCGTCCTGTTCGGTGGTGGTCTGTGAGGACACAGCGCCATACTCATTGGACACGTAGACTGTGGCTGTTGGGACGGGGAGACGGACATGCTCGAAACGAGACCAGGACAATGAGTTGTACAAGACGACTGGTACATTGGTTCCCTGGGCAAGCTGGGTCAGAGCTGGACACGAAGACTCATTGAGCAATGGGCAGAACTGCATGGATGGTACAGATTGGTTGCCTGAACCGACAAGTAGTTGTCCGACAACACTGTCCAGTGCCTCGTACACGGCATATTGGCCGATTGACAATCGCATGGCATAGTCCCATGCGACCTCCTGCTTCTCAGTACCGGAGACGGCATCATGATGCTGGGCAACACCCTGGGCCTGGCGGAGTACCTCGACCTGGGGGAAGTATGTGGACTGGACACTTGGGATCTCGCTCTGCGATGTGACGAGCAGCTGCTCGGCGACATGGAGAAGGGCGTTGGTCTGGCGAACGTAACCCTTGAGGGCGGGACGGCTCACAAAGTAGCCAGTCCAGTAAGAGTACTCATTGTCAGCGTATGGGAAGAAGTCGTCGGTCTTTACCGAGAAGGACACTCCGGCCTCGTTGACAGCATTGGTGTAGATCGATGGCGTCGAGTAGAAGACGTTGATGCCATACTGTGGGTTGGCATTGATGTAGGCGATCAACTTGTCGATGTTCTTGAAGTAGAGGTTGGCGTCGATGTAGGCAAAGTCGCAGCCGAATGGGATCAACACGTTGTTGGTGGTGTAGTGCGAGGCATACTCGAGGGCCATTGCGACGAACTCCTCAGCACGCTGCTGGACATTGTAGTTGAATAGAGTTGGGTCGTTCTGGATGGGGTCGTCTCCGTCCTCAAAAGAGAAACCAGATGGTGTGCAATAGTGGTTCCTGAGGACACCCGTGAACAACTGGTACTGTGGCGTGGACTGGGTACCATTCCAAATGAACTCCATGCGTTTGTCAGCCAGTCTGATGGCCTAGAGGGTTGGCGGGCGGGAGTAGGAGACAGGAGTTAGTAAGGCTGGCGAATTAATAAAATGTCAGGTGTCAAGTTGATAACGTGACACATGATCGCATGACATCCAATCAATCACGTGACTTCATGTTAACTTAACTTACATCATCTTGGTAGTCGAGACGACATATGAAGAAGGCCTCGAATCCTAGGTTGGCAAAGAGGGCAGCCTGGGCACTGGAGTGTCCAAAGGGGTCGATGTGCCAGCCAATCTTGGGAGTGACACCAAACTTTTGATTGAGGAACTGGTGTCCCAAGGTCATCTGATCGATGATGTCGTCGTAGTAGGTGGTGGCTTCATCATTCATACACCAGCCTCCGTTGATAAACTCAAGCTGGCCATTGTGGACCAACTCGGTTACGTCCTCCTGAAGCTCTGGCGTCTGTTCATTCCACCATCTCATAAAGTAGGCGATCTCGACATAGATGAAACGTCTGTTGGCATTCTGGAGCAGGCCCATAATGACCTCGTCCAAAGTGTACTGAACGCCAGCAAAGGCGATCGACATGTTTAGGCCGACATAGTACTGGTCGACAGTCTTCAACCAGCCAACATCCTAAGTAGGTGAGTGAGTGAGTGTCATGTTGGTCAGTCAGTGTGAGTATGGTCTTGGAAGTTGATGAACTTACGTCATGAGTGTGAGCGACTATGTGGACATTGGTCACGTTTGAGCTCATGGGGTAGATGAGTGGGGCCTTGGGCTTTCTCAAGGCATTAGTTGTTGTGACAACACACAACAAGGTGATTGCCAGGAACAAGTATACAGTGTTACTTGGTTTATACATTTGAATATGTTATCTGTATATTGATATTAACGAAATGGAATATTGACGATCGTTGATTCAAGATAGAATGAGCAGTGATCCACTCTCTCGTTCCAATCAATCCATCTTTGCATAATGTAGGTGTGTGTGATTGATGTCTGTTGGTGAACTAAAGCCATCACTGGGTGTGATCATTCATTGTTCAAAGATATTTTATTTATTCGGTGACCACCACTCGGGTATGATTGGTAGGTCCTTCCCCAGGTGCCCCTGATCAATCAAAAAGTATCTTATGCCTCTTGAAGCCAATAAACAAGATATTTATTAATTAATAATAATATCAATCCATCTCAATCTTAACTTTGTTCGTGTTCTTTCTCCAATTCAATCATTCATTCATTCATTGTCATACTCAAATACTTGATGTTGTATTATTACAGTTATTATTAGTTTGATTGTTTGTTTGATTGATTGATTAATTGATTGATGAGTCAACAACTAATAATAATGAATTATTATATTTCAACGACAACAACACATAAGAGTGATGTGTATCTAACTCCAAAGTGTTCCATTCGGAATTCGAATCTGAATCAATACATGTGGGTTGTCCCGATCCATCTTTCCTCGTCATCTTTGTTACAAAGATTCAACTAAATGACACCTGTCATACTCATTACTCACTACTCATTGCTCAATTCATGATTTACTTGTATTATAAATAACTTACATCATCAATCATACATCAATCAATCAAATAATGACAACAATAACAAAGAAACAACAAGTTAATAATAATAATAGTGGTACCTTAAGTTGGATATCACCTGTCGCAAGTGCATTGTTATCGTCATCATGTTGTGTAGTGCAATTGGTGTTGAATGCATTCTCTGTATCATGTTCAGGCTTCTCTGTGTTGAACCCTTATAGGAGTCAGTTTGCAGCACTCACCATACTATCACTATCATACACAATCTATCGTTATGGTTTCAACAAGAGGACTGCACTCATCCTATCCCTCTCCCTAGCATTGACCATCAGTCCAGACATAGTACGCTTTGTCAATGAAGGTGGTATGAGTGCATTCACATCAACGCTCTCCACTTCAACAACAAGTACTGCAACTACAGCAGCAACAGTGTTATCAGATACGTATTATGAAATTAAGATTGGTGGCATTGGATGTATGTCATGCGCCAATCGTATCAAGACGACGTTGGACGCACAATCAATTGTTAGAAGTGCAAGAGTGTACTTTGACAATGCCACTGCCATTGTGACAACCGAGTCACATCCAGACTATAGCTTCTTCCTCGAGCGTATAATCAATTCAATCGATACAAAGTATTCTGCACAAGTTGTAAATAAATGGTGATGATCATCATACATTCATTTATTCATTCAATGTTGTACAAGGAGTGGACTTTGGTGAAAGTTGCATTGGTGGGCTGTGATTAACACCTGGTCCTCCTATGTATCAACAACGTAGAGGCAGGGCTTTAGTTGGTCTTTGCAGCCCCAGCACCGCAAGACCAGGACCTAATTTTTCGCTTTGCGAAGCCCCCTTCTTTTTCAACACTAGCGGATACTTGATATTTTGTATTATTCACACGAAATCTTATTGTTGTGTCGGTTTCACACATTGTTTGGTAGACTTTGGTGTGTGTGTGTGTGAGAGTGCCAAGGTCCAACTTAGTCTTTGATCAAAGTACTACACCTCCACTTTTGCAAGACATATACATACACACACACACACAATTACACAATCACACAAACAGATAACGTACACAACAACAAAACAAAACAATAGCAAACAAACAATCGTTCAGCCAATCAATCAAAGACGACATATAATTGTAAAATATAGACTTCGATCAATCAAACAATCAACATTGTAATATACAACAAACAATCAATCAAAATACAGCAAACATATACTATATATATTATATAACAGCGAACTTTCCCGATTTAGCGAGTGATCGAGTGAGCAAGCAAGCGACCATCATCATCTCCACACACACATACACAATAACAAACAAATAATAATATTGAATGATGAGCCTACATGTTCAAAAGTCAGTACTAATGTATCTGACCATTGTACTGGGACTGCTCCTGATACATTGTCCAGTGGGTTCACTGTCAGTGTCATTGCAACAAGTCGGAAGCCGAAGTGTAGGGGGCGGAGTCGGCAGGATACCGATCCAGTACCAGGAGTCACGTCCAAGGTTCCCCTCCAAGGATGAACTGAAAGAATATAGTCTAGCAACTGCCGATGTATACTGGGTATGTAGTTTCATCATATGATTGATTGATTGATCACTAACATGTGCTCCCGGAATCATCCCACCCCCATTTCCCCATTTCCCCCCTACCCCCACTCAATCAATCGACCAATCAATCAAACGAATAACAGACAGGAGGCATGACAATCAATTGTTCATGCACTACAACAAATGCTTCATCTTATGCATGTAGCCAAGATGATAATGGCAACCCAAAGGGAAATTGGAATGATGGTCTGCAGGTGTTTGAAGATCCAATGCCATCGAATGCCGCGCTAAAGGCCATCGGCTTTGAGCTGTGGGGCACGTTCAACTGTGACGTCGACTCACACAGTAAGACACAGCTGCTGATATTGGTCGAGGGCGAAGAAGTGGGCAACCAGACGACGGTCGACTATGAGAACATATGCGAGTGTCCGTTGTGTGTGTCCAGCTTTACGATCCCGGCAGCCGAGTGGAAGCACGACATCTACAACTATACAGGCGCCAACTCGGTGTCGATCAATGTGTTTAGGAATCCAATATGTCTGTGGAAGGTCCAGGTCATGCTCTACTACACGATGCATCCCCCTGTGATCACGACCGCCAACACCACGACACCAACGACATCGACCATCACCACAACCACTACACCAACGACATCGAACACGTCTACCACCMCAGCCACTACAGCGACTACTACAGCAACGACGACTGTGACCACGTCGGCGACAACAGAGACGACTACACCCGCGACCACGGCTACAACAGCCGCGACCACAGCTACTGGCGCCACCACTGATGGACCCAAGCCCGAACCCCAAGGTCTTTCGACCAAAGACTGGATCATCATCTCGTCTTCGATAACAGGTGGAGCACTAGTCTTTATCATAGTCTTTGTCTATGTTCGCAACAAGTTTGCCAGGCAAGGATACATAGAGTTAAAAGGTAAGTCACAGTTTTCCCCAGGCGGGGGTTCTGCGCGCCGAGGCCAAGGAGTACGCGTCACATCTACTAACCTCGTATACGCATATACATCATAAACAGAGGGTAAAGAGATTGATATTACAGAGATCAAACTTGGAGAGAGGATTGGAAAGGGTAACTTTGGCGAGGTGTTCAAGGGACAATGGAGAGGTGCAGTTGTGGCCATCAAGAAGTTGCCAGCTCACAACATCACTGAGAGTGTGATGAGGGAGTTCCACAGGGAGATTGACCTGATGAAGTAAGTTCCAAACATTGATTGATCGATCACCTGATCACACTCACTCACTCAATCACTCAATTACTCAATCAAAAACAGGAACTTGAGACATCCAAATGTGATCCAGTTCTTGGGATCATGCACGATACCTCCAAACATCTGTATTTGTACAGAGTATATGCAGAGGGGATCGTTGTACACGATATTGCACGATCCAACAATGGTGTTGCCATGGAGTTTGATCAAGAAGATATGTCTGGACGCGATCAAGGGCATCATATATCTGCACAGCTCAATCCCGGTGATCCTGCACAGAGATCTCAAGTCACACAACCTCCTGGTGGACGACAACTGGAAGGTCAAGGTGGCCGACTTTGGTCTGAGTACCATCGAACAGACGGCCACAATGACTGCGTGTGGCACACCATGCTGGACGGCACCGGAGGTGCTGCGCAACCAACGCTACACCGAGAAGGCAGACGTATACTCATTTGCCATTGTGATGTGGGAGTGTGCCACTCGCATGGACCCCTACGCCGGCATGCCACCCTTCCAGGTGATCTTTGCCGTGGGTCGCGAGGGTCTGCGTCCGCCCGTGCCTCGCAGCTGTCCGCCTGAGTTTGTGACGCTGATGACCGACTGCTGGGCTGAGAACGCCGACAATCGTCCGTCAATGGAGGTGGCACTAATGCGAATGGAGGCAGTTGATGTCACTGGCTGGCCAGATGTCATAATCAAACCGAATCAATGATCGACCATCATCACTCTCACACATAATACCTCATCTCATCACACCAGCCAGACCGATGGCAATATCGATACTCACTTCACACAGTCGAATGGAACTCCTTCTTCGTATCCAACCTAATTTCCAGTCCCCCACCCACACACACTCAAACTCAAACTCAAATTCAAATTCAAACTCAGCTGGATCTCTGGTGAGCAGACATCCTTCTTCTTCTTCTCTTTCCTTTCAATCAGTCAATCAATCAATCAACCCCAAACAAACAAACAATCATCGACTCAACAAACTTGTATAGACATACATCATCTACTTTGTTGAGTGATACAATAAAATGTCTTTGGCTTGGGGCATGAAGGCCATCAAACAATCAATCATTCAAAACAATCCAGAAGCATAGGAATGATCATAGATTATTGTTGCAATGTATTGTTGATTGAAAGTGGGTGTGGGCGAGCTCGCCCTTTCGAAAAGTGGATGCACACCTCTAGTGTGGGCAAAAACAATCTGAAAAGTTGATGGCGGATGTGGGTCAAAGCCTAATGGGCAACTCTTGCCTTGAGCATCTTTGCAAACAAACAATCCCACAACATTAATAATAATACATGTACCAATCATGCCTAGACTTTCAACCTTAGTTGGGGTACATGACAATGTGATGTGAGTGGAGTGTGTGTTTGTTTGTTTACCAGCTTGCTTGCTTCTTTGTGTTCTACGCACTCGCAGTAATCATACATTACATTTACATTACATGTAGTTATAAATATACATACTACTATACTATACATACTTATACTGTACTACAATGTCATTCATGTTAACCATTTATTAATCATTCAATCAATCAAGCACTCACATATTCAATCAATCAATCAATCACGCAGTTACACACACACACAATCACTCACTCACTCACTCACTCATTGACAATGATGACGATGATGACACGATGTCGACCCTTCATTGCACTGGGGATCATCTTGCTACTACAGATATTCTTTCATACATGTAATAGTAGTAGCGATCAAATGGACATGACACTATATGATCGACTCGATGACAGCAACAGCAACAGCAACAGTAATAATATAGATAATAATGAGTTGGAGGATACATCAACATCAGGTGATGTACCAATCATTCCTGGATACGGCGTGGCAACAGTCGATTTGTTCTGGAGTGGTGGCACGTACTTTGCTTGCTCATTCTGCAACAGCACGCTCAATGTTACGTATGCATGCAGCTATGATGATATGGGCCACTGGAACAATGGCATCAATCACTTTTTGGACCCAATGCCAAAGGATGCCGTGCTGCAGGCGGTCGGTTTCAACCTGTATGGCACGTTCAACTGCCATGCCGACATGCAGAACGCCGTTGTGCAGATGATGATACAGAATGAGAACTTTGGCCCGCCCACCACAATAGCCTACACGGCGCCCTTGTGCCAGTGCATGCGCTGTCTGACCGTGCAGCCGATGCCCATCACAAACGTCACCCACCCGAACCTATACAACGTATCGGGCATCAATCAGCTGACGACCAACGTCATTACCAACGGAGTCTGTCTGTACAAGGTGCAGGTGTTGCTCTATTACACGATGAAGAAGAGTGGAGGCTTCAACGACCTGTCCACCAAACAGTGGGCCATCATCTCTGGTTCAATCGTGGGTGGCATGCTACTCATCATCGTCACCTTTGTCATTGTCAAGAGAAAGATTGGACGCATGGGCTATCAAAAGATCAAAGGTACGTGTGGCTATATAGATTGATTGGTTCATCATCTGATCGACACTGACACATCCGTCCACCCACCACAACAGAGGGAAAGAACATTGACATTGGAGAGGTAAAGCTAGGCGAGCGCATTGGAAAGGGTAACTTTGGCGAGGTCTACAAGGGATACTGGCGTGGCGCCGTTGTCGCTGTTAAGAAGCTGCCTGCCCACAACATTACAGAGGTCGTCATGAAAGAGTTCCACAGGGAGATCGAGTTGATGAAGTATGTATTGATGGATCCATGCATGGATACTTTGGAGGCACTCACTCACTCAATCAACTCAATCAACTTAGGAACCTGAGACATCCAAATGTACTTCAATTCTTGGGATCATGTACTATACCTCCAAACATTTGTATATGTACAGAGTATATGCCTCGTGGATCATTGTATAGTATCTTGCACGATGCCAAGGTGGTACTTCAATGGACACTCATCAGAAAGATGTGTCTGGATGCCGTCAAGGGCGTAATCTATCTACACAACTCCAATCCGATCATCTTGCACAGAGACCTCAAGTCACACAACCTCCTGGTGGACGACAACTGGAAGGTCAAGGTGGCCGACTTTGGTCTGAGTACCATCGAACAGACGGCCACAATGACTGCGTGTGGCACACCATGCTGGACGGCACCGGAGGTGCTGCGCAACCAACGCTACACCGAGAAGGCAGACGTATACTCATTTGCCATTGTGATGTGGGAGTGTGCCACTCGCATGGACCCCTACGCCGGCATGCCACCCTTCCAGGTGATCTTTGCCGTGGGTCGCGAGGGTCTGCGTCCGCCTCTGCCTAAGCAATGTCCACCCGAGTTTGTAAAGTTGATCACCGAGTGCTGGGAGGAGAATCCACTCATGCGGCCATCAATGGAGAACATTATGCAGCGACTAGAGATGATGGACCTATCAGGGTATCAAGATGTCATCTACAAGGAGCCGAAATCAATCAATCACTAATCACTCAACATCATCAACAACACGCATTCATTAAGTGGTGGTGGTATTACTTGCCACTTTCACACTAACAACTACCTCTTTGAGAAGGACGACGACGACAAACATTGGGGACGCAACAACGGCAACATCAACAACAAACATTATTTATTGGATCACTGATCCAGCATTGCTGGTGCGGTGCGATGGACTCAACACACCATTTGCCGGCAAATGGAGAGACTGATCAATCATATTCACCTTGAAGGGTATCACTACCCTATATCATATCATCATATCAATCATTCATCCATCCATTCTTATCTCTCTCAATAATATAAATAAATATTTATATTATTTGTATTTATTGCTGGCAATTATTTATAGGTTGATCATATTGTATGAATATTTTATTTTATTATTAAGGATTATTGATCAAGACATTGTAAAAGTAAATATTAGTTTTAGTTGACTCTGGACCAATGGGCACAATTCCAGAAGGGTTGATTGATCTTTGAGACTCGTAGTAGCAATGTTTGATGTGGTAGAAGTTTACGGTGGGTTTGATAGCCTCGTTCTGGTAGAGGACGCGTAGGTAGTTACTCAAGGCAGGGTAGTCCTTGATCATTCTTTTGTTGACCTTGAAGTGACCGTAGTACACAATGTCAAATCTGATCAAGGTAGTGAATAGTCTAATTTCTGCCTCAGTCAGTCTGTCACTGACCAACCATCTAGTCTTTGATAGGCGAGCCTCCAAGACATCCAAAGCAGAATATACATTCCTAAAAGCAGTTTCGTCTTTAATTTATATTGATTGAGTAAGAATGTGATTAATATTTATTAAGAGTATTTTGAGTTCTGATACTTACAAGCTTGTTGGTCTGCAGCAAAGCCACATCGGTATACACCATTGTTGATATCGTCAATGTAGGAGTTGGTCTCATCAATGATGGGTAAGAGCTCTCGAGGTGCAAGATCAAGTGATGGGTTGGTGGACCATTGATTGAACTCAGAGTTCAACATAAGAATTATATCACCAGAGTCGTTGTTAACAATTGTCGATGTTTTCTTGTCCCATAGTACAGGCACAGTATATCTACCTTCATAGAGAGGATTAGCGTGATGGTACACTTGGCTCAAGTAGGTGTAGTTGTTTATCGGGTCCAAATCACAACCTTCCCTCTCAGAGAAGTGCCAACCCTCAGAGCTGAGGAAGTAATCAAGAATAGTCATACCAATTATTTGTCTAAGACCTTTCAGTCTACGAACAATAATCGTTCTCAAAGGATATCGATATCGAGATGTTAGTGATTTTGATTTGATAAATTGATTGATCACTCAAATTTATGATGTTGTGGTAAAGTGGATTATCAAAATTAATTGTATTACTTTGTAATAAACTTATATGAGCCCATGGACGTGCCAACGAGACATAGAGGTGGTAGCGATTTGGTTCTGGAGGATAGAGTCCTCCCTTGGTAATCATATGTCTAAATGAACTGGTCTTATGGATATAATCTCCTTTCAACTGAGAGTCCATTGTGGAAGTTGTTGATGAAGTTGACAAAGTTGTTTGATAGGGTATTGGTATGGGAATGGTAGAATTCATTCTATCTTTTTGAAATAATTATATTATTATTGTATTATTGAAGTAAAAGTTATTACTTTATCAAGTTGTTGTTTGTTTTTAATGATTGATGGAGGTGGATAAATACTGAGTCAGTCCAAGGAGATATAGGTAGAGTTTAATTATCAAACATTGTTGTTGTTGTTGATTGAGGATTGATTATGAATAATAATAACAAAGTTTAAGGCGCAATGGATTGGATGAGCTCATTAGATCGCCACCACTTCTTTTTTAGGAGCATTGTGGGTGATATGACCAGTCCTCATACTTACTTATCATATGAAATTGATGGAGGGATTTGAACTAAGGGGGAAAGTTGGCACTCAGATTGAAATACAGTTAGAGTGGGCATTCTCCCCCGCTGCCCTAGGTATGGGTTTGCAACATCCAAACATCCTTGTGCAAAAAGTCACTAGAGATCTAATTTCCACTAGATCTTGGGCTCACCTCCTTCATACAACGTTACATTGTACCTTAAAAAAATAATGGTGGGGACTGTTAACAAGATAGAGTTGATCATAATTAAACAGCGGAGTGTTTTGGCGGTTCATTCAGACAGACATTCAATTTAAAGATAGTGATAAGATGTCGTAAGAGATAATACTTAGTGACATATCATTTTGAAAGTGAGTGATGTTGGATAGGGGTGTGGCGTAACAATGTCATGTCATTTCGTTTCGTTGTATTCCCAGTGTGACATATTTAACAACATTATTATTATTAGACGATTGTAGACACACACGATCATTCACACACACACACACACACACACACACACACACACAAACGATTTGATTGATTGATGGTTGTTCATTCAATAAGTATTGCAATGAGATGAAAGAGAACGATTGATCTACCATTGATGTTAATTTTTAAGTGTACATTATTGGATGATACAATAAACTTAATATCTATCATTCTATTATGTCTGTCTTGACAAGACACAGTCAACATAGGTTATCATATTCCAACAACAACAACAATCTATTTACAAGATTCCTTATATCACAATTAGATACATCAAGTATGTTTTTATCCTAATCCTGTAGTTGTTACAGGATTCTTAAGTTAGTATACTAATCCAAAACCAACTACAACACAGCACTTAAACCATCAATTATATATAGATATGTTCCAAAGTCCAACTCGAGTTCAAGGGACTCACTTAAAAGGGAGGATGGAGAAGAGAAGGTCCAATTATTTTGTTATCCCGAATCAAACAATGTACTCTCCAGGTTAATTACATCGTATGATTATATTCAAAAAGTTCCAATCAATCAATTTTATTAATTAATCAACTAAACCAATCAATCAAACAAAGTGGACAGAAATCAACGAATTATTTCTCATTGATATTGACCAACTCGATGGGTACCAAGTCCTATGCATATTGTAAACGAATAATAAGCAAAAGACCATTATGTTATATATTCATTTGTGATCAGTATGTGGAATCCAGGACATTTCCAGGTCGCCATATCAATTTACTGACTCTCCAAACAAATAGACCATACTTTAGTCAATTCAACGATGTCTTCAATGCTATTGAACGAGTTAGAATGAATAGTATTAATGGACTACTCAACTCTTTGAATAATACAGCCAGGAGTATGATTTATCCACCTCCACCTACTCATCAGACATCATCAAATAGTCGCAGTCGGATGATGATTGGTTCAACAACAACAACAACAACCACATCGAATCAAGTGGAAGTGACGACCAATCACAATGTTCAAAACATTATACAACAATCAACTATATATCAAGTATCGTACGAGTCGATATACAGGATGAAACCACAACACTTGATCAAACTATTTGAGGCCATGTTATGTGAGCAAAGAATAGTACTCTGTTCCAACAATATTTCCAGAGTGTCCAGTGCAGTTCTTGCCCTTAACTCTCTTCTATATCCACTCACTTGGCAAGTATGTTCAACAAGTCATACATATATGACTTCAAATATGACTCTAACCTGCTCCAATCAAACCGATAGCATATCATAATATCAGTTCTTCCACATTCTTTACTTCCTTATGTGTCCGCACCTATACCATTCTTGGTTGGCATACTCGAGTCATCATTGCCATCATTCTTCCAACAACCAACAGAACAAGTCATACTTTACAATCTTGACAAATGTCAATTCATGGTCGATGTCCAACAATCATCACTACCAACATACATCCACTCCTATCTCGAACGATCAATCACCAAGCTCAAGTATGATAACCCATACTGTAAGTCGAGGATATCGGTATCTTGAGATTTAGTATCATCCACTGACCAATCAATCAATCAATATTAGATAACAATCATTTATACTTACCACTTAGGAAGCCATTCTACTCGGTGCTGTACCATCTGTTCAAGAGGTATAATAGGTATATGTGGAGGAATAGTGATGGATGCTTTGTGTTTGGTAGAGATCAGTTTGTTGAGAAGGCTCATAGGGGACAGACAAAGAAGTTCATAGAGATAATCAGTGGTTCACAGATGGTCGACGTGTTCTTGATGATGAAGGAGGTGGAGTTCTCAAAGCAAGGCAACATCAACTGTCAATTCCTCTCACACGGACAAAAGTATTGTGATGCCATCATTATGGAGTCCAACAGGCCAAAGAGTCGGTATCATTGTCCTGTATGCATGCAATCAACATTTGGTCGAGCATCATTGGAGTTCTCTGGATACATTGTGCACCAAAAGTGCTTTGTCTGTGGCCGGTGCGGCATGGGCCTGCATCGATTGGAGCGAGAGAAGATCATCATCAAATCGAACGACTTCCAGCCATTGAAGTTGTACTGTGCCAACTGTCGAAGGAAGAATATAGTCAATCTTTTGATTGGATTCATTCCATTCAAGTCTCAGACTGATTCAGTGATTGGATCAGAGTGTGGTGATGGGGACGTGGACATAATACAATGTTGGAGCAAGAGCAAGAGCAGCAGCAGCAACACACCATCATCGTTGTTCACATCGGTCAAGCTCAAGTTCAAACCTTCCCGGCCATATGATCCGGTGAACCATTTTAAGCCAATGGAGTACCATCACGGAACGTTCCCAATGTACATCCGACCGAGACCACTGCCTCCTGTCCCACATCAGCGTCGTTCAAAGCGACCAGTCAAGGCACTGCCCAAAGTTCCAAAGAAGCATCAGGTGACACCAACATACAGGGGTAGACCACTTCCAAAGATACCCTCCACTATTCCAACTTACACAAGGATTCGCGAGTTACCATGTCCAGTGTATTCACCTCCCAAGGCACCCTTTGCCAACTTTAGGAAGCCCTTACCCTTGCCACCACCACATCCCGACATGATGAGAATATCAACCAGTTACTCATTATCTAACAGTGATATTAAATGCCGCCAATGATCCATTCATTCAATCAATCAATCAATCAAACACTATATATCATATGGAGCAAGGTCATTTATTAATTATCTTCTTTCTTCCTCTTCTTCTTTGATTGGGTACTCGAGGATGAGGATGATGATTGAGGAGGGTGACTCTCAGGTGGAAGTGGAGGTATGCCAGCTACCTCTGTTGATGGTGGATGGTTGGTCTTTGCACGTTTTGATCTTCCTTGGGGATCGACTGCAATCATCTTGAAGCTGGCGACCTTGGGCTGAGTAGGGGATACCTGATGAGTCTTGAAGTAGTAGTTGCGGATGGCAAACCTAACCTTGTCCAAATCACTAAAGGTGATGTTGTCGGGTAGGGATGATACCATTGGTGAAATTTCATACATTGGTGAAGAGGGAGAGGTGGATGTTGAGGTCGTGGTTGTAGTCGTGGTCAAAGTTGTCGAAGTAGTCGATGTTGAAGTAGATGGGAAAGTTGAGGAAGAAGATGTAGCAGGGGTGGTCAAGGTCCAGGACAAAGGAGAACTGTCTATGGGTGGACTCTGTTTGGAACTTGATTTGAGAAGCTCTTGTTGTATCATCTGCTTCTTAATCTGAAGTTTAACATCCCGATCTTCCTTCTTCTTCTGGGCGGGTCGTTTGGATACTTTGGCAGGATACTCAATCTCCTTCATAATGACCTTTGGTTCACGATCATTTTGAAGAGTCAAGAATGATGTGGACAATAACTCAGAGTAGGGTGGTAATGATACCTTGCTGGGCAAGGAGAAGTTGGCAGGTTTACCATTCTTCTTATAATTATTTCCACTATCTGTCTTTCTATCCCATCTCTTTTTGGCCTCAATTGGTCTATCTGTAACAATTACTTGAACGGTATTTCCTATTTAAATATATTAATATTAATATTTGATTGATAATGAATTTTAATAAAAATAATAATACATACTCAATGAATAACTGCTTTGGATTTCTTCCAATTCATTGTCGAATATTCTAATTGTTAGTCCATCTACTATTATCTCTCTTGGTATATTATTTGTCTGAATAATTCTGATTATAATCTCTGTTATTCTTTGAAGTTGAGTATTTTCCAAATTAATTAAATTATTGTTATTCTTGTTGTTTGGTATATTGATATTCATGGTTGTTTGTAATAATAAAAATATAATAATAATAAATTATGGTGAATTTAGTTATCGCGATTTATCTGTCTATTCATTGGTTGGTTGGAATGAAATGTAATATAATATTAGTATATCGTCGACGATGTCGTTTTCTTTATCATCAACTACAACGTCACTGTCGTAGTCAATGACCAAATTGTCTATGGGCCCATAATTATAACCCAATATTGATTGAATACAATATTGTTATGGAAACATCTTGTAATTGATTACTGCACATGAGGATGATTGGATCAGATCTACAACAATCTAACTTTGACACATACACACATTGTTCAATCAATCATTCATAGATATGTGTGAGAGGGTGAGTGGTGTGTTGATGGGAAGGTGATTGTGTGTCATTGATTGTGTGTATAAACTAGAGAGTAGTGAATGACGTAATATCGGATGTCGATTGGGTTTGGAATCTCAAAGATATATATATCTGTTATTTTTTGGATCATTTATGAAAGATGAATTGAAATAATATCTCCAAAAATAATAATAAAAATAATAAATTTTAATTTAACTTTACCTTGATTAATTTTTAATTTAATTGGTTAATAATAATAAATATTAAGTTACATAGATTTAATTATAATGTTACAATAATAATAATAGAATATGTATCATTCATCTTATCAAAAATATATATTTACTGAGTTCTACAACAACTACTCGTTGTACTTTTCTTTGCCTTGAATGTACCTCTTGTTTGTGAGCTACACTAAAGTGTGTTGGGTACCCAAGACAAACAAACAAGTTGAATGAATGAATGAGTCATTTTGGACTCACCAAGAGAAGCGAGAGCAGTTTATTCAATTATCAGATCCGATTAAACTACTATTTTATGCCCTTTGGTCGACCAAACTGGTCCCTCGTCGACCCGTTAGGTACTGCTTACGTTTGAATTTGAATTCCATCCTTCAACCATCCGGTATCCATAACGGGAAATTGACCTTTGCAGGTCAAGCGAAGGGATTTTACACACGTGTGTAGTTGACCATGGTTCTAGAAGGGTTTCCTAAAATGGTTGGTCCAATGGACTTTCGGTTTTTTGTCGTGGTCCCGACAGAAGACTCCATCGACTCATTTTTATAAAGTAACTTGCAAATGAGTGGACGTCAACAACAAGAAAACTAAAGATGGATGAGATGATAATGATCGAGTATTTTACTATTTCGTTCAGTCGACAAGTTTGTCCAACTTGGAATCTTGGGTTGTTGTTGTTGTTGACAAAAGTTGACCATGCTGCTTGAGGGCCTCTTGAGCACTGTGTGAATATTGCATAAAGAATCCTTGGAGTGCCGCCGGACTGACTGTCTCGGACGGGATATGGCTGGTGAATTGGGTGGCCAGTGCAGTCTCGCCGGGGTAGAACTTGAGGAACATCTTTTCGACCTGGTGGCTCGATGCCAATCCAATGCGCTCAATCATATCGACACGGCCCGGACGGATCAATACGCGATCCAGCTTCTCTAGATGGTTGGTTGTCATGAACAAGATCCTGCCCTCGCTGGCCGCCACGCCATCCAGCGCGTTGAGCAACCCGCTCCACGTCAGTTGACTACCCGAGCTGGTCATCATCGAGCCGCCTTGGTATTGATATTGATATTGCATTGGTTGGCCCTGTTGTTGGGCCGCAGAGGCGGCCGGGCTGGATGACGTGGAGATCGCCGCGTCAATGTCCTCCAACAAGATGATCGATCGCTGTGGCGCGGACGCCAGCAGTTGGTTGAGTGTGGCGTCGCTCACGTTCTTGCCAGCCAAGTTTAGTATACAGATGCTGAGCTGCAGCTCACCGGCCAGCGCGGTGATGAAGCTGCTCTTTCCCGTGCCAGGTGGGCCAAACAGCAGATAGCCGCGACGGTATGGGATACCACGATCAGTGTACCATGATGAGTTGGTCAAGAAGCGTTTGACGTCGTCGACAATGTGAGCAGAGACGCCGTGATCCAGGATGACCGAGGCGATTGGACGGCGCTTCCTTGGATGTCCAAAGCGACGCCACTCGGTGCCCATTGAAGTATATATGATTGTCTTGCCCTCCTCGCGCTCGGCTGCCATCACTCGGGCTTCGTCCAACAACTTTGAGAATATATCACGTTTGAAGCCCAGTGTCGTCAGCGTGATTGACTCCCACAGGTTGCCAGAGCTCATATCCACTACATTCTTCTCGCGATGTCTCTCCACCCTGATGACTCGACCCTTGTACACAACAAAGTGTGATCCAACACTTGGTACAAAGTTGATCCTCGACACTATATCGCCTCCTTCATGTTGATGGAATGTTGTCTCCACACTAACATGTCTTGTATTTTGTGACTATGATTGATTGTTTGATGTGATCGATGTGAGTGAGTTTGAATTGAACGATCAATCAATCAATCAATCATGTGATCTCCACTCCTCGTCTTACTCGTTTGTTTGCCAACCATTCCATCAGCCAGTGATAGCTCTTGTCTTTGGAGGGCACTTCGACAGAGACGAAGAAGTACCTTCGCGCTTGAATGAGTGAGGTCTGGAAGCCCTTGCGAAAGAGTGCGATGGCCGAGCCGACACCAATCAGACCGAAACCTGCAGAGAAGAAAGGGTTCTCAAATATAGGCTGTAAAGGCTCTGGAACATACTTTAGCAGTGACGATGGGATACCTGGCTGCTGTCCCCTCGTTGATTGTCCCGTCATGCTCGCCATTGCATTGTTAGCCGCATTGTCTGGCGTTGACATGATGTCTGTATATATATATGTGTGTATGAATAAAGTGAGGGTTGATCAAATAAACGAATGAACTTGAATATGTGTCATGGGGTTGGTTTGCGTGTGTGATGTAATGATGATCAATCAGTGCACTGAACTGATTGATCATCGATCTGATCATACAGATATAAGATATATATATATAACAAACATGTCAGAATCAAATGGAAATGATAAGAAGAGAAAGGATGTTAGGGAGAGCAAACAGGAGTACTGGGCAAAGAAGGCAAAGAGTGAACAGAGGATGAAGTTTGGTCAACAGGGATGTCTGTTCACATTTGGCAAGGGTCGCGAACCTCAGGCCACAAGGGACATGTACAACTTGCTCAAGCAGTACGCAGAGTTGGTACAGCCCAAGACCTCGGCAGAGTCATTGCCACAAGCTGCAGAGAACTTTAACGATGCGTTCGAGAAGGAGTTGGCGGCGATGAGAGAGGAGGGCAAGAAGCGAGGAGGCAATGCAAGGTTTGAAAAGTTGGATATAGGCTGCGAGGGCATTGCTTTCATTGGCTTCAATGAGGATGCGGCCACATTGAATGTACAGGATATCCTCAGCAAGCTGTTCAACGACGTCGAGCAAGAGAAGTCGACCAAGTCGCGCTTTGTCACGCGTATCATCCCCATTCAAACAACATGCAACTACCTCAACATTGACGAGACACTCAAGAAGCTCATCGATGATAAGTTAAACAACATAGTTGATATCAAGAAGGTACGTTTAACCCTCGCCCTAACCCTCGCCCTCGCCCTAACCCTAACCCTTGCCCTCGCCCCTGCATTACAGTACAAGATAGAGCTGAGATCTAGGTATAATACATCGGTGGAGAAGGAGAAGGAGATTCAAAGGATAGCAGCGATGGTCAGCAATAGACATGTGGTCGACTTGAACAATCCTCAGGTGACCATCATCGTTGAGATTATCAAACAGTTCTGTGCAATGTCCGTAGTCACTGACTACATGGAGCACAAGAAGTACAACCTGTCCAACATTGCTGGTTTACCTGCATCCAATCCACCAAAGAAGAAGGCGCCACTAACAATAGGAGGTGATGGTGGCGGTGGTGGCGGTGGAGACGATGATGGACAAGATGGAGAGACAACGACAACATCAACAACTTCGACTACATCTACAACTACAACAACTTCATCCGCTGATAATGGCAAAGGTCTGGAACAAGCAGGAGACAAAGAGACAGCAGATGTCAATACATAGTTAAACTGGCGCTCACTTTATACATTCATTCATTCATTCTTTCCATCCATGATCAGAGCTTGCTTGACTTGTAAGGATTCAACTCAAACACCATTGGTCGATTGGATCGCGTTGGTAAATCAAACAGCACTTCGATATGCGATGTGAACATTTGTGAGCTCTGGAGTTGATGGATATTGTTAGTTAGTCATAGTATACATGGTTGATCAACATGGTATACATACCAAGAACTGCTCCACGAACGAGTAGTTGCTTGGCGATATTAATCTGAGCAACTGTTCCTTCATCTTCTTGTTGTCAAAGCTAAAGTTTGGATTCCAATCAATGTAATATGCAATACTATCGATTATATATCTGTTGTAGAGCTGATTGATTGATTGATTGATTAGGTGAGTGAGTGGTAGTGATGGATTGATTGACTGATTGTGTACTTACTCTCATCTCATGGGCAAATGAATGAATAAAGCGTATATCGTTGAGGACTACCTTGAACGGGTAGTCTAGAGAGTACTGCACATTCTCCTTCCACACTTGACTGTGGGATTGGCGCAGGAAGAACTCAAGACGATCCTCATGCGGGAAGTTTGGAAGGTTCTGACAGTTCCTTCCAAACAACAGTCGGTTGTTGTCCACGTCCAAGATGTAGCAATTGGCCAACACCTCTGGCATATCCATTGGCATCTTTGTAATTCCAATAATGAATGGTACTACAAATGATTGATTGATTATGAGTTATGTTAGTTTGTTGAGTCGAGGTGTCTGTGTGGCGTGATCGGTCATACTTGGGCAGTGAAGTAGATCAAGGGTTGATTGAGGTAGAATCGGTATGAATGCACCTTGATAGATATATGGTCGCAGAAGAGGTATAAATGAGAATCTGGTCAATCGATCAAGAGTGGAATGGGAGTAGTTAGTATCACGCACTCAATCAACAAGATCATTTGATTGAATACATACACGGTGTTGGTGATCAATCCAATGTTCTTGGCAGTTACTATGAGGTACTTCTCCAGAAGTATGCACTTTAGCACCTGGATGATGGTGCGCAGAGAGAGGGTCTTGAGCATGCCGCTCAAGCACCAGTTCTCAATCTGCTCAGAGTCGTCGCCAGCCTCGTATGTTGTGGTGGTGGGCTCTCCGCCCCCCGCGACTGGAGGTGTGACAAGCAGTCTCTCGTTAGCCTTTGGCACTGGCAGAGTGCAGTAGTAGCGTATGATCTCCAGCTCCTCTTTGGCCAGTGCCCTCGCGCTTAGTGAGTCAGATGATAGCTTGGGCGATGAGATCAGTATAGCATCGTTGGCAGCTTGTTGCTTGGGTGACATTGGGAGCACTGACGACTTTCTCAAGTTGATCGATGGCGCAGTGGTAGTAGCAGGACCAGTGTGACCAGGAGGTTTTGGCAATGGTTTGATCTTTGGTGATGTGGCCCCTGTCGGTGATGTAGGTTGTGATGTTGATCTGCCTGGTGTTGATGGTTGTGAGTCGCTTGTGGGTGTTGCTGTTGCTGTTGCTGTTGTTGTTGTTGTTGTTGTTGTTGGAGTTGTTGTATCAGTCTGTTGGATTTGGTTATGATGAGCGGGACTTGAGGTAAATGGTGTGATTGATATGGGAGTACTTGAGTTATTGTCGAGTGGACTCTGAAGTGGTGCTTTGGGCGTCAGCTCGGACATTATATCCGCTCTGGGATACGAAGGAAGAGGTGATTCTGTTGTAATATTTGGCTCGCTGTCATTGCTGTGATTGGTTGATATTGATATTGGCGTGAGGTTGTAGTCCTTGTCACTCAAGGAGGTGTTGTGGGGCGTGGCAAACTCGTCAAAGTCTGAGAAGGCACCAGTGGATGATGATGTGAAGTCTGTCATCTCTTCGTCGTCCATGATCGACGACAAGTCATTGCGGTCGACCGGAATGTTGAGCGAATCCTGGATGGCGCTGACCGCCTGCGATTTGGGCGACGGGTGGTGGCTATTGCGCAACAACTTGTGGTGCGCCAGCTTGTTGGCCAGGTTTGGTATGGGCGTGGAGTTGGTGCGTGTGTGTGATGCATTTAAGATGGCCAGCTTGCCTGCCTGCGACCTGGAGAGCAACGAGATGGTCTCGAGACTGGGCGACTCGACTGCGGGTGACACTACCAGAGGCGAGTCCATTGTAATGTTTGGCTGACCAGGAGTCGGGGTGGGCATCGGTGGGAGGGGCGGCAGTGGTTTAGCAATGGGGCCGCTCTTGACCAGTGTCAGCTTGGTGGGTGATGGTGTTTGTACATGTCGCGACAGGTCGTTGGACGACTGCATGATCAGTTTGGGCGACGCGGCCGCCGTCTGTTTCTCAATGATCGCGTTGATCAGGTGCAGTCGCTCCTTGCCCAGCAGCGAGTAGATAAAGTCAAAGTGCGCCTTGAAGAATGGGTATCGGCTGATGATGCAGTAGCATCGCTGGGCAAACGTGCACAGGTTGTTCTCAGTGTACTGCTTGCGGGGATCGCGTGGAGTGGTCGCCTGCTGTTTGCCAGATGTTGCCTCGGGGAAGAAGCAGGGCACCTCATCGATGGGCTCATTGTTCAATACACAGGCCACATAGAGGAGATGTTCGCCACCAGTGATCAAGAACATGAATGAAGTGTCTGAGCCCTCCAACTGAGCCAAAGACTTAAACATAATCGAGTGTATCTCTGATAATGAGTTTCTCTTTGATATCTGAATGAGCTTGATTCCATCTGGGAAGCAGAATCCAACAATCTGTTTATCATACTTGTTACTGTAGTATGTTTGATTGATTGATTGTTGGTGTTGATTGAGTGAGTGATCGAGTGAGCGAGTGATTGATCGATTGAAACATACATTGTGTCCGATGGGTAGGAGTAGAGTATCTTGGCATCATGAGATATCTTGTCACCTGGATTGATGGCCGTGTCTGATGATAATCCAACTACAATAAAGTGTTCAATGAGGCTACCATCACGCGTTGTCCGACTGCTACCCAATGAAAAGGCTTTGTTCGCTTGTCTAGAGAATGAAGGAATGAGTGAATGAATGATTTGAAGGAGATGATCGGAGGGCGATGATCTTGCTTACTCTCTCATTGATTTAGTGCTCTCCAAATCTTCATATTGTTGTTGGGTAAGCTCGTGTGCGACAAAGTCATTGTTGTCTTGTACTGGAGTGGTCGGCATTGGTGTTGAAACATGCTGCTGCTGTAGTTGTTGTGATGGTGATGGTGATGGTGATGGAGAGACAGTAACACTGTTACTTCTGTTCTCCTTTGAATGTACATCCATCTGATCATAAATGATTGTAGGAGTCCTGACTCCACTTATACTATTAGACGTACTGCTACTACTGCCACTATTGACAGACTCTATCATATCGTAAAGTAGTTATCTATATTGTATATTTATATTATATTATATGTGTAATTGATTGATTGATTGATTGATTGTTAAGATGATTTAGTTGATTGATTGACTATTCTTCTCTCTCTCTCCAATAATTTAATGTCCACACTACGCATTACCTCTTCAACTACTTCCCTCTCCTTCAAGAACAATAACAATAATAATAACAATAATAACAACTACTACTACTGCTGTTTGCTACAACTAGTACATCAACAGCACCACTACCAACGTGGTACGACCATTGTAATTGATTGACAATATGGTGTGAATGAATGAATGAACAAAGACGTGGATGCGGAGATACAACAATCAACACACATCGCCAACAACTTCATCTTCCTTCACACATCATATCAATTTCTGGTGAACACACCTCTTACTCATCTTCATGAAGATGAGAGGATATAGACACTGATGAATGAATGAATGAATGATTGATTGATCAATCACACCAATATAATATATTCAATTATTCTTTGTTGTCATTGTTGTTGATCAAACCTCCCTGTTGGTCGAGTCGAGAACAGAGAGGGAGACCAGTGATTAAATGACTTTTGGTTGACCAATGACCATAAATAGTTCAACCAACGAAACTTTACTACTTCCACACTGACTTAGTCACGACAGGAAGTAGTTTAGATCAATTTCTAAATTCATTACGTACAAGAAAGAGAGAGAGAGAATGACCAAGCCATCTGTTATCTTTGCATTATCTTTGAGACTCAACACAAACAAGCTCAAACGTACCACACTGACTCTGCAAAGCCACAAGTATGCCAATACCTAAATAGTCAACTTGGGAATAAGTTCAATAGATGACAGGTCCTGTAGTAGATCATTGGTCTCACCAAAGATGGGTGGACATTGATGGCTACTCGAGTCCTCCTCCATCTCACACGCTCACACACACAAAGTGAGAGTTGACTAATAGATCGATTATATCAATGTCTAAGTGTACACTTTACTTTCCTTTTACTGTAGAGATGTCCCATCTACTGCTACAGGTCCAAGCCATGTCATGGTACCCACCACCACATCCACCACCTTTGTTACAGGCAAGTAAGCTAGCTCTAGATAGGCCAGGAGACCTCATCACTTTCTTTAAGAAAAGACTCTTGGTCCACAAGACCATCTCGAAACTCCTTCCTTCCATCTCTTGATCTGGTGACCATTCATTCAATCATCCTCTTCTCCACCAACAATTATTATTATTATTATTATTTGTATACAAAGTATTGACTCAATCAATCAATCAGAATGTCGGCCATACTCAGGACAAGTAATAATAATATTATTCAGACTTCTCCGGTGTCCACAACGTCGACTACGACAACAAGCTCATCACCATCATCATCAAAAGAGAATGATCCAAGTTTGGCCAATCAGTTTAACAATGTGAAGAGGGAGAAGAAGGACAATCTAGGAAATAATAGTGGACCCAACAAACAACAACAGTCGACCCAGACAACTCCCGAGGAGGACAAGAAGAATGTATGTATCTTGCAAGTTGTTGAACAAATTCCACAAGCCATGCAAGAGAAAGGGTAGGTGTCCATTTCACCATCCCAAGACCAAGAACCCCCAGGGCAACGATATTGGCGAGCAACAGAGTTCCCAGTTGTTCAGCTTTGATGTCCATGAGCAGGTGGGCAAGCCTCACAAGATGACAAGGAATCATAATAATAACAACAATCACCAACTTGCCACATCGGCCCCCGCCGCCGCCTCCACGGGGTCCATCATTCAAACATGTTCCCAGCCGCTAGAGTATCATCCTGTTGTGATCAATCATACCACAGACGATCAATCGATTTCCAACAGCAACCAGGAATATCAATACTTTGGAGTAGTCGATGGTGATCCATCTCTTGGAAAGAGTAGAGATCTTGGAGCCGAGAACCGAGCAAAGGTATGTTCCATTAATCACTCAATCACTCAATCGATCAATCAATCTAATTATATTAATCAAGATATACTTCCAAAATCTTTGGTTTATGAAGGCTGTCCAAGTGGAGAACACTCTAGGTATCCAGTTGCCACTCAACCACATTCATCATCCACAACAACAACCCGATCCACTACAACTTCAACATGCAATGGCCTACCACCACTCCCTCCAACAACAACAACAACAACAACATCCACAACAACTTGATCATCAGCAACAGCAACAACAACAACAACAATATTACTTCTACCCACAGTATGGCTACCCATTCATGCCGCACACTGCCTACGGCTACTTCCCCACACAGCCCGCGATGAACAACTGCATGTCATTCATCACTGAAAATCAATCGACCAATGTACACATTGACAACGTCTACTTGAACGCCATCGACTCACAGCCGGACGACCAGTTGACACTCAGTGGTGATGTCTCGGTCAACACGTCGTCAGCTTCCGCCATGTCCTCAGAGGATCATTATTCCAGCTTCTCGTCCATGGATGGCGAGCTCTCTGAGACTCTGGCTGCCGCGTCTTCGTCACTGGCCAACTCGCAGCCCGACCAAGGATCGTCCTCTACGTTGTTGCTGCCTCAAGTCCATCTGAACCAACAACAGGAGGAGGGTGATGAGCAGGGCTTGCTTGAAGATGATGTTGAGCACCAGATCGTGATTAAGCAAGACCATGAGAGCGAACCAGTGATCGAGGAGCAAGGGTCCGAGAACCTCCATGACCTACATGACCTGCAGCAACACGTCACAGTCGACCATCAGTATGGATCGGCTGGTTGCGAGAATACCAGCATCGATCTTCTGCGCGCCCATTGCGAGCAGTAATAACAAACAATTATATCATCGCTTCATCATTACATTATTTGTTGTTATAGTTGGTATATGTTTGATTGATTGATTGATTGAGGGAGAGGAAGGATGAGTGAGTGAATGAATGTCGATGATGTCGTTTAATATTATTGGACTCCATCGATCGAGTAGTCTAATAGCCAATGGCCCTGTGGTGTTTCCAATAGCCAATGTCCACTGGACATTCGAATGGATTCGTTAATGAGTCTGATAGATTGTTTGAATGAATGATGAATGTAAGTTGTCCAACACCCAAACGCTGATCAGGTAGTAGTACGGTGTGTCGCCATTCCATTGCACACGGCATGATGATGTATATATATGTATTACTAATAAGTTAGTTAGTTTCCAAAGTAGAATGACATGAACAGCACTGTAAAGTTGATGTTGAATACTATCGCCAGTACATAGATTGTGAAGACCAGTATAACAGGGTAAAGGAACACGCTAGTATTATGCAGGAATGGTAAAGCTATTGATTGATTGAGTGAATGACGAGTCAGTCATCAGGCAGGTGATCAATGCCCAATGAATAGCCAATGCTGGTGGACTTACCATTGTATCCAAGAAACGTTATATAATAATAGTATACAATTGAGAGGAAGAACATCGAGTTTGATATGAATGTGGCTATAAGCTTGGTTGACATTAAGAATGGCAACAAGAAGAACTGAAGGGAAAATGATTGATTGTGATCAGTTAGCTAATGTACATTGATTGATTGATTGAGATGAGGATCAAACATACATGGATAACGTATAGTATGATAAAGAGTGGAAAGAATGAATTGCAGTGGATGTCAAAGGCGTACAACCATTCTACCTTCTGATCGACGCTGTGATGGTGTGAGGACTCCCTCAGGAATCTGTTGGACAGGAACCATCCAGCAGTAGCAGTGACCAATCCAACTGTAATAAAGTCAAAGAAGACTGCCCAGAACATTGTCCTGATGATGACGATGAAGATGGTGTTAGCAAGATTGATGCTGTGACCTGCGCTATTCAACTCGCACGAGTGTGGACACACTCAAACATACTTTATAATGTGTACAACTGATAGATAGTGAAATGCTATCGCGTATGACATTGATGCTATCGACATAAAGAACACTACTATAACTACAAATGCTGGGTCATCTCTTGCCCATTGATTCTTTGTCTCTGTGTTGTCATTCATTCGCAAGTGTCAGTGAAGTGTTCATTACTTCTTCATCTTGTTCATCTTCATCATCATCATAAACATCATTACACGTACGTTTATGCCATGATGTATTTCTATATACTCTAGCTGGATTGAAACATAGATAGAACATTATCCAAAAGGTATACTCAATGTCCATCTGCGGGTAATGCATAATCCTTCTAAAGTATTCAGGTACGAATCGTTTGAATCGAACAGAGTCACTGTTCAGTGATGATGATGTTCTAGTAACTCCTCCCAACATCTCTATCTATCTCTCTATCTATCTCTTTTGTATGTATAAATAATAATAATAATTGACAAGTGTAATAATCAATGATGTCATTATGAAATTGAAGTTGATCAACTTCGTGGTCAAAAATTTGTGTTGTGAAAGGGTTTCTGCGAGGGTATGTCTGTTAGGGTATGTTACCAGGGACAACTCATTCAAGATGGGCACACTGATTACTGCTTCATTCTATCGGCTGCCGCTTGCCAGCAACGGAGATTATGCAATGTACAATATTCCATATGGATATTATTGCATGACAACCTCAGTGCATCCTGGATACACCCATGTACAACTCATTCGTTAACAACTTCGAACCGAAATTGATAACTACAACAAATAGGACAATCATAATATTATTACATGAGTAAGTAAAACATTCATTAGAATGATATATTATGTGCATTAAAGTGTGGTTGATCATTCCACAATGATGAATGTAATGTGTGTGTGGGTACACTCACATGATCACTAAAGGCCCTTATTTAAACTATTCCATTGATTGAAAGGTCACTGAGTGGTGATAAAGCCCACCCCTTAATACAATCAATAGTACAATATGAAGAGAGAGGGTAAAGTAAGTGTTTAATGAACCAAGTATACATTGTTCCAATCTAGATGGATATATAAATAATTATCAGATTAGGAAATAAATTAAATCAAATCTCAATCATCAATCAGATCACATTTTCCAATGTCTTTTTGGAAAGATCACTACGGGTTTATGCTGATTTTTATTATTCTCTGTTCTAGTTTATCACTTGGAGTTAAATGTAGGCATCATCACTCACCATCCATCGTTCATCCATCTAACCAACAAACAAACAATAACAGCATCAGCAACAGCAGCAACAGGGAGTGAAGGACATCAATGTTCAATTTCATGTCCATTCAATCAAATATGTTGCCAACCATTGAGTCATTTGCCTCCAAAGTGCATTGATAAATGTACATTCCTCAAGTGTGATTCAGGATGGTCATGTTTGGTGAGCTCTGATGGTAGACCATATTGTCATCCTGATACATCAGTAACTTCTTCGTCAACAACAGCCACGACAACAGTGTCAACTCAATCAACTGTTGCGACCACAGTAGCAAGTACTGGTGCAAGTGCAGGATCTACTGTTGCCTCGACTTCAGTGTCAACTCAATCAACTATTGCCAGCACAGTTGCCACAACAACCAACTCGCCAACAGCGACGAGCACATCCACAGTCGCAACAACCACTGTGTCAACTCAGTCCACAACAGTGAGCACGGTTGCCTCGACCACGAGCGGACATGTGACTGGCTCTACGACTGCATCGACCTCAGTGACAACCACTGTGTCCACAGTTGGATCTGCCTCAACGATCACTCAATCAACTTCGGCCTCAACAACAGTCTCAATCGGATCTTTGTCCTCAACAACAGCTTCCACCTCGTTGTCCACTCAATCAACTGTTGCCTCGACAACAATGAGCACGACCACGGTAACTACCACTGCCATGACGACTGGACCAGTTGTCAATCACTGCATCAACATCTGCTAACTTCTCTGCACAGCCCATATCGACAGCTGCCAGCACAACAGTGTCAACTCAATCAACTGTTGCCAGCACAACGGTGAGCACTCGCGGAGCATCAACTGTAGCGTCGACGGTGGCCTCAACCACAGTGTCAACTCAATCAACTGTTGCAAGCACCTCTGTGAGTACAACAGTCACATCTGGTGGCACTCCAACATCGACCACTGTCTCGACCACAGCCTCGACAACTGTCACTACCACCGGCGCTGGCTCAACCATCACTCAGACTACAAGTGCAACGACCACTGTGACGACAACAGAAACGGGCACAGCGTCAGCAAGCAGCACGTCAACTGTTGCCACGACAACAGTGTCCACTCAGTCCACAACGGTGAGCACTGTTGCCTCAACTGTCGCACAAATACCTTCGACTGTTGCAACGACCACAGTGTCAACTCAATCGACAACAGTCACCACGACAGCTACAACTGGCCGCCCAACGTCCACAACAGTTTCGACCACAGCGACAACAACAGCCACAACAACTGGGCTTTCATCGACGATCACTCAAACAACGTCAGCGACGACAACTGTGACAACAACAGCTACAAACCCAGTAACGTCGACTGTTGCCACAACAACAGTGTCCACTCAATCAACTGTTGCCAGTAACACGGCTAGCACCACACTCAGACCAACGTCAACCAGTGCCTCAACAACAGTCACGACAACTGGTGTAGATTCCACCATCACTCAGACCACCACGGTGACAACGACTGCCACGGGCACTGCCTCTAGCGGACCAACAACCACAGTGACAACAACAGCCACCACTACTGGTCCATCATCTACCATCACGGCAACAACAACGATGACATTGGCTTCAACCACAGCATCTACAACTGGACAAATCACATCGACTGTTGCCACCACCACAGTGTCAACACAATCGACAACTGTCAGCACCATTGCCAGCACAACAAACAGACCAACCTCGACTGTGGCCACCACAACTGTTTCCACCCAGTCAACTGTTGCCAGCACTACCGTCAGTACCACATTGAGACCAACGACCACGACAGCCTCAACCACAGTGACAACAACTGGTCAAGGTTCGACAATCACTCAGACGACAACAGCCACGACCACCGCCACGGGTACTGCTTCTGCTTCAAGTGTGTCAACAACTCAAACAACTACGGCCACTACAACAGGTGCAGCATCAACTATAACAGCAACAACTACGGTGACCACAACTGGAACTGCATCTGCATCTGGTACTGCGACAGCCACAACATCAGCAAGTGCATCGACAACAGTGACCACGACAGCAACAACAACTGGCGCAGCCTCGTCGATCACTCAGACAACAACTGTCTCGACCACATCAACTACAGCACCAACCACTGCCTCAACGACACAGACCACAACAGCGTCTACCACCGGACCGCTATCAACGATCACTCAGACAACAACAGTGAGCACGATTTCTGGTGTTCATCCCACCTCAACCACTGTGTCGACATCAGCCACGACCACTGGTCCGCTATCAACAATCACCCAAACGACAACTGCTACCACCACCGCCACGACTACCAGTAGACAAACAACCACTGTCACTACCACTGCCACAACAACAGGTCCAGTGTCGACAATCACTGCAACAACTACTGTTACTACTTCAGGCACTGCATCTGCTACGTCAATGTCGACAACGGTATCCACCCAGTCCACAACGGTCAGTACTGTTGCCACGACCACAATCAAACCAACAAGTACAACGGCATCAACCACTGCGACTACCACGGTCTCGACAACTGGTCAGGGTTCCTCGATCACTCATTCGACCACAGCGACTACCACTGTGTCAACCTCAGCCACCAGCAGTCCAACTACTACAGCGACGACTACAGTCACCACAACTGGTGCCGGCTCCTCAATCACTCATTCAACGACAGTGACTACGACAGCCACAGATACCAGCAAGCCCACAACAACTGTGTCGACCACAGCCACAACAACAGGTCCATCGTCCACCATCACAGCAACAACGACTGTTACTACCACCAGCACCTCAAAGCCAACATCAACTTCTGTTAGTACAACAGTGTCCACTCAATCCACGATTGTCAGCACTTTTGCCAGTACTACTCTAAGTCCATCCTCCACATCGGCATCAACCACGGTCACAACGACTGGTCCAGATTCATCTATTACCCAGACAACGACTGTCTCGACCACATTCACTAGTAGTCCGACGACCACCGCTTCAACAACAGTAACAACCACAGGTTCGGCTGGAACAATCACTGCAACAACAACGGTATCCACTGGTCCCACAGCATCATCTACCATATCTAAACCGACACCAACACCAACATCGACATCTGCCACTACAACCGTGTCCACTCAGTCGACCACTGTTAGTACCCTGGCCAGTACCACACTCAGTCCAACAAGTACAACAGCATCAACAACTGTCACAACAACAGGTCCAGATTCCTCGATCACACAGACCACCACAGCAACTACTATTGCTACTGGTGGATCCACAACTGCCTCGACAACAGTAACCACCACAGGTCAAGATGGATCAATCACAGCTACGACAACAGTGTCAACTGGTGTATCCTCATCCACACCAACACCAAAGCCACAGGTCACATCGACGACAGCAAGCACCACAGTGTCCACTCAATCGACCACTGTTAGTACTATTGTCAGCACAACACTCAGTCCAACCTCAACCACGGTCTCAACAATAGCAACTACCTCAGGTGCAGCATCGACGATCACTCAAACGACCACAGCAACAACCACGGCAACAGGCTCTACCACCCAAACCACAACTGCCACTACAACAGGTCCAGTATCGACGATCACAGCAACAACTACAGTTTCGACGACATCGACTACAGCATCACAAACAACCCAAACCACTCAATCCAGTACTGCATCATCTCAACCAACAACGACAACAGCGTCCACAATCATGTCTACCACAGGACCAGACTCGACTATCACTCAAACAACAACAGCCACAACAACAGCCTCGATCACCAGTGTTATTACCCCAACACCTCGCAAGTACTATGACATCAAGGGATTCGTATTTGAGGACCTCAACACAGACATCAAGCACCAGGACAATGAGCCATTTATCGCCGGTTCCACCATCACTCTGAAGAAGAAGGGTAATGTGATTGGAACACAGGTGACCACGGCCACCAACCCATCGTACATCTTTATAGGCGTGGAGGAAGGTGATTACTGCATGTCCGCTTCAGTCCCTGATGGATACGCAAGGGCCAGCGATACTAGTGCGGACAACGCGTTCAATGCCCAAGGTGACGACTTCTGTTTCACACTCTCTGCTCACAGGGATGTCAATGCATGCTTTATAATGATCAAATACACCATCAAGGGATACGCGTTCGATGATACCAACAAGGATAACATGTTCCAGCCTGCCACTGATCAGTTGGTCGCTGGATCGACCATCACACTAAAGAGGAAGAGTGATGGCAGTGTTGTCGGCACGCAGGTGACCACGGCCAACAACCCATCATACTCGTTCAAGGAGATCCCAGTTGGAGAATACTGCATGTCCTCAACAGTGCCATCAGACTACAACAGACTCGGCGTGGTCAACACAGACAACTCATTCAATGTCGATGGTTCAGTCTACTGCTTCTCGCTCAGTGGTGCAGACAAGGATGTCAACGTTGGATTCAGATTGAAGACATTCGAGATCAAGGGATATTCATTCGATGATGGCAACCTTGATGATATATTCCAGCCTGCCACAGATCCATTGGTCGCAGGATCGACCATCATGCTCAAGAAGAAGAGTGATGGATCAGTTGTTGGTACTCAAGTGACCACAGCCACCAACCCATCATACTCATTCAAGGATGTACCCATTGGAGAGTACTGCATGTCGGCCACAGTCCCACCAAAGTACAACAGAATGGGTGTAGTCAATTCTGACAACGCATTCAATGTCGATGGCTCGGATTACTGCTTCAAGCTGGACTCTGACAAGGATGTCAATTCTGGATTTAGGATCAGGAGGTTCGAGATCCTTGGATATGCATTCGATGACGACAATGATGACAAAACATACCAACCGGCCACTGAAGCCCTGGTCGCTGGCTCCACAATCACCTTAAAGAAGAAGAGTGATGGTTCTGTAGTCGCCACTCAGGTCACAAAAGCGACCAACCCGTCCTACGTATTCAAAGGGGTGCAAGCTGGAGATTATTGCATGTCTGCCACAGTCCCATCCGACTATGACCGTCTCTCAGTTGTCAACGCAGACAACTCATTCAATGTTGATGGCTCCGACTTCTGCTTCATATTCACGGGTGTGGACATTGCTGTCAATGCTGGATTCAGGAAGAAGAGGTTCGAGATCAGAGGATTCACATTCGATGATGA